AGAAATAAATTAGAAACAAAAAAAAAACAAGTATTCTCCGCACTCCGGATCGCCCTAGGACGGATATGGCCCCTCTCTCTCGGGCCAAGCGGGATGGTCCCGAGAAAAGGAAATGATGAACGTCGACGGAGCAAGTGCTTGCTTTGTACAAGTACTTCCAAGGTTGGGAATAGCAAACAGCACTCGTACGAGTACATCTTACTTCCTTTCACTGTAACCCTCCTCTAGAAGCTGACCCCCCTTTTCCTGCGTCTCTTTCGCGTTCTCGAACAAAGACACCTGACTTTTAGACGAGAGATCGTTCAACGGCCCCACCACCCGGATCCGAAAAATGGAGCTTCAAACGTGCAATCGCACGAGTACGGGAGCTACTGTTATTTCCATTTATATTCTTAGCCGAGCCATCACCCAGATTCAGATCCGTAAGAAAGTGGAGTAATGTCTAAGATCCAGCAAATCGTCGAGTTGTGCGGCCAGAGTCGTTGCTGTGGGAAATGATAATCGGCTTGAGATTACGGAATATACGTCGATGTTATTTGTATTTGACATTACGATTGTATCATTCCTAGGATCCAATAAGAATAAACACAGCAAATTGAGAGTGGCAATCCGGCTATATGTGCGGTACGAGTACGCAGTAACCTGTGATACGTGGCCATAGCCGTGGGTTTCAACTCCGCATGCGCCCACGTCCACACCGAATCTTCTGTTTCTCTAGCGAAAGGGTTTCTAGCTCAAACCATAATGTGCAAAGTCGGTCTCACCGTAAACCAAACTTTGTGAGCCATCCACGCGAAACGGCGTTAAACCTGCAGGCGGGCGCAGTAGCGTGTCGCGTGGCCGGAGTTGGTAACTTGTTTCACCTTTGCGGAGGGAAGCGGTATGGAATTTCTGGACTCACCAACGTCCATCAATCATCACGGTGTAGCAGAATTCCGGAAATGGATCCTGAGGCCGCAGCGGGGTCCACATATCGCGAGGCTGATCATCTGAGACGAAGTCACACCGTTACTATATTGGGCACAACTGCACGTACTTGGTTACCCGAGTCCGAACCGTTTGCATTTTCCTACCGAACGATTCATCGTCTTAACCAATCCGACAACGTAGTCACAATGTACGCGATAAGCACGATTGTCATTGTAATAATCATGATCATGAGCATTGTAACGGTTATTGTGTCCAGTCTGACGTGCCCATACGTCACGGAGGTCGAGGAGCCCCAGAAAACTTGTCGCTGTCCTTGTCCTATAGTCGCCTCTGATATAGGCAATAAGGGTAAACTTGCCAATAATCAGGTCTCCCAAGCAGCCCCATTGCCAATGACACCATAATCTTGAGGGGAAGGGGTCAGATGGGTCGAGAGGTCAAGCAGAAAGCGGGTAAAAATGTGGCGCGTTTGCGTTTGCTTTCTGGGGTCTCGTGCTACGGCGACCCCAAGCATGACACAAAGAAACTTGATTCTTTTCAAAACAATGACTTGAATCAGCACGAACGCATAAAAAGCCTTGGAAGTCATAATGCACAAACCTGGGCGCCGAGAATTGTCAGATCATGGGGTTCCAATGAGATCCCATGGGTGCCCCAATCCACGACGTAAGCACTATACAGATGTGGGAGATCTAGATATCAGATTGGATGATTTCCCGTTCAGCGTAGCCTTGTAGCCTATTTAGCGGATCTGTCCCGAGCCAAGCACACGGGCCAAAGACCCCCAATGCGATCAGAAACAAGCTCCTCTCCACGTTGATCTACAATTGTAACTCAAACAGGCCGCATTCCTATACGTCTAGTTAATGTTTGTTCAGGGAAATGACTCAAGTGGATTTCTCAATCCGGATTCTGCTGCCCGGGTACAACGTCCATCCACCAGAAGACAACTCCACCAGGGCCCAAAACAAGATTGTACGAGTAGATCATTGTGCTCCATACTCTGTGCCTCCGTACCACTCTTTACTCATGTCTGGATCGAAATTCTTTGAAAGAGACTGCTTTTCTGCATATCTTTCCTTTTGAGGCGCACATTCATTAAATGCCGCATATCTCTAATCCCAAGAGAGTAGGAGGCCCTTTCAGTAATAGCGTCGGCTTTTGCCGACGTGATGGGTGCTTCCGATGTGATCACAATCCTCCCCGACCGCCCGGCGGAAGAATATGAATATCTCACTATAACGCTTTGGGTAGGTGTTGGCCTTTGGTTTAGTACATGCTTTACGCCCATGTAACAATGGGCTGAATGTTTAGCCAGTGATTTGCGTTGGAAATGAAAATCGAGGTGTGATACTCTGTAGTAACGACATGGTCTCTGGTTCTTTGTTTCTTGGCTCATTTACCCCTATCATTAGATCCTCTGCTATCGTTATTGACCCGGGCAAATTGCAAGGTAGTAGCAAGGGAGGTATGACAAGCCTCGAACAGGGGGGTCTGTATCTTCCACAGAATACTTTTGAAGTTACCCCGTACGAGTACTCCATACAGCAAGTTGCCTTGGCATCAATCACACACGAGTACGAGTACTCCGTACAGGATTTGGTACTTTCATACCCACCTACGGAGTACATTGCGGTGCTTAGAAATCGACGCATGTTTGTGTATCCTCTTGACTAAAACCGCGCCGGTGAAGAGGCAGAGACAGCCATTCCCAATTGTTTGCCAGTATGTGGCTTGTGCCTAGAGCCTGCAGCCATTATGCAACTATGATATTCTACATGTTTTTTCCACCCCCTTTTCCCCTCTGGTATCTCCCCACCTGTACCGGAACCTCATTGCTTTTTTTATTGCCCATATGAAGTTAGCACTAAAGAATTAAGAGGCATTCCTCGTAGACGCTAAGAGCTACTAGGATCTAGGCGCCGTTGGACATCTCGTGGGTTATCAAAATTGTGGTGTCCGAAAGGGGCAAAGTCAAACGAAACTGTGAAGTAAATCTGAAGGCGAGTCATTTTTTGAAGAATAATTTCCACATTATATTAATCCTTTGTAAGGGGCTGAAGAGCGCTTGTGTGTGTTGGCTGCTTGGCTGTGCCTACGAGTAGGAGCATCCATGGATGTTGCCCATGGTTAGTTAATCAACACTGGAAGTTTTACAAACACTCATTGACTATGCTTCAAAAAGCGAAAGGCAAGAATATCTTCAGTAGCAGCCTTTTATGGTACGAAATAACTTTAGAACCAGACCTCGGGGTCATTCATTACACTACCACCTCGGCACCTGCAATTCTACAATCTAGTTATAAACTCAGTACAAGTTCGATCTAGTTATAGATGGCCAGGTACTCCGTACTGCATACCTAGGCTCAGGGCTACTTTTACTTGTGCTTAGCTCCGAGGTCCCTGAACTAACCCCGGGAATATTGACTGAATAATAGGTCCTCCGTACAGTGCACCTATAGATTATCCCAGTTACCTAGTAGTTATCCAACTTGAATGCCTTGGAACCTTTGGTACGGAGTAGAAATGGACATATACTCAAGCCTAGTTTGTTCAAAGTTTATTAGGATCTCTTGCCCAGATGTTTATAGAACAACTTTGAACCATGGGGCAGAATGCCCAGGTGGAAGTTTTATGTTAATATCCACCTGCTCAAGTGGCATGGATGGTTGTCAGAATATAAGAGTGATGATGTGCTTCCAAGGTTGGAAATATCCCGATCCCTGGAGAGACTCTAGCCGAAAAACTCAAACTTAATGTTCTGACAGTAGGTATGTCTTGCAGGCTGTCAATCTCATCATGCGGGTGCCGTGAAATGCGTTGTGACTGTCATGGGCATTGTGGAGACGCGATATTGTGTCAAGGGTTGCTACCACTGTTAAAGTCACAATTGAGAGGGGATTATGTACTGCGTACATCGAAAATTTCAGGGGAAATGGAAGAAAGAAAAAAGCCTGTCTGGTTATCTCGCCTAACACTTCTCTTACTGCTCTGCAACAGCCCGCAACTTTAGAAGAAGCGGTTTCTCATGTGTAAGCATTCCTACTTAATACCGCCGACTACAATGGAAGTGACGAGAGAAACCGCGTCTCTTAATATGGTAGTATGTAAAATCCAGGTCTTGGAAAATATCGCTTTCCGGTCGGAATAACCAGAGAAGTATATGTGGGTATCGTAGATATGGAAATGTTTGAGATGTCTTCAAAGATCCTCGAGTAGACCCGAGTCTAGGTGGATCTGAGGGTTGAGAGATCCTTTCATTTCAATGTTCAAGTCAAGCATAAACCGCACTTGGATTAACCACTCGCCCTTGTAAAAGAATTGATTTCAGATTGCAACCCCTGGGATCCATTAACCATGTATCCTCTGTACCGATGGAGAGACGGATAGTCATTTGCTCCGAGTGGTTTGTTTCTTGTGCGTTTCATTGTATGTGAAACCTCAAGGTTGATCTTAGGTGCTTCTCAGGCGAATGGAAGGTGATACACTATATCCCTTGAAACGTGAACGTCTGTAAGTGGAACAGACGGGGAAGGTGCGTATCGTAGTGCGAATAGTACATTTATGCTTTTTTGCTCGGGTGTTTTCATGAGAGAAAGATGTCTCCTTGTTGGAGGTGCGACACGGTCTTCGAGGTAGACCCCGGAGCACATGTACGTCGGAGTGAGACAGTAAGTCACCGATTGATTACTCTCTAAGATACATGTGCGAATTCTATAATCTCGGGCTCATTGGAACAAACATAGTTCGGTTGCATTGTATTTACTGCTACTCCATAGACAGACACAGATTCAAAGCATCTCTAAGCTGGAGTAGCCGAGGGAGCCATTGCTCTAGGGCGCTCGCTCTCCGGGATTGATGTGTTGGACTCCCGAGGGCGCACTGGGAGCACTGGTCGCCACTCGTCGGATTCCCGAGGGCCTTCCAACTGCTTGACATGCTCGTCGTCACCCTCATCTTCGTCGTCGCTGGAGGACTCCTCGCCGTGACGACCGTGACGTTGAGTCTCGTCTCGAGACTTGCGTCTCTCACGAAGATGCTCTTTGTGCCGAGTATCTATGTGAAAAGTATCAGTAAACAGTCTCGTCATAGGGCTCGCGAGCCTCAATAAGAATAGAACAAGAGCAGTTGCACTCACCTCTGATCTCTTGTGTTTTCACAGCATATAGTTGGATTTCTTCTTTTGTCAACACCCTCAGCACAATCACATAGTCCGACCGCTCCTCGAATCGCTCATTGCCTGCTTCCAGTGCCTCCGGGTTGACCAGCCGCCGGTCGATCTTCGTCCAGCGAGCGCCTGGCGGGATGCCCTCTTTGGTAGCATCCTTGAGGGGAGCCACCCCCTCTCTCACTGGGTTGGGTTCTTCAGGGAAGGCCTCACGAGGGGCCTTGAGAATTCCCTTAGGAGGCGCCTCAGGCTCCTTTGGACCAACTGGTGGTTCGACCGCAACCAGCCTTCTGGGATCATCCTTGGACATGTCATTAGGCGGCGAACGACGTGGCTCGCTAGAAGTGCCATCTTCTAAAAAGCGGTGGCGGGAGCGAGACGACCGATGTCCACGCGAGTGGTCCCGATGTCTGCGATGCCGTGAGCGCTCACGGCTGTGATCACGCTCACTCTCAAAAGTATCCGTGCTACTGTTGGTCGACTGGCGCGGGTGTGCTGGCGCAGCGGCCTCCCTCCTGTAATTCTTCAAGTCATCATCGGACGTGTCCGCATCATTGTGATGTGTTCGTCGTCGAGAGCGTCGCCGCCGATCGTGACGGTGAGCGTCTTCTGGGTCTAGGTAGCCTTGGTTGCTCCTTTCGGTGCTAGGCACTGCCGTTACCAGCTCCCGGGATGTTGGCTGTGCAGTGTCATGGCCACGGCCTTCACGATCGTCATGGGCACGTCTGTGTACGCGCCTTGATGGACGGTGATGCTCGAAGTCCTCGACGTCGGAATACCCCCCGCCTAAAGCCGCCGTTCCAAGTCCCATTGCGGTCAGTGAGGCGCTTTCTTGCGGCTTCGTGTGGTGGTCTCCATATTGATGGTCTCGGTCGCTTTCATGGTGTCTTCGGTGACGGCGATGGGAGCGCTCATGACGAGGAAAGTACTCCTCGTCAGAATCATGAGGCACGGCGACTAGAGCCTGGTCATGTGCCCCTTCTTTAGGCCTATGGGCATCACGATGGTCATCCCGCCTGCGGGTGGAGCTTCGTTGTCGCTCTCGGGGGATCTTATCAAATCCCCAGGAAGTTGGAGGTGGGCCATGGGGGCGTTCCTTTCGTGCCACCCACTGGAGACTGTCTTCCGCCCCAGAGATGCTCATCGGTCGATCGAGTGAATATCTGTGGTTGCGGGGACGAGGCTTTACCGGGTAGTCTCGGTCGAATTGCTCGCGAGGCGTGGTGTAAGAGTAAGCATCGAAATCGTCAATGTCATCACCCTTTCTCAGTCCATCGTAAGCTGGATGACGTCCTGAGTGGGACGGTGGATAATGTCTCGGCGAGCCATGACCTGTCCGATGTCTCCCATCGTCTCTCGGGTCACGGCGTCCATTATCACTGGCGTAATCGGTGGTTTGCATGCGCAGGTGTGCGGGGTGTCGAGGTGAAGCAGGGACGACATGCGGCTCCGATGCTGATGGAAGAGGACCCAGGATAGGTCGATGTGCTGGGTGTTGCACAGGTGAGAGGTGATGACGGGATGTGTGGGGTGCTGCTAGACGGATCTGGGGGTAAAGGTCTGCTGCAGATGTGGTGCTGCTTCTATGCCTAGCGGGCTGGACGCTGTACTCAGTTCGCTTCTTGGCGGATGCTGTCGGGTCATGGATTCGATGAGACGAGACTGGGTGGACCTCCAGCGTCGATGCCCGCGCTGGACGATACCCATAGGCACTGGCGTATCCAGTATCGGACGGGTAGTCATCATAATTGTGGCGGCGGGGCGCATCATACGGGTCGTAGGAGGATGCCATCTGGACCGTGCCAGTTGAAGCTCGCATGGGATCCATCATAGAGTGCCGTCCACGGCTGGGGGACAAATGGCGATGGCTTGACATTCTGAGATGGGGTTCGATGAATTGGGGGGGTAACGGGTGGTTTGTTTCAGCTCTGAATTCGGCTTCACTATCGGTCTGGCACTCTCAGCTTCTCCGATCGGCTTCAGAGAGAGTTGAGGATCAGGGGTCCCGAGTTGGGCTTCGATTGCTCAATTCTTGTAGCAATGCCCAACACGGGTGACTCGGGAGAAAGGAGGATGAAGACCGAAGAAATTGGAGGATCCTTATTTGCGACGCGAGTCCCATCCAGTGGAGCCCAATCTTTGCCCAACACAAAAAAAAAAAACGAAGAAGCTCGGACGATGTGAAATAGGAGAAAAGTTGCAAAACAATGACGCAGTGGATAAAGTGGACAAAGTGGACAAAGTGGGTTGATTACACAACCCCGCCGTTAGGTTTGTCTTTCTTTTTTAGTACTTACGAGTAGACAGTACTCAGCTCCATTGTCAAATGCAAAGAGATCATAGATCGCAGATCTAGATATCTGTAACCGCGGATCACTCCTGGCCGGAAACTGGGGCCGTTCTTAACCATGAAACGTTCAACATGACACTTTCTGAGGCTCTGAGGAATCCACTCTGCCGTTTCGCCCGGGACTCTCGGGTTTCGATGAGGTCATCATTTCGGCTCCGAATGGCTTCGGTTTTTTGTCTCGACGTTTGGGTGGATTTCCATTCTTAATTGCACTCCATTGGTTAGAATCTCGGACGACCTGTTTCGTGGACTTTCACCAATTCGAGCTGAAATTAAATTGATTCGAACCAAATAGTTCTATGACATTGCAAATATACATACAGCTGACACATATCAATGTGCCTGGGAAAACTATCGTAAGCGTTTGTGAGCAACATTGACCCGAAGAAACGCGGAGAAGGGATGCGCGCCTCAACCCCCAGTCTCTTCCAAGGAAACTGAGTCCTCCATGGCCAAAATGAAGAAGGAGAAGAAGAAAAAAGAAAAAAAGAAAAGAAAAAGAAAAAAACAGAAGCCAGAAAGCCAGCAGATCGAAAGTTCTAGGCCAAAATACTCCGTACTTTGAAGAGCAACACGTCTACGGCGTACAAAGTACTGGCATTATGCATTGCCCTACTTGAACCCTATCTGAACTATCTGAACCCCCGAAGGGAGTCCGATCCTGGATGAAAATGAACTCTCTCCATATTTATCTACATCATCTCATTCACCCACCAACTCATCAAGTATACACGCATATCAAATTTCGGCGTTCTCCGAACGGGGCTGAATTTACCCCCTCTGGTTCACCCTCGCACCCGCCAAAGGCCAAGAGCCAGACGCCCGAGCCGACACACATACACGAAAGAACAGCGGACATAGCATCCAAAGTGTCGGCACTAGACGCTCAAGCTCGCCTATCCCATATCTCACCAATTCTGATATCAGCGGCCTTGAAGCCTGAATTGGCCCGCCTCGTCGCAGGCGGGCAACACTCAATAATGGAAACCAGATCTTCCTGGTTTCGATATACCGACTTCCACTGCAGACTTTGCCCAGTGCCCAGGTATATTTCGCTCAATATGATGGCGGAGCCCGGCCCGGGTCACGGGTGAAGATGCGCTGGGGTATGAAAAACGAGGTTTTGCAATGAGTGCTAACGCTGGCTGGTTGATTTCTACTGCACTTCAACGCCTGGGTATTGATTGTTGTTTCTTTTTTCTTCTGCTTCCTTTCCAATTGGATATTTTGTCCGCTGAGACTCAAGGGCTCGACTTGGGTTTGCAGTTCGGGTTGCATCTGTTCACCTTGGGGTTGCTGCAGACTGTATTCTATACTTGGTGCAATTGCCAATGGGTGCCCTGATTCTGGAGGCCTGGGTATCGGCGACAAGATATAAAGGAGGTTCTCTGTCGGATTTCGAGTTTCTTCCACACCATTATACTTCGAATTGCCTAGTTCGCTCTGAACAATATTCCCGAACGCAATCATCCAGCTTGTCCAAGCTCCAATTCCAAACGCCCAATACCCCACACAGCAAAGCGTTTCATTGAAACCTTCAGTCACTATGTCTGCATCTACCTTTTTCAGCGAGCGTTCACCTGTCGATATTGACCACCTTTCGTCCGACTGGCCTGTCGAACATTCCAATTACTCCACCTATGCCCAGAACGTGAGCATATCAGTCACTCCAAGCTATCGTTTGGCATCTACTCTCTCGCCCACCAACCTTGCTTTCACGCTTCCCGAATCCTTGTCGACGGGTGCCCCTAAGATGGCAGCAAGCTGGTGGACATGCTGCCGATGCAAGCAAATGGTGAATCCGAACTTGGCACCTGAGGAACGATGCCCTTGCTGCTCGCATACCCGTTGCATCGAATGCCGTAGCGAAAATGTGCAGTGAACTGAGGACATTCATGCAGATATGTGTCTCAATTTCTTGCTTTTGACTATGAGTTTGGGCTATTTGGGTATTTTTGTTTTCTTTCTGGTTGCGTGGATACTTGGTCAATTTTTTGGGGATTTCTTTTGAAACTTGCTTCTACCGTGGCCATGGCCTGGTCATTTGTTTTGGGATTGTTTAGACTATACTCTCACGCATGGCTGTGCGTTCGACATCACCGAGCTTCTCAAGGCATCTTAGCGACTTGTCTGTTGTGAGCGTTTTGTTTGGCGAAGGCATTGGACACAGATACACTGGGCATTCTCTAGAGATTGGTTGAAACCTTGAAATTTTATGTTGTTTTTTGCTACTTAAGAGTCTTATCTTACCTACGTCTCTAGACCTGCTAGGTGAATGGCGACTTTAGGAGGACTAACGCCATTCTAAATTTGTCGTTGAGGTTGATCCGAGTTCAACTCCAGGGCTTGGATTCCCAGGTGCGTTTTCAACGCCCTGCCAAGGTCAATGGCCATGGCATTCAGGTGTCAATGATCTGCCGAAGCTTATAGCAATTACACTCCGGTAGGTACGTAATGGCAAATTGGGCCCTACGCTGGAGCGGCCCGTCGGAATGTGACCAATCCTATCGCGTCAAAAGTATTTCGACGTTAGTGTATATAGTGGATACATTTAGCATTAATTAGTTATAGTGGTATCCAATGCATGATGCACGTCAATGTGCCCTGAGATATTCCTCGAATCATCAATGCGTATTTTTCTCCGGCTGGTTACGCCCTGAATGTGGGGTTGTCGGGACAGCCCCATTATCGGGCGGCACCAGTCCAGCCTCCTGTTTCAAGCGCGTCACCACGGGACCAAAGGCGTAATGGCTCTCCATGCTACTATGATCGGCACATGGGCTCTGCTTGATTGGCAGGAGCCAATCGGCGATACTGTGCCCCATGACTTGCCGTAGGTTCTTAATTGGAGTGCCCAGATCGAAGGGATTCTCGCCCGGTTGGGTGTGGAGAATAGCAAAAACGTGGCGTTCGGTGGAGGGGTTCGTTTCTTGCGGTTGGCCTGGGGTCGATGCCTCGGGTGGGTAGGAGACCATGGGAAATGTTGGGGCCCAGGGAGACTGGGTATCCCAGAGTCGGTCGAGCATATGCTCAGGCACACGTATAGCAAGGGTCCAAACAGCGGTGCGTCGATTGAGATTCTCAATCGTTGTTATGTTAAAGATGCCCATTTGTACCGAACTCAAAGTCATTCCAGCTGTAAAGAAAGCAAAAAGGGCACTCCTGATGATTTGTAAGTTTCAATCAAATATTTGTTCCTTTCCAAAGAAGCCACTCACAGTCCAATGCAAACACACCAATACGGATTTGCGCCTCCGGTCTACCGGTATGTTAGTGACACAAGACGACCAAACTTTGGGTCACCGGGAACTCACATTGCGCCGGATCTCCGCAGTGAAATATGCGGAGACTATAAGAGCGAAAGTGCAGTAGATACAAGTGTAAACCACAAATTGAATGAAGAATTTGAATGATGTCTCCGACACAACCCCTCCAACCCTGCTGCCTGTTAGCGAATTCTCAGTGATCTGACGAGAATCTTAATATCATACCAGGGGCAGAAATGATCCATTTTGCGCACACAGCGACCCAGCTCCCTGCAATGGTGTGCCCTGTCTGTCTTGTATTGACAGCAGGTTGAGCACCAAAGGGGCCGGCCATCCTGCTGGCACACGAAAACGTCCTTGGTATAAAAGCTCTCTAAATCCAGATCTGGTTCAGATTTCACGCCCCCAGACGTGGGGCCCAAGCCCCTTTCCACGTCAGTGTCCGACTGGGTGGTTTTCTCGGACTCGGCTTTCCGCGCGCTCTTCCGATGGCGCCTCCGGTGCGACTTCTTCGTCTTCTTTTCGTTTTCATCGCTTTGATCATCCTGCAGCTTATGATCGCCGATGGGAAGATAGCCAGGGTTCCAAAGGACGTGATAATAAAGATGAAGATAAGTGACAACCATAGGAATTAAAAGGACGTAATAGACGGTAAGGATCGCAGCGCCAGCGCCAACTCGTGGACCTCGGTCATAAGAAGGTAAAGGATGAATTAAATAGTCGACTGCGATGAACGGTCAGTTCTGAGTACGGTAGGACAAAGGCGAGTCGCGATACTCACTGCACAGCGGTTTCGTTACCGCGTAAGAAGCGTAGACCACGGCGCCGAGTAGCACCGGCGGAATGAGCCTGGATACCACAACATTGGCGCGCTTTTGCGCCGCGGGGGACGCCATATGGAGTCAAAGCTACAGCAATATCAAATGCATGGAGGACATAGTAAGAAAGATCGAGGGATCCATCGCATGAGGCAGCCGAAGCCAAACAGTGCAAACACCTGACGTAATCTCCCCGAATCCGAACCTGTGGGTTGCTCCGAAGTACCCATGGATCGGGGGCATCAGGGGAACTGTTGCCCTAACCGTTGCTTGAAATGCCAGTTCAACCTCATTTCCAACCGGTCTTGCCGGCCTTTTCTTAGGCTCGCCCTGCAGACCTCAGCTGCGACCGCCCGATGTTCCTAAAAATGTTCTAGTGGATCACCTCATTCTCTCTTTTTAGATACTACAGTTGTAATCGGTAGAAATAGTATTTGAGATGGCACATGGCGTGGAATGGGAGGGAATTCAAATTAGAAATCAGCCTTGGGGTTTCACAGCATCTCGTAATCTTGTATTTCTCGGTATCTCCAAGTACGAGTACCTCCAATCGCCAACGGCGCTGAACCAATTTCACATCGTCATGTTCAGCGTCAGAATTAGAGCCTGGGTGACTTAGGCAACAGAAGGGCTGGGACGGGGCACCTGATTTCGCGATGACTCTTCATTTCTCTTTTGGCGCAACAGCTGCCTGGAAAATTAGGGAGAGTGGATCATATTGGACGCCTGGGAAACCAATTGATGGACTTCATTTGTACAAGGCATCAACCGCGACAGAGGAATCCGAGTTTGTGACGATGTGTTGACCGTTATTTCGGACAAACCGAGCCCACTAGATTGTACCGAAACCCATAGTTTCCCGGGTAAGCCAGCTCATTGCAGACGGTGAGAATTTGCTTAGCCCTGAGTGAGAGTGGGGGCGCTGTTGAGTCAACGCGCCCGCTCTTCAGGTGTGACATTCCTGACATTCTAGGCGCAGGCCGATATGCCTGGGGCAATGAGTAAACCCGGGGCCACATTTCGGGCGACTCTCTCCCCAGGATGATGTGCAACTGCAGCTTTCACCCAGTGGGCCCAATACTGACTACCCGGGCGAAGGAATTTGGCCTTACCAAATACGGTTTCCGCAAGGCAGACGGGGCTGTTGGCTATGTCCAAGCAGAGCGCTGCCTTGTCTTTCTGTTCTAGTACTTCTTTTTATACTTGTAATCTTCAGTTATATAGCTTCGGTGATCCCCCATGTCTAAAATCTAATTCATCCTTCAACTCAATTCCATATAATCCCAAGTATAGCTCGCGCAAGTCGACTTCGAACACACCCTATCTGTGTCTATATAGAGCTCGCCTCGCCTTCCAAAGTTCCAATCGCTCTACATTGCTCTACATTGCCTCTACCTCTGCCTCTACCTCTGCCTCTGATACCAAATCAACCAATCTATCACAACACAACAATGGCTTCTCTTTGGTACTGCTGCTGCTGCTCCTTCGGCCCTCACAACCTATCCCTCCACGAAGCCTGCATTCAGTGCGGAACACCTCGCTGCGGACGCTGCACCGAACAGAAGGTCTCCGACAGCATGAACCTGCACTCCCACTCTCACAGCTATGATATCACATCTGCATACCCAGCCGCCGTGCCCACGAACTCTCCTCCAACACCAACCTTCAAGCCGACGACCATGGACATTGCTGTACCAGATCTTCCCCGTATAAGGGCCCTTCCACGAGCAGACTGCACAAGCATCTCATCAACCCCACTAGGTGGAATCCGAACCCACGGCGAGACCTACATGTACATCTGTTGCTCTTGCCATGACGGTCCAAAGATCTACAACCACCAGCCTCAATGTGTTGAGTGCGGGCACATGTCCTGTGGCCGCTGCGTCTATGTCAAGTGAGATTCTGAATGGTCAGTCTCGCTGGTCGAGACTCAAGATCATGAGCTAAATGGTAAGCTCCGCCTCCTTCTCACTCAGCATTGTCCTTGAAGCTTACGCCCCGGCAGAGTGAAATCGAGCTATCGTTTCTACTGTGTTTCTATTGTCTTGTTGTGATTTGTGCGAAGCGGGTCATGGGTCATGAGCATATATCCTGGTGTATTATTTTGCATTTTTTTATTGTTTTGCATTTTTGTTGTCGCATTGAAAGATTAGAGAGTCTATACTTGCTGTTCCTGATTTAGTTTAGCGCCGGTATGAGGTCAGTGGGGGCCGGATCCCCTTCAGGGCTGTCTGCCTTGTCCAATTTCAATCCAACGTCTGAATAATTTCTTTACTTTGATTAGTAGTTGATACTTGCTTTGGATTCTTCGATTTCACCGATTCTGAGGTTTATGGTGCCCGACTGCGCCATGCGAAAGAGTCATCGAACTCCTGATCTTCACCACATGCAGCAAACCCTGTCCGAGCCTCACAGTCCGGGCAATCGTACAGTCTGATTTCCATTATGGTCTGCCATGACTGGCTGGCATCATTTGCGGCTCCGCCATAAAAGGTGCCCGCCGTGGGCTCTGAGTGGATGTTGGCGTATAATAATCTACCAGCCAAGAGGGTGCTAGTGGAAACACCTGCGCCCGGGGGCTCACAAGCCTGTTGCTCCTTTACCCGCTTACCGCTCCTTAAGCCTAGCGTCTGCAGCAAACAGCCCTACGGACCATAGTGGAAGAAGCGGTCTTGGTATGCTGATTATGGCGGAGACTCCGTGCGTTCATACTTGCTTTCCGCTCCTTTTCCCCCATACGAGCATTTTCTCATGAACTCCGCCACGGAAGAGGTGAGATTATCTACGACATTATGCCACATCTATAGATTACAGTATATCTCTTACAATCACGCGTGGTTTTCTGTGTTCCTGTCACCAAGCACCCCCCACTTGCTTCTGAGGCTGTGCGTGGACTGTGCGCCCCGGAAGGGGTTTTGCTTGGCTTTTCTGACCCTCGCGCTTGTTTGGTGGATAGTCCGCGGAGCATTTTACTTCTATTCTATATGCCAGAAATACGAGTAATTGTCAAATCTCCACAACGGTAAAATCCGCAATGCACTTGATATTCTCCGGTCTTCGCGCTCGGGCGCACGGGGGTGTGACCCATCCTACTATACTCCGTATACGATATGACTCCCACGCTATACTCCGCATATGAACCGAGACTTCGAGAATACATGAACATGAGACAAGGGTCAAGAGCCTGTCGGATTCCTCTCCCTCGTCATGACTCACTCGTATATCTCTGCATAAATCTATGATATCACCGTTGGCTGGAATAGCAATGTCACCTGCGCGAACTATCTTCCAAGGTTTCCAAAAATATTTTCCAGAAGATCATCAACAAATTCGTTCTGGCCTATCTTTGTTTATTGCTATTATTGTCATGTTCTAAGATACCTTGAAACGTCGGGCCAGTCGTACAACCATTACATTTGGCCCCCATTCTGACCGTTTACGCGCTAGTATACTTAGCAACCAGCCGCAACCCACACCTTGCACTTTTGGCTTTCTCACGACAGTCATTCCTGGATGTGTATTTAGTGTTCTGAGCTTCTAATTTGGGGTCTGGGCTATTCTTCTTGATTTCCGCCCCCAATTCTCAGCTACTATGCACTCCGTACCCGTGGACTGATGTACATACTAGCTGACAATATGCAACTATCGACCAGCTTGCGCTGATAGAAGATTATACCATTGTTTCTATGTATTCGATTGGTCAAGCGGCACTGCTGAATGTGTTTCACTTTATTCTCGAGGTCTGATATCGAGTTTCTAATGACCACATGTCACCCCCGGGATCGTACGATGCTCATTTCCGGCCATCCAATATATATATACAATGTCGAGAATTTTGATACATGACTTGGCAACCTTCATCCGCCCTGAGGTAAACCCGCTTAATTAGGATAACCAAGCTTGGAATATGTAAATAAATCGAATTTCGAAATGTTTCACTCTAGCTGTCATGGTATAACCCTGAATAATGTGGCTGTACCTCCAACCTTAGATACTTAAGTAGTCCAGGGCTTGAAGCCGAACGGGGACCGCGAGCAAACCTAAGTAAAGTTTCAAGGTGCCATTGTTAACCTTTCAAGCCCACGGGTGCTCAAGTGAGACTTCAGGAATACCACATCTACTTACTTAGTACTTAAGTATGGACCCATAGGGGTCTACAGGTTAATACACACCTGCCCAGGTGGACAGGCATGCAACCCATTTGAGGGTTGGGACTTCAGGATACGTACTTAAGTAGTTGGGGTGGAAATGCAGACACCTGCCCCGATGCCCAGGTGGGTAGCACCTGGGGACAATGATCAAACCCTGAGGTTCTACCTTGGAATACCTACTCCGTATCATGCTCAAGATCATCTTTCACGAGAAATACCTCTAGCTGTAGACCTCCAGGGCTAGTTCTAGAGGACCCAACCTTCTAAGGTTGCCCAAGTGGAAGTCCCCCGGGGCCGGGTTTCTATTTAAGCACTCAGCCTTGGAGACACAACCTTGCAACTTCTAGTAAAAAAAAAAAAGTTTAGAAGATATCTAAGAACCCCCAGGGCCCTGGACCAGGAAATGAATTGAAAAGAGAGAATAGACATTGAATGCGCGCTAATAATATGTGCTGTAGAAATCCACCAGGATTGTAATCGTACAACGGCACCCGGAAACCAACCAGATGGAATTGAGAGCCTTGAAAGTTCTGGCGAGAACACCAACTCGGCTAATAGTGCAAGGATCCAGGTCATTCATGGATGAAAGCCCGGAAACAATTGATGAAAAGGAAATCACATGACGATGAACGGCATAGAGCCATGGCGAGGACTGCCTGAGTCCAATGTGATGCGATGTGATGAAGGTTGTGATGGTTTTTTTTCCCCAGCCACCGAAGCGAAGTTCGATAGCGGTGATCACAAAACAAATGGAAGACAGCTCACCTTGCAGGACCCCAAAAGTCCTTGAGGATTGAGTATGGGAGAAAGTTACAGGGACAAGACACGCGACGGGTCTTGGAGGAAGCGCCTACGGTATGCGGCTATCTCTGTGGCCACAGTGTTGAAATCTTTCACCTTGTCACGCCGAAGATCGTTGATGATCTCTTTCAGACCAGCAAGATACGTTTCCTTTTCTTCTTCAGTTTGGCCCTCTCGGGCGGAACCCATTTGGATGAGGATCTTATCATCTGTCGAGGTTAATGGTTCTGTAATCAGCATGCGGACAGGGTAAAAAAATGAGTGGCTGAGATCGAATAATGACAAAATGAAAGGGAACGGATTGAGGCAATGAGGGGGTGTGATGGGAAGAAGACTTCAGTGAAAATGCGGGAAGGAGGGGTGTTATAGGAGGAAAAACGCATCGAAGAAGTCTTGACAATGCGAGACCGCCGTGGGGTAGCTCGAAATCGATGTAAAATGCTGCATATTGTTCATGTCGACGCACCGCTTAGAGAGATATCACGAAGGTGCTGGGACCCGCAAGATCGATCGTTGCAGACACCCCCAGCAACTTCGTATGGGCATAAAGATTTCATCGAGTCGATGTTATGACTGTAAGTTAATGAGCGGTAGCCGCTCGGGACGTCTTCAGCGTAATTGGGGTGATATCGGTAGGCCTTGAAAGATCGAAGTGGACTAGTGTAGGGCGTAAACTTGTGTGTCGAGTTCTCACGAACGGAGTTTGGAGGAGGTTTTTCGGTCTAGAAAAGCATTAGGGGCTGGTTGCAGTCAGAGAGACCTGGGAAAAGAGATATTCATACGCCAAGAGTGCCAACCTGCAGATCCATTTGTGATGCACCTGACACATGAGGGGCTTTTGTTAGTTCTGCAGTGGGTTGAGTGGCGTCAAATGAAGGCGTCACAGCCGTGGTGATGTCTACGGGGTCGGGAGCTGGGCTGAAAGGAGGAGGGCTGTAGCTGGAGCCTTCGGACCGAGCTTCAGTGTCAGGCTCCGGTGGCTCATATGCCTCGGACTCAACGGAAGATTCGCGTTGAGATGGGTCGTTTTGAGAAGAGTCATCAGACTTTTCAGATTTCTCAGTTTGCGATTGCAGAGGAGGGTCGATGTCCATAGGCTCCGATGACACCTGAGCATCGATCTGCTCGGGAGAGCGGGAAGGTTCATCCTCGTCTTCGCTAGAATCAGAGCTCTCGCTGCTACTATCATCAGACTCTTGCATGGCCGAGCCGTCCGAATCAGAATCGGGAGAAGGCGAGAGAGGGGCAGTCTCCCGAGCAGGTCCTGCATTAGTATTAGTCGACAGAGCCTCTGGCACGGGATGCTGACGCTCCGGGGCAGGGTCATCGCGTGAAGCCATGGGCACCCCGGCATCAGAAGCCTCTGCATCCGCTGCACTGGATAGCGCAATTGATGGTGCGCTGGATTCGTCAAAATTGCGTGGTGATTGTGTGCGGCTAGCGGCCAGTTTGGATTTTCGACGAAGCTCCAGCTCCGCGATCTTGCGACGCATTTCCTGAATTTGCAAATCCTTCGATTGGATTTGACCTTGATCGTTGGTACCAATAGTGGTCTGTGGGGTGGAGGTCGAAGTCCTGTTGCCTGGAATATTGGTCTGGGATGGGACCTTCGAAATGGCTGAACTGATTATTGTAGCCGGCTCTTGCTCCGAGCTCGAGTCCAGTTCCATTTGATCGTCCTCGTCATCGCCATATAGGGACTCATCATCGCTGATTGCAATAATAAGTTTCTCGGCAGGCCTGAAGCGATTTGCCGTTGGATCAAAATGCTTCTTTGAATGTGTAGATGGCTCATCGAAATCAGACGCTAAGGGACGCTTGCGATGAGTGGAGTGGGACACGGGAGTGTGGTCAGATGCGACATCCTGCGGGCCTTCCGAACCAGCCATTAGAAGCCCTGGAAGCGCGGCAGGGGTCTGGGATTCCGGAATGGGAGGTCGAACAGGGAGGGGATGATGGATGGCTTGCGTTGGAGATTCTTGAGACACGGGCGCTAGACTCTCCTGCAGCTTTTGTTGGGTCTTGAGTAGAGCTTTCTGTTTGAGTTCTTCTATCCGTTGCCTAGCAAGGTCTGTCTGAGCTTTGCTCTTCTCTTTGAGCGGCGGACGGCTTTCCTCTGAGACAGCAGGCGCAGAGATCGTGCTCCCAGTCGGCGAGGGCTCCTTGGAAGCAGTCTTAGCAGCCTTCTCAGCGAGCATCTGGGCAATGAGCTCTTTCCGCTCCATAGGTTTGCCAGCTTTCAATGCAGGCGTAGCAGGCATGGCAGTTCGGGGGGCTGGTATGTTTGGCTTGACGAGACCGCGTTTCTCCTTGCCCGATGGTGTCACACTCGATGATTGTGTGGTGCCAGAAGGTTTCTCATGCGTTGAAAGTGTAGGATCAGAGTCGAGTGTGACTTTGATACCCACATCTTCATACAGTCGTTTCAAGACGACAGGGCTAATTCCCTCTGCCACCAGCTCCTTGTACCGAATGTTATGGGGTGCCAAGCTGAGCAAAGCACCCTGAGCTTGGATGCGTAGCTGTGCTGCTGATTTGACGGGCTTTGGATCTGGGGGAATCGCATCTGAAATAAAGTTGTTGGGCTCCATCGCGTGTCCAATGATGCCAGGATCTGCCGAGACAGACAAAGGAGGATTGTATGCTGTGTCAAATTAGTTTCGGGATGCGGAGAGTGCAGGAGATGGAAGACGTACGTGATCCGCTACTCCTTCTGGAGGAGCGTCCACTAGAAGATATTGTTTCCCCTTCTTCCAGATCAGAGTACTGCCGTGAAGCCTTGCGCTTAGACTCCAGTGATCGTTCATCCACAGACTCGCTGACTTCGCCTTCCTCACGACTGGGCGGTGCACGGATGGTGATCTTTTTTGATTGTGGGGGTTTGATGAATGTAGCCTGGGAGGTCTGTTGAGACGATGTTTGCTGCGGCAGTGGCGCGTTGGAGGACCCTGTTGGCATTGGGATCGGGGGATACCCCGTCGGCGGGAATTGCATAGGAGGGAAATTGGGTGGGAAACGCGAAGGATCAAATGGATTGAAAAAAGGGAGCTGATGTGGAAAATAGCCTGCTGAATTCAGACCATCACCAGCACCTGGGATTCGCGAATTCGCGTCCACGCTGGCCAAGTTGTAATCAAATGATGTAGGATGGTTAGACTGGGGATTCATGGCAGAAAATTCAGGCGGAATTGGAAAATTTGGCGGGAACATGGCGGGATGTGCCGGAGGCCATTGCTGGGTATAGTTTGGATGACCCCCAAAGGAGGTAGGTGGCTGCTCTGACATGACGAGATGGGCAGGGAAGCGAGTATGGGTTGGCGAGATGCGCCGAGAATAACCAAAGCGTTACCGATAACTTCTTTGAGGGTTGAGGTTTAGGCACCGAGGTTCATAGTTCGATGTGGTCTTCGAAGTGAGGTCGCGTATTTCGTTGGCAACGGAGACTGAGAGTGGATCGTGGAGGTCACTTTCGACTATGGACGGGATATAAAAAAAATCTCAGAGGAAGAAAGGGTATGCGACCGCGGTAAACGTCAATTATCGGAGCCAATAATAAAAAAAGGGGGGATGGGTTAGATAGAGATGTCCTGGAGTGATGAGGTTGTGTTAAGCGCCTTTGTCAAAAATGATCGAGTTGTTCACGTGATCCGCACGGACCACATGCTATCGGCGGGCGCCCGAGGAACGCAGGGTAAACAAACATCATTGCGGAGATTCACTGGGCTCACCTCTCTCTTCCCACTTTTTGCAAACGCGCATTAATCCTAATATTTCGTTTTTCGTGTGTGACATTCCTATCTTTCCATTGCTCCCATTCCACCAGAACTATCAAAGTTGTGGAGCTTCTGGTTATGATAACGACTGCCTTGCTGAAATAATGTTCCATTGAAACACACGTCATGCTGCCCTCTCAACTAAATGGTTCGCCCAAGCGTGCCGGTCTATTCCAACGCCCATCATCTTCACAAGGGAACCTATCACCACACAGCAGGCCCAAATCCGCCATAATCACACCCTCCAATGGATTGGAGTCTGCAAGAGGCCACCTGCGGAATACGTCCGTTTCTCAGCTATCGCCAACATTCTCCCCCGGTGGAACCCGCGAGCGATCAAATTCAGCAAAGAATAGTCCATCCTCTGGAACTTTCGCTCCGAGCTTCATCAAGTCGGAAGAGCTTAGACGCGGAGCCGATCAAATTCGGGGAATAGAAGGGGAGAACGATTTCTCCGGAAACAAATATGTGTGGCTCCGAGACCCCGAACATGCGTTTATTCGTGGGCTGGTGCTGGAAGAGTTGGAGGGGGATCGCCTGTTAGTGCAGAGCGATGACGGTGATGTAGGATCTTTATCCATGGACATGAACCGGAGAGATTGGATTGCTGACCGTATATCAGCAACGAGAAATCGATGCGGACCAAGTGGACAAAGTCAATCCTGCCAAATTCGACAAGGCAGATGATATGGCAGAATTGACACACCTAAACGAGGCATCGGTGGTGCACAATTTGCACACTAGATACCAATCTGATTTGATCTACGTTGGTGACACTTGCATAGAACACTCAAGTGGCCACAGCTAACACTCGGACTTTGCAGACGTATTCTGGACTATTCCTGGTCACGATCAACCCATATTGTCCATTGCCAATCTACACAAACGAATACATCAGGATGTACAAAGGACGTGGTAGAGAGGAGACAAAACCTCACATTTATGCCATGGCGGACGAGGCCTTCCGAAATCTCGTCGAGGAAGGGCAGAACCAGAGCATTCTCGTGACTGGAGAGTCAGGTGCAGGTAAAACCGAGAACACAAAGAAGGTTATACAATATCTCGCAGCTGTCGCCACTTCCGATACGCCTTACGCCAGATCTGGAGCGAAACAGATCACAGGTCTTTCGCAGCAGATCCTCAGAGCCAACCCCATTCTTGAAGCCTTTGGCAACGCCCAAACCGTCAGAAATCACAACTCATCTCGGTTTGGAAAGTTCATCCGCATCGAGTTCTCCAGGTCAGGCCAGATCTCTGGAGCCTGGATCGATTGGTATTTGCTCGAAAAATCTCGGGTCGTGAAACCTAACTCCAATGAGAGAAACTACCATGTTTTCTATCAGCTTCTGCAGGGAGCGGATCAAACCACACGGGAAAAACTTCTGCTCTCCGACCTGCAAATCGAAGATTTTGCATATACACGAGACGGGAATGACACAATTGTTGGTGTGTCAGACCACGAGGAGTGGAATTCACTGATTGAAGCTTTCCATGTCATGAACTTTGACGAAGAAGATCAACTCTGCATCCTGGGGACTATCGCGGCTGTTTTACACCTGGGTAACATCTCTGTGGCTAAAGCGAGCGTGAGGGCTGATCAAGCAGCCCTTGCACCGGAGGGACAAGGCAATATGGAAAAGGCTTGTCAGCTCCTCGGCATTGACGCAGAGGCCTTCGTTAAGGGACTTCTCCACCCCCGAGTGAAGGCTGGCCGCGAGTGGGTAGAGAAAGTGCAGACTCCTGAGCAGGTCCGCATGGCTCTAGATGCATTGTCGAAGGGTATCTATGAGCGCGGTTTTGGAAACCTTGTCTCCAGGATCAATGGTCAGCTTGGTCGCTCCATGGCAAGTGATGATAATTATTTCATTGGAGTACTCGATATTGCTGGTTTCGAGATTTTCGACAACAACAGCTTTGAGCAGCTTTGCATCAACTACACCAACGAAAAGCTCCAACAGTTCTTCAACCATCACATGTTTGTTCTCGAGCAAGAAGAATATGCCAGGGAACAGATTGAGTGGCAATTCATCGACTTCGGAAAGGACCTTCAGCCAACGATTGATCTCATCGAGTTGACTAATCCAATTGGTATCTTCTCCTGTCTCGATGAGGACTGCGTAATGCCCAAAGCAACGGATAAATCTTTCACAGAGAAGCTTCATGGTCTCTGGGATCGCAAGACGGCCAAGTACCGCGCATCTCGCCTCAGTCAGGGCTTTGTTCTCACCCACTACGCCGCAGAGGTCGAGTATACAACAAGTGACTGGCTGGAAAAGAACAAGGACCCGCTAAACGATAATATTACTCGACTTCTCGCAGACTCCAGCGCTCCCCATATCGCCCACCTGTTCTCCGACTGCGCAGGCTCAGAAGAGGATGCCGTCGGACACCATCCCAGGAGCCGTGTTAAGAAGGGCCTATTCCGTACCGTGGCCCAGAGACATAAAGAGCAGCTGTCCAGTCTCATGGCGCAACTTCACTCCACTCATCCTCACTTCGTCCGCTGTATCTTACCCAACCACAAGAAGCGACCAAAGATGCTGCACGCCCCGTTAGTCCTTGACCAGTTGCGATGCAACGGTGTTCTGGAGGGTATTCGAATTGCCCGGACCGGTTTCCCTAACCGTCTACCCTTCGCGGAGTTCAGACAGCGGTACGAAGTACTGTGCCAACACATGCCAAAGGGTTATCTCGAGGGTCAGAGCGTTGCCCGCGTCATGCTAGAGAAGCTTGGCATGGATCGGGCTTGGTACCGCGTTGGTCGCACCAAGGTATTCTTTAGAGCCGGTGTTCTCGCTGATCTCGAGGAGAAGCGTGACCAACTGATTCGCACGATCATGTCCAAATTCCAGTCGATAGCAAGAGGCTTTGTGCAGCGCCGCATATCGAACAAGCGTCTATATCGCGCCGAGGCGACGCGCATTATCCAACAAAACTTCCACTCATATCTTGAACTTAATCGCAGTCCCTGGTGGCGTATGTTTTCGAGAATGAAACCCCTGCTCGGTGACACCAGAAATGCCAAAGAAGTGAAAAAGCGCGATGACAAGATCCAACAGCTTGAAGCGAAGATGAAGCAAGATCTTTCCGATCGCCAGAAGTTGGATGAGGAACGCCGTCGCACCGAGCTGGAGATCCAGAAAATCCAACATACCTTGGAGAGCGAACGCGTACTTGCTTTGGACAAGGAAGAAATATTCATGCGTCTGCAAGACCGCGAAAGCGAGCTCGCCGAAAAGCTCGCCGGTGCCCTTGCTGATCAAGAAGGCCTTGAAGAACAACTAGACGACTTGATCGATGCTAAAAAGAAGATCGATGACCAGTTACAGCTTCGGATCACCCAGCTCGAACAAGCAGGTTTAATCATCCAGAAGCTTGAAGCGGACAACAATGCCTTACAGGCCCAGCTCAAAGAGCTCGATGGCAAGCTCTCTGAGACTGCAACCCAGCTGTCAGGGAAAAATGACGAGATTGAAGAGGCTGGGCAAGAAATCAAGATTCTCCAAAGTCACATTAGCCTGAAAGACCGCAAACTTCAAGACCTCGAGGACAAATTGTTGAAGACGGACCAGGACCTGGAGGTCAAGCTAGCAACCACCTCCAAGGAATTGGAGAAATCCCAACAGCAAGTGCGTGACATGTCCGAGGAAAATCGCGCGATCCGAGACCAGATTTCCGAATTATCCGCAACCTCAACAGGTTACGAGGACCTTCTTCGTCGGAAGGAAGGTGATATGGCAGTCCTCCGCAATGACTTGAGCAAGCATGAGGAGGAGAGAGAAAGCATTGAACAGGAAATGAGCGCCGTTTCAACTCGCCATGATAACATGCAAGCCCGATTGCGCGAGGTTCAAGCAGAGAGAGATGCCATGCGCTCTGAACAGACGCAACTACAACGTGAAGCGGCAGATCTCAAGAGCTTGCTTGAGAACAAGATAACCGAAGATGCGGAGGCTGGAGAGAGCAGGAAATTGCTTGAAGACCAAGTTCATGAGCTCAAGGGTCAGGTCTTCCAAGCCCAGACCGATCTGAGCCGAGAACGCCAATCACGCGATGATGTTCAGATGCTCTCCGAGCACAATCTCGCACAGTTGACCCAGAAATATGAGACGCTGAATGAGGCCAAGATCACCATTGAGAAGGAAATGTACATTCAACAAGATAGCCTGCGCCGAGCCACCGAGGCGCGCATCGCGGCCGAGACCACACGAAAAGATCTGCAAGGCGAGCTCATTAAGCTCCGTGAGAGATTTACAGATGCTGAAACCGCCCGCATGAATACCGAAGCCGAGCTTGAACGCAAGATCATGCAGCAAGCGGATGAGCGCATAACAAGTTCGCGCAAAGATCTGGATGAGAAAACACGGCAACTCGAGGAAGTTGAGACTGAGCGATCTAGCCTCTCCGTGCGAATTCAAGAGCTCTTGCATTCGATTTCCGAATCCGAGAACTTCCGCCTGCGTCATGATCAGCACAAAGAGCGTCTTGAGCGAGAACTTGTCACTCTGAGGGGCCGATTGAACGCATCCGAAAATGATAACAAGTCCCTCCTGACCAAGATCCAACAAAAGAATCTCGACATCGCCCGGTCAAACTCCAAGGCCAGCGACAGCAACAGACTCCGGTTGACTACTCTTCAGAAGGAGAAGACTAGATTGGACGAAGAGACCAAGAAGCTCAGCCGCCAACTTGAAGACTCGCAGGTCATGATCACCTCTTTGGAAAAGCAGAAGGAAAAGCTGTCCTTGAGTCTGGAGGATCTGAACCACGAGGTGAACCGTGAACACAAAACAAGTCGCAATGCCGAAAAGGCCGCTTCAACTGCCAACCTCCAACTAGCCGAGTCCAACCGCAAGCTTGAAACTGAAAGACAGCTTCGGACCCAAGCCCAGGCCAACACCAGACAAACCCAAGGTGCACTTGATGGGGCAAACAAGGAGATCGAGGACCTGCATCGTCAATTGATTGTGCTGCATAGGGTGTTTGAACCCGAAGCTTCAGAACCAAAGCAATCCTGGGAAGCCGTTCAACCTCATCTCTCAAAGCAGGTTGACTTGGCTCAAGTCCTCGAGACCGTCCAGAACAAGCTCGGAGTCACCGAGGAGAAATATGCTCGAGCCGAAAGTCAGCTTGCTGAAATGCGTCGGCGTCACGCCGATGAGATGAAGGAGCTTGACACCAAGTACTCATCCTCCAAGCGAGCCTTACTCGAAGAGATCGACCAAAATGAAGTTGCGAACAACCGTACCCCCGCTCATCTCAGGAAGAACTCGGAGAATGCCGCTAAGAGATACTCCAACCCCACGACTCCCAACAGGCGTTATAACGTCTTTGAAGGGGCCAATGACTCCGCGCGTTCTGACCGCACCGTGGATACGCAGGGATACTCAAGGCGCATGGACACTGCTGCGGAATTGGAAGAGCTACAAAACAAGTTGCAGATGACAGAGATGCAAAACAAGCATCTCCAAAGCCAAATTGCCCGGTCCACCCCAGCTGGAGACATCTGGCAAGACGATAGCCCCTCTGTTCGTCGGATGCAGCTCCTCGAGCGCGAGAATGGCCGTCTCCACGATCAACTTGATGACTCCTCCAAGAAGGTTTCGTCTCTGGAGCGAAGTATTCGTTCAGGAGAATTGTCCCTCCGCGATGTGCAAGCCAAATCACATGAGGAGCTGTACGATCTGATCAATTCACAGGAGCAGTCAAGGCGCTCACTGCTCAAGCTTCAGAAAGAGACTATGGCTGAGTTTGGTGATGCCAAGACCCACTTCGAGAAACTGAAGCGTGCTCGGGCCACGCTCGAGGTCGAGCTGCGTGATGCTCGATCTGAAACCCAAGAGTTGCAACTTGGCAGAGATCAGGATACTGTCAGCCGCAACCAACTACTTCAGGAGTTTTCGGATCTGCAGATTCGCTTGGACGCCGAGTCCTCACGGTCGGCGGACTTGGAGTCTAGCCTCATGTTATACAAGAGCCGCTCAGACGAGTACTTCAACAAGCTTGAACAGGCTGAGATTGCTGTTATGAAGGCCTCCCGGGCGGAGCAATTCGCTAAATCCCAGGGCCAAGAAGCTGAGGAGACCTGTGCCCAGATTATGTCTGAGCGCAAGGAGATGGATGCTCTCGTGGAGGATTTGCAGCGGCAGTCGCAGTCCTTGGAGGCCCGTATGGAGGACCAGGCGGCTGAGCTTCAAGGCGCTTTACAGGCTAAGCAACGTCTTCAGAACGAACTCGAAGACTACCGCAATCAACGTGCGATTGACCTCGAGGACAAGGAGACCTCCATGGAACAGACCAGACAGAAGTACCAGCGCGAATTCTCAACGCTTACCAATGAGCTTGAGCTTGAGCGTGAGCGCGTGTTGAACGGCCGCGGGGAGAGTGCCCGTCTACGAGAGGAGCTCGAGGAGCTTCGCAGTAAGTGGGACGACGAGGTACTCAACAGCTCAACATGGGCCAAGGAGAAATCCCGCATGGAGGTTGTTCTACAAGACGTCAACAACTCCCGCGACGAAGCTGTCAATGCGCACAACGAGGCTCAAGGCAAGGTTGTCTCTCTCCTTTCTCAAGTTCGTACCCTCCGCACCTCTGTCGAGGATGTTCAGGCCGAGCGCGATCTACTTCTCAAGGACAAAAAGATGTTGGAGGGCCGATTGGCCGAAGCTGGCGAGCGACTGGAAGACCTCGCTAAGGGCGAGAGCCCATCCATGCGCAATGCCGCCAGTATGGACCGTGAACTTCTCGAACTCAAGTCCAGAATCGCTCAGCAGGAGGATGTCTCCGCTGCAGCTGTCGGAAAGATGCGTCGCGCTGATGCTCTGGCCACTGAGATGCAGAAGGAAATCACTGCTGAGCGGGAGGCCAACGCTCAACTTTTCAAAGACAAGGCTGCCGTCGAGAAGCAGCTTAAGGAGGCTCAACTGCGGTGTGTTGACTTGGAGACAAAGGGCTACTCCTCCGGTAGCCAGGACGTCCGTTTCTTACACAAGCGAATCAAAGAGGTGAGTCCCCATGATCAAAACTCACCAGCAGAAACCATGCTAACATAAGTTGTCCTCCTAGCTCGAAGCCCATTTGGAAGATCAAGAGACCAAACACAGCTCCGAGCAACGCTCCCTGAGAAATGTTGATCGCACTGTGAAGGACCTTCAATCCCAAATCGATCGCCGTGATAAGATGAACGCCCAGCTCAATGACGATCTCAACCGTGCTCGAGATAAGATTGAACGTCTCCTTCGTAACATCGAAGAGATCCAACACAATGATTCCGATGCACAACTCTTGGCACGCCGCGCTGAGCGGGAACTCCGCGAAGAACGCGAAAAAGCTTTGAGACTAGAGCGCGAGATTGAAGGCTGGAGAGGCCTTCGCGGTGAGCGAGGCAGCGTCATTGGGCGCCCAACCCACAATTTCAGTGATGCTGGAAGCCGCCGTGGCAGCGCTGTCTATGGCACTAATGATATTCCCCAACGGCACCCTAGCAACACCAAGGGCTTCCTGTGATCCGGAAATAAGTGACGCTTGGCCGATCTGGCCTTTTGTCTTAAAGCTTGCATCTGTGTTTACCTGTGATTTCTTTTACTTTCTCATTTCTTCTGTCTGGTTGGCGTCCACGGGTTCATGTGTACTGGGGAAGGGGTGGTTTAATATTTTGTGCAGGCCTACATGTTGATATTGTCTACGGGGTTTCGACGGGTCGTGTCTACCCAATTTGTTCTGCTTCCTATCTGGCGTTGATTTCAGGGGGTTACTCCTCTCTGTTTGTGTTCTTGAGCAATGTATACTTTACGGGTGGGATAGGTATGTCATCTACGATATCAGGAATGTAATAGCCTCCAGTAATGATGATCATCATGTGTTCAGCTTGAATAGAAGAAACAAAATACTAAAGTACTTAGTAGTTTGGCCGGGCCCCCAAACCCCCAACGCCAGGTGATCGTATCATTGGACATGTCTCGCCATGCCTAATGCACATAGCGGAAGGAAACGACTCCGCCGTGGGGATTACCTCTTTCTTGGCCGGCGATAGCTTCTCCTGCCACTCTTCCTTCTTCCAATTCTGCTTTCTCCAGCTCTGCATTCTGCTTCTTCAAATGCCACTTGATTCCTAAAGCTGTCATCGCACAGACTAAACAAGCCCCGCTCATGACGCCGCCACCAGCATAATACCTTGGCTTTTGCGAATCCGGGAACATATACGATGTATAGAAATGCGCCACACCAGCACCCATCAGGTTGACCAGTGCTAGTGATGTTGCTCGTTTGGCCTTTGGCCGAGGAAGCGTGGAGCTCAGCCAGGACACGCACAGATTGTAAGGAGAGTATGATCCAGCAGTCATGAGAAACATGCTGAAGTATCGACCGCCGGTCGTCGGTACGAACATCGCCTAAACACTGGCAGTTAGTCTTTGATGACCTTGGGATAAGAAGCCAGAGCTGATGATACGTACCAACAGATTACCGAGGAGAGCAAATGCCAGTGGAATGGCAATGTGATACCCACGTTCTTGCTTACGGGCCGCGTGAAAAGATATAATCAGAGAACAGATGAATGCAAATGCGTAGGGCGGTGCTGTTAGAAGTAGTGTTATAGTGTCGTCATATCCAAGTGTGCCGACAATAGAAGGGAAGAAGTTGTTGAAGGATTGTGCTGTAATAAGTGCCATCTGTAGTATGACAAACATGTACAGCTTGGGGTCAAGGAAGGCTTGTTTGAGGCCCCAGACCAGTGATTGGGGGTCATCATCCACAAGACCAGCGTTTTCGTTTTGAAGTCTCCAATCCTAATGTACCAATTAGTGAATGGGAAAAAGGCAAAGGGTGTGAATATTTGCTTGACTGACTGCAAGTATCTGGTGGTCGTCTTGAAGCCACCACCGTTTTGTTCCAGGATAATCCGGGATGAAAGGGATCACTAACAGTGCGATGGCAATGGTCATTGATCCCTCGATGATGAAAAGCCATTCCTACAACGGTAAGCATATCACCTATATAAAGAGAATACCAGGGGAAGTTTTACCCAGGCTGGCCTACCCAGCTTTCCTTCCATTCGTGCCACAATTCCTGCAGCTATCAAGCCTCCAAATGCACTTGCCAGCATATTGGCGCCATAAAGGAGTGCAATTCGAGGTGGAAGTTCTGATCGCTTGTACCAACAGGACATCAAGAAAAACACACCTGGTAAAAATGGTCCTTCTACCAGTCCAAGTACGAGTCGACAAACCAGAAGACCTGTAAAGTTGCGTGTAAAGGCTTGGCACATAGAAACAATCCCCCAGGCTGCTGTAACAAATCCGATATAGAGCGATGGTCTGACTTTTGTTATGATGAGATTAGATGGAATCTGGGTAATGATATCTAAGGAGACAAATGTTAGCGGTGTTGATGAACCGAGCAGCATAATGATCTGGCGTTGAGAGGATGAAAACTATTTGCAAAATAACGATTCTTACTCAAGGGCTTTCACTCACATCCAACATAGAAGATCATTAAGCACGTGTTGTACTGCGTGTTGGATATGCCGAGAGTATCAGGCAATCCTGCAATTTTGGCGTTGGCAATATTGTTACTGTAGAATGAACCAGTACACTTTCATCCTCTTTCTTGGGTTGGAATAACTACAGACCGATCAAGAATGTTCATGAGAAAGAGAATCACGACCGCAGGAAGAAGACAGCTATCAAGTCTTCGTACAAGTCCTCTCTCAAGTTCAACAAGACCATCTCCCTCCAGGTGAGCTAGTTCCCGCGGAAGTGGAAGCTGTTGCAATGGCCCGGGCTTCACAACCTCTACCGTTTCGACGTCTTGCTTGGATTGTGTAATACCGTCCATCTTGCTGGTAGGGATCTGAGGGTTTGGCAGTGGAGAGGGTGAAATGGCTATTCCAAAGTTTACTTAAATACACACTAGATGACATACAGCATTGATTTTATTGACGCGGATTAGCCACGAGCCATACCCGGATATGATACTGTCGATTGCATCCATGGATATCGGCGAGGTATCCGAAATCCGGGGTCGAATGCGGGGGAGTCAGTTTAGCAGCAAATGAGGGTAATGGCTGATAAAAAGACATCAAAATAATTCTTTGTTCGGACTCCAGGACCGGACGGAAAGCCGGCGTTACGGGATGGCCAGCTGGTAAATTGCCCTTTGCACAAACCACAGGCGTACCCTTGGAAGGTTATTCCTGGCTTATGAGAAAGACTAAAAGTAGAGTGCATACACCAGGGAAGTCTGACTTTTTGAAAACGTACGACTGGGGTCACATTTGGTATCCATACGGCGAGCTGTCCGGTCATCTACATCCACAGGGTTGGGAGGAATTCACATTCAGCAAGATAACGGGAAACGCTGATCATGCTCTACAGGCGTCAATACCCACTGCCAAGCAAATTTTTAGATGCAGAGATTTGCGTGCCAATTGATCCTATAGCCAATCTTCATCCCATGAAAATCGGAACTTCTTGTGGAAAGCCATGTCCTCTGAAGAAAGAAAATGGAACCATCTGCGATAATACACAAAAATATCATCAAGAGCGTTATCCGACCACAGGCCAAACTCAATCATACGCCATTCTTCCCATAGCAAAAATCCGTATTGAGAATAGACGTCGAACCCGAAGTATTTACCGGGCCCTCCTTCTGGATTTAGTTTCATGCTATTCCAGAACTGCAGACCGAGTGGTGCCCTTTCAAGTTCCAGGTACTCCTCCTGCACTGAGTGTGGTTCAAAATCTCGAATGGGATGTGCCACATATTGATCAGCTGAGCGACGTCGTATCTCCAGCCTTTCGGGGTACTCGTAGTCGTCACTATCAGTATCTGAAATGTCGTAGAGGATCCTCAAGCAGCCAACTCTAGGTATAGATCCGCTCTCGTCGCTATCCTCATTCTCATGGCTTCCATCCTCGTCATCTTCATCAGAATAGAAGTAGTCTTCATCGGATTCATCAGACGAGGAAATTGGCCCAAAATACCGTTCCCTTGGACGCTGAAGATCATGAGTCTCATCCGACGGTTGATATTGTTCCTGATTGACCTCTGGACTGGGCGCCTGGACACCCTGATTCCTTTCTTCTTCAGCTTTATCGCTTGGATCCTCTTCCAAATCAATGATTCGAAAATGCGATTGGTTACTCGATTGTCGTGCCAGCTGATCGTATCCAGTATCCAGTGGTGTAGTGAAGATCTCACTGTGTATGCGGGGATTTTCATCAGGACACTGTCCTTGGGAGATCGCCTGCCATGTGGGCGGAGGTTGACAGTACCAGCCAAATTCCCGCTCCTTTGGAATAGGAAGTAATGTCAATACCTGGCAAAGTATCGCCCTTTTTTGAGATTTTGGGGCTGAATGATATCCTGTCAGGTAATCGAGCGCCATCAATGTTTGCATTGTGCAAGTAAGAAACAGAGAATCAGAATCCCAATACAGTCTTCCGCTCCACAAGTCATCTTTGGCCTCAGGCAGCCATCTGAGCGAGCCTTTGTGTGATTCTATGCGGAGTCGATTGAGAAATACAATCCGCCAGAACCCTAGAAAGCCACGCTGCTCCTCGGTCCAGGTTGGGAATTCAAATCCCTCGGGGTACTTTCGGTCTCCCAGTTTGCCCTGAAGACATCTTTGCATGCATGCTTCGATATACAACCGAGTATGGACTTGAAGGTGGTGGGCTAGCCTGATCAACCATCTGAATTCCGAGGATGTTCCGGACACGTTAGAAAGCAGTGGCACTTCAGACCATTTGAACTCGCTTAGCGCATCTTCCGGGGTACGGCATAGAAATGTGCCTTTATGCAGTGAAAAAGCGCCTTGCATGAGAGCCCGGATAGGCGAGGGAACCTTGTTGTTTAAAATAGCATTGGTGATCAAATAAGCATGGCTGTCATACACCGAACCGAAATATGAAGATGTGTGGGTAAGGCTCCATAACGAACTGAAATCGGTGGTGTGCTGAAAGATCAAGACCAGGAGTTCACTAGGAAGCTTGGAGAGTCGATTGCAGGCCGTATCTGACATGATTTTGTTGATGCGGGAATCGTCTGTCAACTCGATGCCGATGTGCCAAACATTAAGGCAAGCTTCTCCAATGCCGACAAAGCCTGTAGAAATTCCAAGCCACAAGTACTTATTTTAGTACAGCCCACAGTTCGGTCCATTTCCCAAATTGGCACGAAGGAGATAACGGCCTCTGTCGTGATCCGGTCTTGTTTGGTCAGTTGAGATACTACCTAGTGTGCATCAGGGCACAAGTGGGGGACGATAGTTGTTGGCTCATCCATGACTTTGGCCTGGTAATTCAGGCATAAAGAGGAAAACATGCGGCTGCCTTGCTTGTTTCGGTCTAGCGTTGCGAAGAGTAAATCAAGACAAAACCGTGAGATACGCAATGCAGTGTGACTCAACCCAATAGAGAAACTTCAATCAACACACAGACTAAGAGCAAAGAGGTTTAAACTTGCATGCTACACTCACACAGCGCAAAAAAAGACAACCAATGCCGGCGTTGACACCGGCAAGGAGGCAAGTGATAGCCGCGCGCCAAGCGCCAATTAGCGCGCAACTTCACTTCAAGCTGTCGAGCTCATGATTTCATCTTCGGATTTCTTCCCTGCCAACGCCCCCGAAATCCGACTCACTCGGGTCGCTGACTTGGTCAATCATTCACCATGGTAAGAAAATGTTCCTCGTGTTAAAAATACCCGAGATACCCCATTGTTCAAGTGGAATCACAGTTTGCTAACCAATGCCCCCGCTATGTAATAGGCACGCAACAGCGAGAAAGCGCAGTCTATGCTGTTCCGCTTCCGGGCGCAACAGGCAGCAGACCTCGGAATTATCGACATCTCACGCACAAGACGTCCTAAGGCCATCTCAACCGTCGACACAATCCCGATGTGTGAGCGCTGGCGCGGTCAAGTCGTCAAAGAGATTTCCCGCAAAGTTTCCCGCATCCACGAGCCTAGTCTCAGCGACTACCAGATTCGCGACCTCAACGATGAGATTAACAAGCTGATGCGAGAGAAATGGGGTTGGGAAATGCAAATTCGCAATCTTGGCGGACCGAATTACATGCGCGGCTCCAACCGGGTTTACGATGATGAGGGACGGGAGATTCCAGGCGGAGGGAAGGGCTACAAATATTACGGGCGTGCTCGGGAGCTACCTGGTGTCAAAGAAATGATTGATGCCGCCGTTCGTCGTGCCAAAGGACCCGCTGAAGAAGAAGAGTCTTCATCCGGGAGAGGCGGTGACATTGCGACCAGGAAAGTCGATGCAAACTACTTTGGCTACGGTCTTGACGAAGAAGACGGTACCCTGGTCGCCTACGAGAAGCAGAAAGAGAAGGAGGCGATGGAGCACTTCCGCCGTCAGGGCGATGACGACACCGAAGATAGCTGGCAATCTCTACCTGGCGATGCAGGTGACGGGGTTGAATGGAGACTCCCGACACTAGACGAAGTTCAAGAAGAACTTGTGGACCGACGACGCCGACGTCTTCTTGACAAGATCTCCTGAGCGAATCACTTTCCTCAAGGCATCTTGTTTTTCGTTTCTCTGTGATTGGGTTGGGCGTTACCGGTGCTTCTGCAAAATATCACATTTCAAGCATTGCATTTTCTTCTGTTCGTAATGACATCATTTGATTATTATTTCCCACTATCTATGAACAGTTTGAAGAGAGAGGTTTCATATATGTACAGTATGTTACAGATTGCTAGTCACGCTGGTGCTAGCCACGTTGGGCTTGTTCTTGCGAGCCCCCCTTGTTGCTCTCAAGGCTTGCGTCATGCTCATGCGCTCTTTTTGTTCCGGATCCTCGCGTTTTTGTTGCTCGGCTTCGAGGTCATCCACCAGAAACCGACCCAACTCGCCTTGTCGCCATCTTGATATGAAATTAAGCGCAGCTCCCTCTGTATTTGGGATTCCACCTTTCCCAAGCAGGCCAGTTTGACGTGCAAAACTCTCGAGCAACGGGACAACCTCGTTCGTCGGCTCGGACCAGCGCTTGTAAACTGTCGGGTCATGCAAGTTGATATGATATAGCAAATAATCCACAAGAGTAATTGGCGATATGACGTTGTCCTTGACACAACCGCAAAGTGCCAGTTTTAACATGTTCTCGGCGTCTGGAACGTAGGGCATGAAGACTCCCGGTGTGTCCAGCACATAGACGTGCGATCCCCCCTCGCGCTCGATGATTTTCACTTGGGTGGCAACCTTCCGTGTGATACCAGGCTGCTGGCCGGTCTTCAGTGCCTTCGCTTTACCGACGCCTGAATTTCGTAGATTGTTGATCAAAGTTGACTTTCCAACATTAGGCATTCCGACGACTAGTACACGACATCCGACGAGTTTATCAAGGGCTTCGGCATCGGTGCGCAGGTGTTTAATGATCTGACTGACGTCCTGGCGGGAAGATGAGCTTGTGAAGAACACCGCACTCTGCGGGTCAAAGTTTTGCAGCTTGCGCTCTGTCTGAAGCTGCTTGTTAGCATACAGTATTCAATCTCCCGAAGTAGAGAAACCCACTATTTTCTGGGCGGAGGATTTGGGAGTGTTCCCAAGATCTCTTTTTGTGTAAACGATCAGTCGCCGCATCTTACCCAGAGCTTCCTCGAACATAGGATTAATTGAGGTCACAGGGGCGCGGTAGTCACGACATTCCACCACATAGTCAATAGATGAGAGCATGCTCTTCATTTTAGTTAGACCAGCCCGGTGGTGTCCTAGGAAGTAGGACCTTGGGATAGCCCCATAGTTGGGAAAGGTGCTGCGCGGAATGAACTGAGTCATTGCGATTTGATGGGCGTATAGGGTGTTCAGTCTGGTGAGACCCGATTCATTGTAGTATCGGCAAAAGGTGTTCGGCCTGAAGAGATTGGGATAAGGGCCTGGGTTGCGGACGATAACAGAAAAATCCGTCAAAATGCTGGAGGCGGAAGGATAGGCGGTGAATCCAAGCTAGTAGTGTTCCATGGTTCGCCAAGTTTCCACCGCCTCCCGGAGTAGAGATCTTGGGGTTCATTAGTGAGAGCAAGGTACGGAGTACGAAGTCCTCCTTAGTACATAGAATTCCATCAGGCTTTGTTACGGTGCATGGAGGATGACAGATGTAGTTTCAATTTCATAGGTGGTATATAAGGGATTTCTTCACTTCGCCTGAGACAGTAGTAACAGAGCCCAATCTTCCGAGTACAGCTATGCCTTGAGGTTCGGACAGCATTGGTAAATAAGTTTTGTTTCCTTCATTCTGTGCATGCAGGTCCCAGAATCTTCTGCTGGTCCGGTCAGGACAACGAGTAAATGCATAGTACTCCGTACTCGGTACCCCTCAGAAACCGATGCGGATATGCATCTTGGGGGCACCTGGGCATGCCCGCCGCCAGCCCCACACTCCAACTTCCCGCTTCCGCCCCCAAAACTTGGCGCATATCTTTTGGTTCTGATCGTGGCTGTGTTTTTGGATGCGAAATAGATCCCTCGTGTGTCTTTCACTCATGTACGGAGTTCTTCGGATACCGACATGTTCTACCATGATCAACAGCCCCCGAGCTCGCTCATCATACTGTCCACTTGGAGTACTCCGAACATCTATTCTTGACCGTACCTGACGAGTTTGATTGCTGCAAGACAAACTGGTTTACCAGGCACAAGGGATATTCCGGCCATTCTCGAAATTTGGGAGAAGGAACATGAATTCTGAGTCATACAGGGAGTTAGACGGCGAACCATCAAAGAGCAGTCTTGAGCCTGCCGTCCTCTTTTTGTCGGGCCATTCTGTCCTCGACGAGGCTGCCACATCCATCCCACTCTACCAGGTGAACTGTGATATTACCTCAATTTCGAACAAAGACTCATCGCTGGTATTTGAAAGAGTGGAGCACACAGTGCCAGGGCTCAAACTCGAGGACGAGGATGTCACTGTTGGCACGTCGCGAAAGACGCCTATCTTCTATCTCGCACACCCTTTAAATGCGCAATACCGGACCGACATACCTGCAATGTACTATATAACGGCTGCGCTACCCGAGATGGCAGGTAATATTCGTCTCGACACTTCTGGAACACGGCTCCAAAAAGTCTCCTTCAAGGCGACGTTAAGCCCCGGCAAAACCGCCTCACACCAACCACTGTTCGACGAGGTCACGCAACAACTATTGTTTGACGTTCGACCGCAATGGAAACTCGGTCGGAGTTGCTATAAGTGGAGCGACTGCGATGGTAAACAACTGGCAGTGGAAGAGCACACGGGAGATATATATAAATTGTCTATCACAACACATCTGCAACAAAGCTTGAGGGATGCGTTGGTCGCTGTGTGGCTTTTGAGACTTTGGCACGACACAGCCGAAAGTAAGCAGGCCAGAAAAGAATGTGAGTCAAGCCGAGCGCCATTACCACCAGTCTGTTATAGCAAACTGTGGCCCCCACCTTGACTGACCCCTCTTTCCAGTCTTTGAAAGTATGGCTTCAACAGAAGCATATGAACAGAACATGGATCCATATATGCCACGACAGTGTATAGTCATGTAGGAAGTTTGAACAATTCCAAGGTCATGTTTTGGCCGATTAAGGTATGTCGTGGTTCTTGAGAAGAACACCCTGCAGAATTCAGCCCCAGTGTCCCCACCACACCGAGAATACGGGAATTTTTTGGGCAAATGTACCCTAATGTTGAATTTGTGCGGTATCTGCGGATGGTCGGGTGCGGCAAAGCACCCGGGGGTGTGCGACGTGGGTGAATTGTTTAGACTTGCTGTCTTGACAAAAATAAACACAAGATGTTATCATCTGGATTCCGGTAGTCCACACCAACACAGCCCTTGGCATCTTGTCCCTAATTTTGCTTCTTTTGATGCACCCTGATCGTCTGCCCAACCATGACCCAGCTCTGGGGCCATGGAAATACTCCGCCCCCGGGGCCGAACTTGGGAAGATTTCTGAATGTGCCTCACTGCCGTAGGCCAGTCTTGGGCCCGTGCTGGAGACAGGGTCTTGCGCGAGTCATTAAAGCCGTTCGTCTAGGGTCCAGGTCCCAAGAAATCACGTGTGGTGCACCCGGGCGATGTCGATCGCATAGATCATCGAATGTCCAAGACATCTTCTCGTATATGTACCTACTAGGTAGGTACTAGTATGCATTTTGCAAGGCGCATGAACCTATAGCTCCATTGCTCCACAGCCACCACCAATGACCCTGGAAGAATTTTCATTAAGCCTGCAGAGCTAATGTGGCAGCGGAAGATGACCATGTTTGTCCATGATTCCGTGATCTCGTGGGGTGCAGAGGAACCGTCGAGACAATAACAAAGGCTGGTAAGTTGCGTTAAAAAGCCCCAGACTCAGCCCTGGTTTGCACAGAGGACCAGAGAAACAGATACATTACGACATTCATAGCCTTGAAGCCCTGAAGCTGATTCCTAATTTCATTCAATATTCTACCCACCCAAGAAACTGATTCTGTAGCACCATTGTGTGCTGCCCAGGTAGCCTTTTATTGACAAGCTTGAAATGTAGCCATTTCCTAACAGCCCTCCGCATTTGATCGCATCATCTAATATTTATGCTGATTCTAAAATTCATCAGTCGAAGGCAGCTCAACCACATATCCATAGCACCTGACCATCGAAATGGCTGGGCCTGCGAGGAACGTGCAAACGCATTCATATGAGCCTGCCCCAGGCTACGAAGAAAGCTTTGTGGGATATAAGCGTCATTCGTTCTGGTCCTCCAAAGGATGGAGATGGGAATTACTCACTTCAATTTTTGCCCTGGGTGTCCTGGCCGGAATTATCGTCCTCTTCATTTTCATGGATGGAGCCCCTTTGTCTGACTGGGAAAAGGGCCTCTCTCCCAATGCGTGGATTTCTATCTTGACAACCGCATGCGCGGCAGCACTCATGCATGGAGTCAACGCATTTATGGGACAATATAAATGGCTGTACTACATGAAGGGGAATCATCAGCTTGCTGATTTGGAAATATTTGACGAAGCAAGTCGCGGTCCTTCGGGTTCCCTCAAGTTCCTTTACGACAGACTAAAAAAAAACATGATCTTGAGTGTAGCCTCGATAGGCGCACTTATCACCATCTTGCAGCTTACCTTCACACCATTTACACAGCAAGTGATCCAGCTTCGACAACGAGACCTCACCTCCGCTGCGAACGCCGCCATGCTGGGATACACACACTACTACAACGCTAGCATAGATCCAAGCCTGAGCCGCCTGGATAACAGCGTCATCGGTAGGCAATGAGAATCCCATTGGTTCTATATGACTCTTACGAACTTTGCGTCTGATATGTATACTTCTGAACAGCAAATTACCCAGTGGATCCCGGGATGCAGGCTGCTATTATCCAGGGCTTGTTCGGCATCGACCTCCCAGAGCCTTTCACTTGTCCCGGGGCATGTCGGTGGGATGGGTCATACACATCTCTTGGATTCAAGGCTGAATGCAAGGATGTCACCAAGGCGACGATGCAAACGGCCACCTGCAATGGCAGTGTAAATTCCTTAGAGCAATGTAACATGACAACACCCGCAGGAGTCAACCTTACGTCTCGTACTATGGCCACCGATTATGCGACACTATATGCTATGAATGCATTCGCATTTCCTTTTGGAAAGCAGACGATTGAAACAATAAGAAACGAACTTCCAGAAATAGTGCGATTTGGAATCTATCGATCGACGGTGGACGGGGATTTTTCGATGCACAACATCAATATTACCGACTGCGCTCTTTCCCTCACAGCCTACGAATACACTGATGTTAAGGCAAATGGAAGTAACCTTACCTTTGGAAACAAGCGAGAGGTTGATTTTGGCGTGAAGAATCCCTGGAAGTACACTGGTGGTACCGGGCTCAACGACGTGCAAAATGAAAATCCGGATTTGTACACCAACGAGACGATCAATGGGAATATGACGATCCCCGCCCTTGGTGTCACCTATCTCAATCTGTACGGACTGAGGAATTTCTTCCAGTCCACGACAATTGTTACCGAGTGGGTCTTGGGTAACTTCGTCAACACGAACAGCGGCGTCGCCACTTCTCTAGTTGGTGATGTGGACATCGGTGACCGCTTCAACAAAATGGCGACTTCCATGACAAATAGCCTGCGGTATGGCACGAGTGGCCAGAATGCTTTTGGAGAAGTGATAGAAAAAGAAACATACATTCACATCCGCTGGGGGTTCTTTGTTGTTCCGTGTTTCATCGAACTGCTCGCAGTCGTGTTCGCCATCACTAGCATGGTGCAAAATCGGCGGAGCCGCCGTGTTCCCTTGTGGAAGTCTTCGGTGCTTGCTATACTGGCGTGTCAGTATGAGAACGGGAAGCTGTTCTCTACAAGCAAGGACATCAAAAGGATCTACGAAGAGGCAGAGAAGAACGAGGCAGAACTTCACTAGTTTCAGGATGGGGACTTGTTTCAATTGTTGCCAGAAGGTCAATAATGATAGATAGCCTATTAATATAATGTCTTCATGTCTCGTGGTTGATCGCAGTTTGTACTGGTGCTGTAGAGGTGCCTTGGGCTTCGATTTGGGGGAGCCTAGCCACTTCTCCAGGATTCCTTCACACGCCAAATCCTTACACCATTTTCTAGATCTTTGCGGGTCGCTTTGGCAAAGGCAAGCTTTTGATGACTTCCTTCCATTCTGAAGGGAATCCGGACTTTTCACCGATAGGGCGATCTTTCCAGCCACCATATATCCTGAGCTCATCCTGCTCCCAACGCTGAAGCTCCTGCTTAATCCACGGACCCAGAACTCGTGCAGTATCTGCCGCCTTTTCTTGAGGCAAAGTGTGACCCGCCTTCGGTATCGTGACAAGCTTGACACGACCGGAATCCATACCGCCACTTCCACCAAACCCAGTTCCCGTCTGCTTCGAGGCCTCTGCGTGCTGGCCTCCTTTGCCCAGCGGGCTGTGAGAGGCACTCAAATAGAGTACTGGAGGTCGGATATGCGGTACCAGTTTGTATGCCAGAATTGGCTCTGGGCGGTATGACTTTTGATCCGGGAGCAGCGGGCCTAATACATCAGGCGCCACCAATGGATCATGTGCTGCGCTGAGCTTGATGGAATCAGGATCGGTGTGAGCCTGACTATGGGGCAAGCCCAACTGGACGTGTCGATTGACGTTTGGCCGTGTGTACATGATGGTTTCTTGGTGCTTTGTGGTAGTCAATGTCACAGGGCGACTTCCATCATTCGGGACCTCGGGATGGAGAGCAGTAGGCAAGTCACGATATCCGAACTTTTTCCAAAGCTCGAAAACACGTGGATCCCATGCCTTGAGCAACTTGCGAGACTTCTCTGCGGCAGCTTCCCGAGAAGCCCACACATCACGTTTGGCGGTCGACATGGCGACAAAAAGTGGACCGTCCCCAGACAACGGGTCGTCGGTCATGTGTGGCTCAATAAGTGCCAGCGAGGTGAACAGCCTGGGATGGAAAAGAGAGGCGAATAATCTTCAAAGAGTTAGGATCGCGCGTTCAATATCGAGCCATCGACAGGTTTGCTTACAGCTGTACCGCGCCCAGACTATGGCCAACCCCAATGATGGGTCGAGGCATCTGGTCACGGAAGTGGTTGATCATATGGACCACATCCCGACTATGGTCATACCAAGAGGCTGAGAATTGTCAGATACACGAAGAACTAGGACCTGGTCACTTGGGTCGCTCACGGTCATTTCCTATATGCTGTTCGTTCAGAATACCACTGGCTCCTTGATTGGTGGCATCCGCCATCCAGATTGAGCGGATACGGACTCCATCCTGCTCGGAGCGGGCTAGCAGCTCTTCCCAGAGCGGCTCGTATAATTCCTGGGTCACCAAATTAACATCCATACACACACTTTGTGCTGCTATAGTGCTGATACCTTGGGTATCCCAGTGCCGTGAGTAGCCACGATAGTAAGATCCCCGGGTTGGGGATTTTTGTTATCGATTGGGGTATACTGTTTGATGCAGAGCTTTAGGGGGCTATCGGGTGAAGCTGTGGCCCTTGGGTATTCTCGGATGTATTGCCCATCGATGACATGCTCAGTAATTTTAAAGGGGAAAGTCATGGTGGGATCCAGGTCGGCTACTCTGCACACTGGCTTGAAATCTGAGGTGAAAGATCAAAAAAAGTGTCCACGGTCCACGGCTAGTGGAAACCCTTAGCTTGTCTGACGAGCCAGACCGATCGACATTCTTATATCCACATCAGCACTGCAGCTGTCTCAGATCGATCAACCATGGCATCATATGTACAGTTCAAAAGTTTCGTGTCCCACTTTTTTTCTGCCAGAATAATGGGTCTTTAGCCCTTGTCATGTATTGTGCTCCATGTATTGTGCTCGTATAATATAGCCGCATATCGCGATCTCTTGATGTTGAGACCGATGCATAACTGCATTCTCATGATACCTTCATCTTTCGTACGGTCCCAAGGCCCTCTATGGAAACCGGTTAGAACACAGATCTCGCCGGTAAGGATAAACCGACGCCAGTTTTTATAGTTCCAATTTCATCGTTGAAAAGCTTATTAAACCCATTTTGCTCAACATTGTCGTTCAGCAACAGTTGCGGGTTGAGCAATAGTTTCGGGTTGAGTAACAGGTTCGGGTTCAATAGCAGTTTCGGATTCACCAGCATTTTCGGGTTCAGCAGCAGTTTGGGGATCTAATAGTGGTTGAGACGCTATCCGATGCGACGTCATTCCAACTCGTTTGAATGCTCGTTGTAGGGTCTCCGGAGAACATTGTAATTGACGCTGATGGACGATCTCAGCGCATGACATGTTGCGTCGTTCAGAGCTCTCCCGAATCCATGCTATTGTGTCATTGATTTGTTGATCACTGAGTAAGTGGGGAGCACCGGAGCGTTTTTTTGGTGTTGGATCATTTGCAAGACAAGTATATCGCACTTGTTTGTACGAAACATCCGGGCCCATTAGCGCCTGAATTTGTTGGAAATTGAAGTGAGCTTTATTGCGTAGAGTAAGGATCTCGAGGCGTTGGTCGCGGGTGAGATGCTTTCTGGTGGAAGTTTGGGGAGGCTTGTTGGTTCGTAATGGGCGGCATTTTGGCAGAGATAGGTCTTATGGGTCGAAAACGGGGGTTAAATCGGGGTCAAATCGGGTCAAATAGGCTTGATGGTTGTGCTGAAGTAGAGAATGGTGGTTGGTAGAAGTCTAGCAGTCGCATTAGGTTGTGTGTAACGTAATGTAAGTTGTAACGAGCTCATGTAAATACTGCCCCTGATATAGAAGGCGGTAAACTCACGTATAACCCACGGCATAAAACTTTAGCCCACCTCATGTGGACCTTTAGATTTCCCAAAGGTATCCACTTTTTCAAGATTCCAGGACACGAGTATCTGAATCTTCTCGTACATATAATGCTCCTCGGACCTCGAGGGCTTTGGAAACGTGTATTGGGGAAGTCTGTTTTGACTGATGCACTTGCGTACCGACTCATGAAAGGAGAATAACTTTGGAATTGTAAACGGCAGACCTGTGAATTACTGTAACAGCGACAAACTTTGGCGGACGCCACGTTGGAAATGCCATCTTGATCGGTACTAAAGACTAGTGATCCTTTTCGCTTGCACTTAAAACCCTTCCCTCTTTCCACCATTGGCTCAACGTTACAATTATTCTTTACGCGGCTTCGATCAGTTAAAAAGATGGTTTAGTAATTCCACCTTTCATTGTCTTTGCTAAGCTATTCCGTATATCATCTCTGGAGGCACGAGACTCTTGCGAGCGGCGCTGATGTGCAGGAACATTGACATTACCTACAGGCAAGCCAATCGCCTTGAGTTTCATTGCTCATAATATGGCAGGCAGCTGGCTGGAGCGTTCAAACCCTATTTCAGTAGTACGATAACAAGGGCTTCTCGTAGTACGATCGCTGACAGTACTAAGTGGCGGTGAGTCTTAAACGAGGCTGTGTGTAGCAGTCCCTTAGTTCTCACTTCTCTTTGCATTATCTCCCAGTTCCCTCCCCGTCCTACTTCCCTTCACTACAATGACGACTTATGTTATTTACAGCCCTGACGGCGCAATTGATGAGTTCTTCAACTCGAACACTACTGTGACAAGACAGCAATGCGATGAATTCGCCATTTCTCGCGCTGGCGGCGTGCCCACTGCTCTACAGATGCAAGGAGTGTGCAGCTATACCGTGACAGCGGGGCCCAACAAGACCAAGCTCTTCTAGTTCCGAGATGAGATCTCTACCATTGATATGGGCAACCTTGTTATTGCCAAAGCAATCCATTCCGAATTTGTGACTAGCTGCAAGTATCTCGGTACCATGGGCGATTCGCGGCCAGTCTATATCTACGAGATGGAGCATCTTCCTGGGGCTGCTCACATAATGGCGCGCATTCCTCCAGACGACATGTCCCGACAGTATAACACCATCAAGGACTTTGCAAGGTACGCCTAGCAAAGTTTTTGCTTCATTTGTAAGAACTAACATTTTAGAACAGGTTCTTTGCACAGTCATGGAACAGCAATCTACAGCCATGCTCAGATGCAACCGCGACCTTGCTTATGGAGTTTCAGTCAAATTTTGATCTTCTTGCTCGAAATCTGCCGTCTCGCTTTGCACCAAACCTAGAAATGGTCCGCAAAGAGCTCCCGTCTCTCTTCAAAGCTCTCCCATTTGTTCTTAGCCACGGTGACCTTAACGTGATGAATATCCTCGTCAATCCCAACACCGGAAATATCACAGGGATTGTTGACTGGGCTGAATCGAGGATTCTGCCGTTCGGCTTCGCGCTATATGGACTTGAGAATCTTTTGGGCCGGATGGATTCAGAAGGGTGGCACTACTACGATCGCTACCGCGAACTCGAGAGCCTCTTCTGGCAAACCTTTAGAGAGGAGGCTCATAATTTCTCTGACGCTGATTTGTGTTTGATTCGCGCTGCTAGAATAGCTGGACTTTTCTACAATTATGGATTTAATTTTGACACTAAAGGGATGGTTCAAAGTGTGCGGATGGACCAGCCGGATGGTTCGCTCGCATATCTCGATGCCTTCTGTGCTGCTGGTGAGTGGGCCCCTCTTCCATCAGCCTGATTATGAGGCGTTGCAAGCAAAAAATGGACAATGAAAATCCATCTGCTTGTTCAGAATCGAGTTTTGAACTGAACCCACGGCCCCTCCACCGCTGATGTCACCCAGCCTTTCAATCTGAAGTCGCAATCGTTGCGTTTTCCACTGCAGCAACGAGCATCGGGCGCCAACCGCATATCATAGCGGAATAGTGTTCTAGCAATGGTCACATTTAACTCAGCCCACGCGAGTTTCCACCCAACACATGATCGAGCGCCAGAACTGAAGGGAACAAAGGCCTGCTTTGCAGTTTTAATACTTTGTTCGTCTACTCCAAGTTCCGGGTTGACGATCCATCTGTCTGGGAAGTATGCATCAGGGGATGCGAAGTAATTTGGGTTTCGGTGAATGGCATATGTCGTTGTTCCGACCATGGTTCCCTCAGGGATGAATTGTTCGTCAACCATGAGACCCCCTTTCAGCACGGTGCGTGGAATCGTTGTAGCGACCGATGGAGCGAGTCGCATTGTTTCATTGATGCAGGCTTGGAGAAGCTCGCAAGAGTCGAGGTCTGGGCCCATGTGGATATCCTCCTCATCAGAAAAGGTAGTACGAAGCTCAGATACTAGGCGGGCGAGGAGATCGGGTTTATGGGCCAAATGGAAGAACGTTCCACTCATTGCGGTAGCAGTGGTGTCAGCACCTGAATTTGCCACGGGGTTCAAATTAGCTTCATTCACACATAAAAGAATCTTTTCCTCTTACCAGCAGTCATCAGGAGCATCGACTCCACCCACAAGTCCTTTGAAGTGAAGTGAAGCCCTGTTTTAGGGTCTGCGGTGTTCATCATATGCCAGAAGAGATCCTTCTGCTCAATATCATTTCCTAGACGTTGGCGAGCCTTCGAACGTTCGCCGATTCGAACGCCAGCGTTCACAATATCCTTGAATTTTGAAGACATGAAGAACTGGTCAATCTTGAGATTGCAGAATTTTGACTGGACGAGGGTCTAGTGTTGCTATTAGTTATACCCTGGGTGGAGAGAGAGAAATTATAGGAATTGCAGGTGCTCATACCGTCATGCTGCGCTGCGTAATCTTGAGTACCACTGACGGGAACCACCGCATATCTGAAGAGTGCAGCATGTCGAAGTCCTTTCCGTAACAGAGATCGCTGATAACGTCGAATGTTACCCAGTCACACATCGGTGCTAGATGTTTGGTTTGCGTCCAACCGCCATCAGGCTTGGTATCGAAACCGGGCTTCACGACCCCAAACTCATCTCCCTCTCTTCCAAGTAAGTTGACGAAGTCACGGACGTTTTCCAAAAGGCGCTCTTCAATTGACTTGATCCCCTCAGTTGAGAAAACCTGAGCCAAGATGCGTCTTTTGAACCCGTGTGTAGTTTTATCGGTCGCGGTAAGGGTGTTGGGAGTCTGCCGGCTAGCGCTCAGTGAGCTATAGCCCTCTGATTTCACAACATTCGCCCGAACACCGTAGATGGCGTCCATTCCAGTATCGGTGTTGAATGTAAGTGCATTTGGAGCAAATCGTACGATATCACCTGCCCTCTTTGTTAGTATAAACGCCAGCCAGCCAGGATAGTTTCATTAGATTCCCACCATAACGATCATGCCATTCCCGGCTATTGATATGCAAGTCTCCCCGCCACGCATAGAAGGCTGCATACCAATGTGTGATGGCTGCTAGGCGGGGGCCAGGGTATTTCGCTAACGGGTGAAAGAATAAGCGATACACGATGAGACTGATACTCTAGCAAAAAGTGTCAGCGATTGTATAGAATATGCAATAAACCCTATCTCACATATAGCACCAGGGCAACAGCCGCAGCCACAACTGCCTTGAGACTCATTCTTTTGTTAGATGGAAGAGAACAGGAAATCTCGAACAGAAATGATACAGCGTATCTCTATTATTGTTAACATTGGGCGAAATTATTTTCCGAGTGGACTCTCACACTCGGTGAGAATTCAAGTTGGGCACTGCTCAGCCAGGCCCGCTCACGGCAGAGCCAAAACCAAATCGCTCTTACATCAATGGTTGACCCGAGGACCGCCGATGCCGATCTTATCGGATCTTCATGCATTAGCGCAAGATGAGCGTCAGATCAGATAATCGGTCCAATCACGGACCAGATCCCGTGGGTAGGTCTCAAAGCTGAAAGTCAGATTGCATCATGGCATGAACGCATAGAACATCCATCTCGATTACGGCTGAAGAGATGTGAGATCTATATCCACTGATTTCCTCCTGAAGTCTTTGTTTGTGGGGCTAGCTCCACGTCAGTCAGTGTGTACGGTATGATATACGTGTCACAGCTTATCTGGAGACGGAATTACCTCCAAGCATCAGATATTCCGTACACATATCAGCAGTGACTTCGATATGGACTGTAAGCTGTCAAACAAGTGAGTCCCTAGTGCTGAGTACCCTAAACAAGTACGAATTGGCAGTGGGGCCTGGACCCATGGACACGACCCGCAGTTACCAAACGTAATCGGGGTGGGGCCTAAGCAATCGTGGAAGGTTCCATGGTTAATTCATTCAGTTTGTCTTGAAGATGACAAGACAGTGTAAGAACATATTCAAGTTCCAAGGTCGATGACGAAGGAGCTCAGCACTTACACATGGGCAATGTGTATAACAAGATTAAACCTCAAGGCTCACACAGTCACTCTCACACCTCTCTCCCTCTCTCTCTCTCCCTCTCTCTCTCTCCCTCTCTCTCTCCCCCTCTCTCTCTCTCCCTCTCTCTCTCTCCCTCTCTCTCTCTCCCTCTCTCTCTCTCCCTCTCTCTCTCTCGATCTATTGTTACATAGTGCATCTCGTCATTCTTGTATTATCTGATCACGAAAGTCTATTGCTAACCACATAGGATCTCGAGCACCCTTTTCTGAGCGCCTGGGCAGGGTTGTGGGCGAGAACCCGAGCCCCATATTTATCCCGAACCGACCAATCGCCTTCGCCAATCTGAAGTGAAGGCAACTGGGCAGATACATGGATGTCTTCAACAGGAGTAGGCGGCAACGCCAACAATATACGAACTCTACCACTACCAAGACTACGGATTCCGATGATAGTGGAGTGAAGAAGCACACATGAAAAACAAGAAAAGATTCCTTATAAACTCGCATTCAAGATGAGATCGGATGTGGTACCTCCAAATGAGCCATTCCATCTATCACGGAATGCATGCCCGCCAGATCCTGCAGGGGAACCACATACTCTCTGGGGCCTGCTTTGTGAACACGTCCGTTGATTATAATTATATTCAACCGATCGTGGTCTTGAAGGATGGTAATGTCCTTCAGTGGATCTCCATCAACTACCAGACAGTCCGCATAGTTACCTACTTTGATTTGGCCCATTTCGTGAGAGCGCATGAATAACTTCGCCATGCCATATGTTGCTGCGATAATCGACTCATGAGGTGTGAAGCCAAAACGATTGACAAAATGGGCGAGGTCTCGCGCATAAGTACCGTGTGGTGTCCACGCAAATCCATAATCGCTGAAAATATGAATCAGAACTCCCATATATTCATTTTGGAAAAGGGATTTGGAAAACTTACCCTCCAGGGAGGACCACAATTCCTCTACGATGCATCTCGCGCATAGCACGGTCGGCGGCAGAAAGCTCTTTTTGGTAGCCTACTTGCTCGGCCTTCTCCGTGGAATAGCCGAACATGGCGGCGTCGTGAAGGGTGGCAATTAACCAGTTGATAGCAGGCGCCACGATGTGTTTTGATTTGTTCTTTTCGAGCGCATCCATCCCTATAAGAGTTAATCAAATATAGTCAGATAGATGGATACCTTGATAGTAAGCGACGTACCCTTTTGATCTATATAGGAGGCATGATAGATCACGTCCACTCCACAATCAATACTTTGTTGAACAGAGTCTCGAGCCCGGGCATGAGAGCAAACCCGTTTTCCATGTTTATGTGCCTCATCGACACACGCTTCTGTCTCTTCTTGTGTGAAATAACAATCCTCCGCATCTCTGATCTCCGTGATCTGACAAAGGTTTAGTGACGTTCGATTCTGGAAACATTAGATGACAATCATACCGACTCTCCAGACATCGAAAGTTTGACTTGATCGACGCCAATATTGATATGTTCACGGATACTGATGTGTCATCAGTCAAATTCCAAAAATCGAACCAACATTTGGAGATTCTTTTTTTGCGACAACAATCTGGAACTTAAAACAACTTACACCATTCTCATCTCATCTGCACCATCTGCATATGCAGTAATTCCCCCAACAAGTTCTCCTCCTCTTCTTGCCATTTCTTGGCCATTAGCCAAGAATCGGGGTCCTGAAATATCGCCTGCGTTGATTGCATCTCGGATAACTACATCTAAGCGTTTCTTAGCAGATGCAGCCCCGAAACACATAGTGTAACCGGAGTCTAAGAAGCATTCGGCACTTCTCGCAGTGAGAAGCGTATGTTCCTCGATGCCAAGATCTCCCAGTCGGTCCAGATCGCCCCCATTCCAGGTAAAGTGGGTGTGTGAGTCTCCTAAGCCTGGCATCAATGTGCGGCCTTGCCCATAGAATACACGTATACTGGAATCTGCTAGGAGCGCTTCTTTATTGGGCACATTTCCCACATGAGCAAATCTCTGGCCTGTCAAATATGCTTGTTAATCAACTTTTGCTATCAAGGTATAAATTTTTCAAAGCAGATGGCAGGATAATGACTTGCCTGCGATGAGAACATCTCCTCTGTATGGCTCGCGGCCAGTGGCTTCCAGAATCTCCACATCTAGGATGAGTGTTGCGGAGGAGTCTGTGCTAGCGATTTCATAGTTCGTAGGCTGAAGATATGAGTCAAAATCTAGCTGATCGATGTATGCAACGTTGCGTGGAGGTCCGCTGTAGTCATCGACAGGGCAGTCTGGCGACATCCATGATACATTCGTCATGTTGAGAAAGATGAAGGGGGAAAAAAACTATATTGGTAAAATGGGAGCTTAAGATCAGTCTGTGGCAGTGCGAATCGCTCATATTTGATTCTTGTTCGCTTTGTAGTGAAGGCCAACTTCCCCACGATTTGTAGGGAGTAGGGTGGGCACCAATCGGGGCTTGCTCTGGGAGTTACGGGGGCGGCCTCCCTTTCTCCGCGCTTCTCCGCACCCGGGGGCGGCCCGAAGATCAAGTGTAGTGTGATGCCGAACTCTCCTGGCCTCAGTGACCTTACAATCATCAAGCTACTCATCATGGGCTGGTTGAGTCTACGAAGCAGGCTTCATGGGCCGACATCCTTCGAACCCACTCCTAGTCAGGGCACAAGCTCTAAATCTGCCATCGAACACGCCGAACATGTTGAGGACGTCTTTACGCAGCCTCCCGAGCCTGAATATCCACACCAAAAGATATCCATCCCCGATGATGACTTGCCCTTTATCCCGCCTGCGATTGTCCGGAACCAGCGGTCACACTTGCAAACGCAAGGCCTCGCTTGGATCGTAGTAGACAATATCGTTTACGACTGTGCCACTTTCATCAACCATCATCCAGGAGGTGACACCGTCATACGAAGTTTTATCGGAGAAGACTGCTCGTGGCAATTCTGGCGTTTTCACTCCAAGATGATCATGGAAAAGTGGGGACGACCTTTGCGTGTTGGGCGAACGGAAGGGATAGTGAACCGATTCAAGGAACCCCCGAGATACTTTGGATCGAGGAATCGATAGATAGCTTTGAGGTCGGAAAGAGGCTAGCAGTATCTTGGAGAAAATGTCTATTAGAACTATCAATAAGACGTGCGTAACTGATGTGAGCATGCTACTTGTAAGTCATAAACTCACGTAGTTTTTTACGCCAGAAATCCACATTATGGCGTAGAAAGAGACATTTTCTCGCCGCTCATGGCGTCCTCCTGTGACGAAGGTCAGTTCGTTAGACTCCAATGATCCCCAAAATGGGGATTTGTGGAGGTCGGTCGCGGCGATGCGCGGCGATGCGCGGGGGAAATTGGCCAATCTCCGATGCGGGGAGTCCGCCTCAACGCCTCCGAATGTGTGATGTATAAAAGTTGCCGAAGACCAAGAACTATTCACGATATTGTGAATTCGAATGCTGTAAAAATGACCGTCAACGGAGTGAATACCCTCACCAACTATGTGGCCTACGTGGAGCCTCACAGCGGCCCCCGAATTGGCCATCTTGACTTCGAGAGCTCGACTGTCACCCCGCTTTCCTTCAAATCTGGCACTCCATTGACAGATCTATACCAAGTGATCACAGTTGGTGAAGAAGGAATTACAGCATCTGGCGCACAACCCTTCCCTCTTTCCAGCGCCAAGCACCTCCCCCCAATTTCGGGTCGAGATGTGCTCGCTGTTGGGAAGAATTATGTCGAACATGCGCGGGAGTTCAATTCCTCTGGCTACGATGCTAGTGATAAGACAGACCAACCGACGCACCCGGTGATTTTCACCAAGCGCGCCACTTCCATCATTGGCCCCGAAGACCCTATTCTGCTGCACCCAAACTTCACCAGCACACCCGACTACGAGGGTGAGATCGGCGTGATCATCGGCAAGCCGGGTTTCCAAATCTCGGAGGAGAATGCCTTGGAACACGTTTGGGGTTATACCATCATCAATGATATGACTGCTCGAGAGCGTCAACGCGACCACAAGCAATTCTTCCTTGGCAAATCCCCGGATACTTTCTGTCCAATTGGACCCATTGCTGTTCCCAAGGAAAGACTTCCTGAGAACCTGAAGATTCAAACCTTTGTCAATGGAGAAAAACGCCAGGAGGCCACTCTGAACGATCTCATCTTCAGCGTTCCTACCCTTATCGCGACCATTAGCGCCGGTCAGACATTGCAAGCCGGAGATGTCCTTGCCACCGGTACCCCTGCAGGTGTTGGCTTTGGGTTCAGACCTATGAAGTTCTTGCAGACCGGAGATGAAATCAGTATCTCCGTGACAGGACTAGGAACCCTGACAAACCGAGTTGCCGCCCTTGATGCTGTCAACAACACCTCCGAGCGCGCCGCCTCTCACATTCCTGTTGCCAATCAAAAATCACCAGCCAATGCCGGATTAACAAATATCAACGGCAAGAATCTCTTCTATCAACGACTCGGTGTTGAAACAGGTCCCCCGGTCTTCTTTATTCATGGCCTGGGTGGATCCACAAGTTACTTCCATCCCCTTGTCGCAAAGCTTCAGTCGACACATTCTTTGCATCTTCTAGACCTAGAAGGACATGGTTTGTCTCCAACATCGGCCCTCAGCACCCTTTCCATCGCCTCATTTGCGGAGGACTTCTACCAGATGTCCCAAGTTGCTGGGGTGAGCGAGAAGGTGACCGTAATTGCTCACTCGATGGGCTCTCTCGTTGCCCTCAAGCTTGCCCTACAGCATCCAGAGCTTGTTTCCAAGCTCATCCTGATGGGCCCTCCTCCAAACCCACTGCCGGAAGCCGGCGTTCAAGGATCTTATGCCCGGGCTGCCCTTGTTCGAAAGCAGGGAATGTCGGTGGTTGTGGATGCAATCACACAAGCTGGAACGTCTGCCTTCGTTCAAGAGAATAACTTGTTAGCTGTTGCTGCAGTGCGCACTTCTCTTCTTGGTCAAGACGCTGAGGGATATGCCAAGGCGTGTGCAGCACTTGCTGGATCCGCCACCGAGGTATTAGACGTCGCGAGCTTGCGTATCCCGGTGTCCTTTGTGACCGGTGAGGAGGATAAGGTCAGCCCCCCAGCTCTCTGTGAGAAGTATTCTCAAGCAACAGGGGGTGGGAATGTTCAGGTTCTCAAGAATGTGGGGCATTGGCATCTGTTCGAAGATGTGGATCAAACCGTGAAGGCGGTTCTGGCGCAGATCTGAAATATCTTTTATTGGTCCTGTATAAAGTTTTCTTTGCTCAATTTATAGGCGTCGGAAGATAAAAGAAATTTTAAATTTTTGTCTAGAGAAATTGCAAAGAAAACGTGAGATAAAAGTGTGAACAGAAACCGAGGAAGCTGCCATGGTGCGCTAGATCTGGCATCGATCTGCCCAGGGAAAGGCTGCTGGAGAAAGCCATTGCTCACATGGTATTTTCGCCACGATTTCCTCAAAGCTTTCTGGTAATGCCCACAAGCTTGGGTCAGATGTATCGGATACACAGCTGGTATCCACGGTCATGGGCTCAGTCCCCGACCCAAACCCGCCTGTGCTCCCCCAATCACTTGCATCCTCTGAATTAGGGAAGACTTGAGTGAGGTGAGAAGGTTCTCCTAACATCAATGCGTCCAATATCGAGCAAGCGTGGTTACATATATCGCTGTATGGTGCATTTTCGTGGAATCGCCTGAGGCAATTTTGCACAGCTTGCAATATGACATGTTTTGGACTGTGCGAAGTTCGGATCTTTCCTAGTAGAACCAGCAGGGTTGATACTGCTAGAAAGGCGTGGAATGACCCGAGACCATTGATATACCAGCTGTATGGTTTGAATTCGTCCCGCGAGTTGAGTTCTTCATAGTTTGAAAGGATTGCAAGAGCAGCCGTTTCACACTTGTGAGGGCTTGATGTGAGACTCCTCTCCCCGGGTTTCTCCGTTCTGAAGAGGCAGATTCTATGCAAGAGGAGCACCAAATGGTTTGTGTAGTTGTTGAGAATCAACGAATGGGCTTGATGGTATGTTGGCAGATCAAGTTGCTCACAGAAGCGCGCTGCCTGGGCTTGCAGTTCAGTCTGGAGCTGATTGTCCAACGCATTGATTTTGCCCGGGGGAGCCGTGGTCCCCTTTATACTCAAAGCGCAGATATCCGATGCTAGCGAATACAGACGGAATTTGAACAGAATGTATGACATTTTCGTCGGCTTATGTGGCACCGGAAGCGGTTCGCCCCCATGCATGACTTCGTGCAATGCCTCAGAGACAATATCCTCATCTTCAACGTCTGCAGGCAATTGGACGTTATTATTGACTTGGAATGGGGCCAGGTTGCCCAAGCAGGTGTTTTGAATGGTATGAAGCATCATCAATCCTGCCCAGGCTCGTCGCCTCTCTTGAACCTCAACAGCAGGCAGCTTCAAGAGTGCAGGATCAACGTGGCACCCAATGGCGATGGCAATATTGAGTGTTGTTCCAAGCAGAGCCCAGGCTGGTCCCTGGGCATGGTTGATGGCATATATGAGCAGAATGAGACACTGTAGAGTGTGCAAGTTGTGTTGCCACATGAAATTGTCCGCGGCTAAGCATTTCATCGCTGCCTCACGGTACTTTGTTGACAACAATCTCACATTTTCTGCAGGGGATGGCTCTCGACCCAAATCTGTTAGGATGGGACTTTCTTTGTCGATGGCAGTCACAGCCAGCCCCAAGCACACGAATATCAACCCGATGAAAGACGTGGGAGCGGCTCGAGGGTTACTCTTAAAACTGGTGTAGTTTGATTGGAAGACCCCATCGTGTAGGATATGGAAGAGGGGGGAGAACACGTTGAGAAAGATGGTGAGAAGCTCATCACAATGCCGGAACGGAGGTAGCATATCTATAAGCGACTGTGTATTGGGGATATTATCGGTGAATAAAAGGGCACCAGACGGTGGTTCAAGTTGAGATCTGGTTTGCAGCGAATGAAAAACATCAGAGTCGCAAGATGTGCTGTAAGGAATATATCGAACGTGGCCCGACGAGGATGGAACGATACTGCCGACTTCTGTACGCTGTAGCTCGAAATTATTGCATTCCGAATAGGGATCATCCCCAGAGCTCGAGACGGTGATTTCAAATGGTTCGTTGTGAAGCGAAGGGAGATCATTCTGTGATATGGGCGATCGGAGAGCGTGATCATGTTGACCATTTGAGGTCGAGGCCAACTCAATATTTCGAATCAATAGACTTTCCAAGTCTGATATCCGCCGAAGAAGGACGTCTTGGTTGATCTCAGGTCGTTGAGGATTTTGTTCAATGTCGCGTTTGAACTGACATGACGACGCCACTCCACGCTTGCGGCAGGTATCGCATGGTACACCCGATCCCAGACAGCGTATCTTTCTCCGTCGGCAGTTTTCACAACTGAGAGGAAGCCTTTTCGTCATTCTATCAAGACAGGATATGCTCAGGAGTGAAGATATTTTGAATTGGAGATTGATCCCCACAACCGGCGCGGGGAAAAGTTAACGTCGGGGGAGCGGAGGACTACTTCACCTGGCAGTTTGTATACTTTCGGCCATTAAGGCGACGCTCTAAGTCTGGAAAATAAAGACGAGGATAGATAGATATTTCAAGAAGAAGAGAAAAAAAAAGAACCATTGATTCCATCAATTTGACGAGAAAGTATGGAGTAGTTTGCTAGAGGTTTTGGCACAGGGAAAGGAAAATGGAATTTTTACCGGCGAGATCACTCTGAATCCATAGATGGAGAACCCGAGAACTGGAGACTAATATAGAGCTATTGTGTAGCGTACGTAACTAGGTAACAAATTGCATATTCATGAAATTTAAAAGTCTACGAATGACACAGACTGAACATAGTACACATCGGTGGAAGTGGATGAAATCAACAGCTTAATAGTCTGCAATGACCCTAGAGCTTCTCAGCAATCCAAACCCAAGGATTGAGCTCGTGACCAGCCCTCAACCGCTTCACTGTGTACAATACAAAGAAGCATACGCCAGTATCCACTTGGTAGATCCCCGGGCAAACTTCAAATCCCGAACCTTGGAATCCCGCAGCATCGTAAGTTTGACGGCCTCTGCTCCAGGGCTTGTATGATCCATAATCTTCCAAATGTGTGGCCAGTTGATGAATGGATGTATGGATGTATGGATGTATGATTTATGATCAAATTCGACATAAACTGTGCTAAAAAGAGACGCTATTTATTTTAGGATTAGTTTGTTGCTCACATTTCCTTGGACTTGGACCGGTGAAGACGGGCTGCCGGGGACCAAGGGAAGTGACCGAGCGGAACAGTGAAGAAACCATTGCTTGGGTCGCAAACTCCGGCAAAGGCACTCCACCAAGCTGAAAAGGCAGCTAATATTCCGCAAACTCCGCCGGCCTTCTGCACGGCAATGAGGACCGCGCCATGAGAGGCGCATTCAATATGCGCAATGCCGAGGAGAAGATAGTTCAAGTCCAAGAAAAAGAACAGGCAGAACATCGCAAGACTCGACTTTAGGGTGCAAAGGAGCATGAGGGTGGTGAATATAAACCAAGACTGGTTCGAAGGCTGTTAGCAACTGTCTTAAAACTTGCTGTTGCTGGTATTGAAGGAATGCATACCAGATTAAGAAGTCCAGTCAAGTACTCGTTTTGACATGTTGCATTTGCCGCGTCTTTGAGTGTCTCGGGATTGTCGAACGTCGAAGTCAGGGCAGAACTGACCCAGGCGGCACCGAAGGAAGTAAACGTCGTAGCACCGAATGTATTACCCACTGCCATTTCCCTGGTACCGTTAGTATCCCAACGCAACAAACCCGAAGTATGTATTCCCAGAGTCCATAGACAATGCCAATACGCATAACATACCACATGCCCACCAAAATCTGAACCAAGCCACCGTATATCAAAGCCAAAGAGAGATTGGCTCCCGCCGATTCGACATTTCCAACTTTGAGGTTGATGAGGTTTGTAAGGAAGCATGTAAGTGCAAAAGCACATAGACCGAGGGGGGCCGGGTTGGCGATTTTTCGAACATCAATAGGGAGAGGATGCAGATCTTGCTTCAATGGTGGGAGCCGTATGTCGGAGTTATTCGATGTGGGCGAAGAGTAGTCATAGCCAGCTTCCATTTCACCTGGCGAGTGAACATCATTTTTTGTGAGAGACTCGTCCTGGTGGTCTGGTGTAGTCTTGTGAGGCAAAACCTGGGAAACGTGAACGACGTGCTCCATGAATGATATAGACTTTTAACGAAACGTAATAGCCGTGGAAGAAGAATCAAAGTTTGAGACGGTTGGAGCTTCTTTTGACACCCAATGGGTCAAGTCAGTATGGAAAAGAGCTGTGTGTTAGGGCACTAGTACTGGGGGACCAGCCTGGTAATTATCCTTGACTGGGTCTGTCTTGGGAGTAGGTCCCACGCCACACCTAAAAGGTATTAGGTCCTTCAAATGCCGGAAATTGTACGTGGAGTCCGCGGATGTTGTCATGTGCGTATGCTCTGCAGATGCCGAGCCAGTCATTGAATGGATTTCCCGACGGTGATTCGTGTTTTTTGCACCGATGCGGAGGAACCCGATCAAAATGTATCAAAGCAAGCTAACACACGCTTAGTGCCGCAGGGTCCCTTTCATTTCTTGGTTTGCTATATTTCAAAAGTGCTGGCTAGAACATCGACGCAAATCTTTGCTCGGATATGAGGGATGACCTCCATTATTGGGCCTAATCCCATATTGTCCTCAATTGAGAGAAAGAAATTTTGTCTGGCGATGGGGGATATTTGATTAGCCTGCCGATGTTCTCCACGCAATTCGCCTTGTGGACTCACCGGTCCAGTTTATCTGGCTAAAAGGGCATTCGGGATCAGCGTTCGGCAAATTGACGAGTGTGGAGTCGATGTCATGCTCAGTATAAGACCTCTGCACAACCAGCAAACAAATGCAACCATGTATATCATCCTTGATCTATACTCGAAGGTTTCGCGAATCGTTGGAACTTTCAGCACGGAGCGCGGCGGCTTCCGCAAAACGTAATATCCATGACTAACATACTTCCGCAATTAGACATCTGGAGGAAGGCTTTGCCAGTTAGGGCATCTTCAGGCTATGCATCTGCAGTACGGAAAGCATGTTGAAAATACCTATACTATGTCGCTGAACTAGGGGATTCGGTGGTTGTGGTTGGCTCAGCCCGCCGCTTGGATATGCGCGAAAATTTCAACACGGTGATTGTCAAACAAAAAGCTAATCTAGAATGGGTATCCTGGTTGTGGTAAATGCAATACACTGCGCCGAGTCCAATGGGAGAAAAAAAGGACGTGTCAGATTCCCGTCCTGGTGCGCCTTGATGCTGTTGGTCTGCAATAAACTAGACCGAAATCCATGTGAGATGGAGAGTTTCAAAAAAAAAATCAAGTCGCAATTTTATGCCCGCCAACCCTGCACAAAGTCATGCAGGCGATCAATAACCACGCCAAATATGGCATTGACACTGTCCGCAATAAGCTGCTCGAAGTGGCGAATGGCCTCTTCCTCGGTCATCTCAAGATGGAAGCGCTCCTTCACTTTCAAAACCGCTTTGTCAGGCTCCACCCGAATGTCCGGAATATTGGCATCCACCATGAGACTAAACAAATTCAATATCAAATTTGCGGACTTGCGCAAGGTGGTGTAAGCGGTGTAGCAGTATTGTTTGAATTGCAAGTAGTGAGGTGAGGTAGTGCCACCCATGCCTTCAACCATCTCCTTGCACAGTTTCATCATGGGAGCGAAAGGCTTTGGGTCACGACCAAGAATGAAACCGAAGTCGGCGTGGAAGAAGTGACCATCAGGTGCTAGAAGTAGATTCTCGAGATGACGATCACCAACACCAAGGAGATATGTGATAACGCAATATCCTGCGCACGATTTGATATATGTATCCATCGTCTCCTTGCGCACACCAAGCGGTTCGTTCTCGTCCGGGTTGTTCACTTTCAGGTAGGCGAGGATGGACTTGTACTTGGCAGACGCCGCAGATAGAGAGATGGAAGGAATGAACTGCACAGCACCGGCGGTTGCGCTAGTGGCAAGAATTCGATAGGGGGTTAACTTGAGATCTAGGTTCTCCTTTTGCAAGAGGCGATCCATCAAGATGATGATTTGAATGACGAGTTGATCCTGACGAAGATCGTCACCGACCTTGAAAAGCATAGGATAGCGGTCACCATCAGATGTTTTGAAAGTGATTAGCAGGGGCGAAAGAGTAGACTTGAAGACATTGGATTCATCTGGGAATAAGCCAGTGACTGCCACATCGGGGTTCAATGGCAGCGGTAGTGGTGGGTCAATGCTGACCAAGTCATTTTGGGGATCCCGGAGAGACTTTTTCAGCATCTCGATCTTGCCCACTCGATTGTCGCGAGCAAACCGAATGTCCTTTGCAATCTTTGAGAGCACAGCCACCATCTCGCCTTGGCGACGGAGCGTCTTTCGGTGCTCGGGGTGGAGCTTCTCCAGTTCAAGCATGAAGTAATACTCAACCCGCGTGATAAGATGACGCTGTCCTGCATCGGCATCGTCATATTCAACCATGAGATACCAATGTAAGTAGTTACCAAGCTTGAAGTTATTGGCAGCGCGAGAGATCAAGAAATGCGCAAGCGAGGATTCCTGTGGGGCTGCATCAGGGAAATCCTCCGGGGTTGCATCATACTTGAGAGCCTGAACCAGCTGCAGCAGATAGAGAAGCAGCTCCTCGTCATCAGCCTTTCGCAACGTTTCAACAGCATATGAGCGAACCGCAGGATTGTCAAATGTAGGTCCCAGAATCTCCAAAGCGTCATCGACATCGATCTCCGTCCATTTAGGGAACATATCCACGGCTTGGCGTGATTCACCAACGTCCCGCCAATTCACAGACTTGACAAACTTAGTCAATGCCTTCTTCTCTCGTGTGAGATGATAACGGAACCGCCATATAAGATCCTTTTCTTCGGCGGTGAGGTCTTGAGTTGGTTCGTAGGAAATTATCATGTTCAAATCATCTCTGATTTTTGGATTTGGTTTCAAGTCCCGGTCCATAATACCCGTTCGATGACTTCGAATCAAACGCCGGTGCTTATCCTCGCAGGGGTTGCCAATCTGCCCAACCTCGGGATCGTATATTCTGATGACCTTGTGGGGATCAGCGCGCGCAATTCCCGGTCCAAAATGCACTTCCGGTACTGGTTTGAGAGTTGAGTCGGGGTGGGAAGACTGGTTCTGGGCCCATGCGGAAATAGGCGGCGGGGGATACTCGTGGTCTGCCCAAACGATCGGATGGTCGAAGCGTGGAAATTCGACATAAAGCTCAAAGTATTCGTCCTCCGGTCGATCCTCCTCAAAGTCATCGTCTGGATCTTTCTCATGTCCCTGATTTTCGTTCATGGCTGCTTCGAGCTCAAGGGCTCGTTTGTGGGCCGCTTGATCTGCATTAAGCTTTAGCTTCTCCAGCTGACGAAATAGCAACTGGTCCATCCAGTCAACGCGAGGTATCTCGCCCATTTCATGCTTTTTGATCAGGACTTCAACCCGTTCCAGTTCTGCCTCTTCGGGTGACTGTTGTGAGGGGTCCCGAGTATTTGGCTTGCGACGTTTTGGCCGTGGCGTGGACGGGGTGGAAGTTGAAACAGATCCGTCCGCACTTTTATGGAGATAAACCTTGCACTTCTGTCTTCCCATCTTCAATTTCCCATCTTCGTCAAACATGCTAATTGTAGTCCCCCCGAACGGTACGTGCGTAATGCGATCATGTGCCAATGGTGACAAGTCAATTATTGTGATAGCGAGTTGGACATTGCGCTCTGCGTCCTTGATCGACATTGGTAATTGTAGCCACTCATTCCATACTCGCGTACTTTTAAATGCCTTGTATCGGGTTTGCATAGGAACGCCAAGAGGTTTTGATTCGGACCATAGCTGAACGGTGACATAAAGATCGGATACGGGATCCTGAACAGACCCGATGTGCCTTAGCTCGGGGTTATTGTGCAAAGCAGTGCCTGGGATCAGCTTTTGCTTTCCTTCCAACGAGCCGCTATGAATGAGTCAGAACAGTATTTGACCCGAAGGCAAGAGACTTACATTTTGACACGAATTGGGAAATCCACTTGCGTGGTCACGGCAAAAGTAAAGGCCTCCATCTCTGTGTGGAGAGATGAGAAAGCTAGGAGGCTGTGCGTCATGGCCGATAAGCAACGCGGGGATTTGATGGTGGTCACGTGAAGCCAAACGCGTCTACGAGTCGCGACCTATCCATCAATTTTCGATCATCAGGCGCTCTCCGTGAATTTGTTTTTTGTTGTGTGATCGAATCCTTTCTTCAACTCTTTGTTGGCTATACTGAGGTCTTCTCCTATCCTTTTCCTTTAATATTGGTGTCAGTTTTTCTTTATCATTATTTCTTTGTTCACCATTGCACCTAGACTCGAGCTGAGAGTGCAGATCAACTATGGCTTTTCTCATCCACACCCCTCTGGAAAACCCAAATTTAACAACTTCGAATCAACACTCATCACCAGGCGACTCATCTGATAAAGAAAACCCCCGGCAAAACCCACATAAACGAACCAGCAGTACGATGCCTCCCCCGCGCCGGCAGAACAAACGGCAAAGACTAGTCAATCGTGACACAAATACGCAATCTGTTCTGTCGCAAACATCATCACAACGGAGTGGTGAGAGCAGGTGGTATGATCCCGATCAGGATCCCGCAGAACGCCAACGCATTCGGAAAGAGACCCGCGAGCTGAATCGCGAAGTCAACGGTATGCGATTTTCTTTGTCTATGGCACAAGGGAACAAGATATTGACATCTTCTACCTAGATTCGCGCAGCGAGTATATGCAGCCTGGCAATACTGGATTGAAAGATGCTCTCGCTCAAGCAAATGATCTCTACGCTCAAGTGAAACAAACCTCCGATGCCACGATCGATTCTCGCCTCTTGGTCAATATCGCGGATCTTTCACACAAGAAAACCTCTCAGCTTGCTCTCGGTGCTACGTCAGCTAGTATTGATGTCGATGAATTTGTATCAAAATGCATCTCTTTCATGCGCCGCGGGCCCACCAATGCGGCGGCCCTGTCCAGTGGGACCCAGGGTCAGCGAGCTCGCCACAGTCGGTCCCAGCGAGACCCCAATGCAAGCGATGATGATGATGCTGGAGATGCCATGAACTGGGATCATCTAGGGCAAGCGGCCTGCTTTCCTCACAACGCACGGCCTGCCGTGCCAGGGTGGTTGTTGGGCCCGCTTTCAATTCAAAAGCGCGTGTGGCAAATGACCCAGCGCAAAGTAACTGAACGAATCGATCCTAGCCTGGCTGTGCGTCCTCAGGAATTGCAACAGCAAGACCTTGGTGGCCAGGAGAGTGCAAATCTCACCCAGATATGCTCTGAGATAAACAAGCTGCTTGGAAAGAATCAGGCAGAGCGTCTTGAGAAAGCTGGATACGAACTGGAGAATACTCCAAATGTCACCCCAGACATGGCACAGGCTATCATGGCTAAGCACGGGATTGCCGATGACGAAGGGATCCCCCTATTCCGGTTCTGTATCAATCCTGATTCCTTCGGACAAAGTGTGGAGAACCTGTTCTATGTTAGCTTCCTAGTTCGTGATGGAACTGTTGGCGTCTCGACTGACAGTCGTGGATTGCCCACCCTTCGTAAGTCTCTTCATCCTTTCTTCCTTTGCAAAACTGACGGTCATGCAGATGCGACGGCGCCATATGCACCGCTTGAGGCACAGAGGCAAGGTATTCAAAAGCATCAGGCCGTGTTCAGTCTAGACTACGACACCTGGGAACAAGTGATTAAGTTGCTTGATCTTAAGGAGTGTATGATTCCCCACCGTGCGCCAACACAGGAGGAGACCAGCACGAGCTGGCACGGCTAATTGCTAAGTGCTGAAAGTGCGGTCTGAATGATTTTACCTCTGTGATACCCCCCTTTTGTTAGATGATTTCAAATAAATGTCCATGAATCTGCATAAATATCGTACGTTCATAAGACATGATTAATAATAATGTAGCTCTGGGGCCACTTGTGCAGCCAAAGGGCCCGTGGGGTGATGAATCCGGCTGGGCTCGACTCGGAGTCTCTGGGTGGATTTGGATAAGCTCCCGGCTACCACGTCATCATTATATACATTTTTCTGACTTCTTAAACCCATCGCTCTGCTGCCCCAGCTTGTTCTTCTCTAATTACCTGGTTTTGAAGCTTCCCACACATTCAAAGCATCCAAGGTTCGAAACACGTTTTGCGAATCATCGCCAGAAAAGGCTCCGAGGCTCAATAACACAAGCAAACGGGGAACCACCAAAGTCCAGCAAGCTTGTCCGAAATGCCACAGCTTTTCCCAACCAACCCCTCTGCGACCATGGTGATTCGCCATGTGACGCCAGAAATCGTTACCATGAGTCTGCCATTCGCGCGATTTGGACACCTGCAATTCGGTGGACGAGGCACACTAGGTAAGGGACTCTTACAGCCCACCCAGCCCGGCGCATCGCACTCTGAAAAAGGATGGGATGATGCGCAGTTATGTCAAACCCACACGAGCTCCTTTTCCAAACCCCCATGCTCACCCTTGCATACGATAGTCAAACTTTCCACCGGTTCCCTCGCGGTTTTCTCGCCCGTCACCTTGACCCCCGAAGTCCGCGAGACAATCGAATCCCTCGGCGGAAATGTGAAGTACATCGCCGCCCCAGACCTCGAACACCACCTACATATCACCCCATGGAAGCAAGCATACCCACAAGCGGAGATTCTAGCACCAGAAGGCCTCTTTGAGAAGCGGCAGTCAAATCCCCAATTCCAAGACACCCTCTTCGAGCACATTTTCAAAAAGAGTGACCCGCTCCCCCGGACGATCTCGAAGGAGTTTGACGCCGAGTTCGACACGGAGTATGTTCACGGCCATGGCTCGCGTGAACTTGTCTTCCTCCATAAACCTTCCCGTACCCTTATCGAGGCCGATATGCTGTTCAACTTGCCTGCTACCGAGCAGTATTCCAGGACACCGGAAGCATCGAAGATTAACTTTTTGACGAGGATTTTGCTGCCCTTGATGTCAACCAAGCCCCCTGCTACCTGGCACAGGCGCTTCGCATGGTACATCCTCTCTTCGCATGATCGTACTGCGTTCAACGAGTCGGTCAATAGGATTGATCAATGGAACTTTGATCGCTTGATCCCGTGCCATGGTGATACCATCGAGACTGGAGCTAAAGGGATTTTCCGCGATGTCATGGCATGGCACCTTGCGAAGAAGGACAATTAGCCTTCTACCTTTTGGTTGTCATTTTTTTGTGATAAGCGACGATGTGAGCGCAATTAGGGCGTGTCCATAGCAAAGCGATCTGTAATTTAGCAATATGCCCCCTGTAGTAATATGAAGAATCTTTTTGATCTTGGACTTTTTGCTATCACAGTTTGGGAGACTCTGCAGGCAACATTATTTAAAATTCGATCTGCTTTCTTGGCTTCTCCATAGCAGAGACCCGCACATGCTTGCGCCTCTTCCCAAGTTACTATCTATAGTAGCAAAAGGCTCTAGGTAGCAAGTAAACTAAACTTTGAGTTGGAGTGCAAATGAATTTGATCTGCATGCTATGTAGCTTGCTATGTATCTCAAGTCCACTCCATGTATGCTTTCCACACCTCGAAAGTCTGGTGAGAGCACATGATTGTTAGCGAGTACCTAGCCTGTCACATTGTCATGATCTAGCTACTTCGTATATCCAAGTACTTAAACATCACAAAACACGTCATAGGGCTGAACGGTCATATGACCGTAAATAAAACATGATGTCAGTGACGTCTCGCTTCGTTCCGAGATTGTCACAATAGCAACGGCCGGGGACTAAACAACACGCACTTGCTCAGGCAACAACAATTAAGATCTAAATCGGTTCACGTTCAGGGCAGTGCCGGTATCCACGGGACAGCTTCATCCACGAATGATGCCTATTCCCACAGAGTTCATATCCCTTGTTGGACATGTTCCTGGAACAAGGGCAGTGCAATCCAAGTTCCCGGGCAGAAATGGCAGAGATGTGTAGTTCTAAGTTGCACCATGGCCTATTGGGCCCCCTTGCCCTTGAAGATTCAGCCACAGTCCACATCAGCGCTCAATCCGCCACGAAGCGTCGATCTTCTGCCCGAATATCCACGTTGGGCATGGGTATCATTGGCCAATGGTCTGACCTTAATTCACCGTATTGCGAAGAGGTCTGACCACATCAGTCTTAGACCTGTACATTTTTCAAAGTATCGTCTAGTGGGCCGTGGTAGTTGTTGGCTGTATTAACGGCCCTTGCTTTAAATACGGTTATGCCCTCTAGAGTTTCCTTGTGTGACTTGTTAAAAAGGTTATATAGCTTCTCACTCTCCCCACTCTCACACTACACTCCCACGAGCTTAACACAACAAAGCCACGACCTCATCACCTTATCTTGACGAAGCCATGCCTGTCATCTCGCGCCTTGTATCCATCATCCTCCGCATTGCGGAAATCGGATTTGCTGCTGTAAAGCCCCCTCCTAATACACTTCCCAGTCTCAGTCTGACCAATAGCTAGGTCGTTGCAGGTGTCATCGGACACTACCTTGCCAAAATCCGCCACGCTCCTGGCGATGTTGACTGGTGGGGCCAGTCCCGATTCATCTATTCTGAAGTGATTGCCGGCATATCGATACTGCTAGGTCTAATCTGGCTGATACCCTTCTCATCGGGATTCTTCTCTTGGCCTTGTATGTGTATATACAGAGCATCGCGTGGTTCGTGACTAACAATGCTCCAGTGGATATTCTCATTTCCTGCGCTTGGTTCGCTTCCTTCGGTGTCCTTGTTGACTATATCAAACGCCAGGCCTGCGGCGGCATTTGGTCCTGGCATTTCGGCGGATGGGGTAGTGAGTCGTTATGTGGCACGTGGAAGGCTGCCGAAGCATTCAGCTTCCTTTCTGCTATCGTTTGGCTTGCTTCTGGTCTTGTGGTAGGTGTTCTTTCATTTATTGAGTGTCGGCCTTGTACTAATATTCGTTCTCAGGGCATTTGGTTCACATTCCGTACCCGCCCGAGTACTACTGATGGAACGTAAGTCATTCGCGCTTTTGATCTGTGAATCCTGACTTATTCTAATATCTTGGATAGTCACCGCCGTCGTTGGGGTCGTTCGGCCGTCTAAGCGTCTACAACAACCTCAAGTTGGAAGCTATACTTACCGTCTCTGGCGAAGAAGCTGGATTGTCTTACTCTGTCCTCGCAAAATCCAAGACAGATATGATTCGGCAAGTTGCCAGCAAGGAAGCCATCGCTGCCACTCATAACGTATTTCCTTGTTGTCGTGTTCTCTTCATGTAGAGACCAACGAATTATGTGTCACGTTGATACCCTTGGTGGGATAATGTCCGGGTGCGGTTTACTCTGAATTTGCTTTTTATTAACTTTTCGCAATCTACTCATAGCTGTACTTTTTCCCAGTGAAATCACCATTCTTTTCTATGTTAGCGACATCAGAGACTCGTGGTGTGTCTGTGACGCTCTCTGATTCTTATTCCTCGTCTTGTTGCTAGCTTCGCATCATTATCTCGTCTCCCCATAAGTGGCCTTGGTAGATTTGCCTCCTAGTCCATTGGTGCAACATCTTTCAAGAGGCATTGAAGTCTGCTAAATGACGGGATCCGAACAGGTGCAGGCGAAGTGGATTTGGGCACCAGTCCATGCTCGTGTTCAATTGAGCAGGAGCAGTGTTCTTCGAGCCACCGAACTTGGAACGAGAGTTTTGAATAGTCATACGACTGAGCATGTTGTTCAAAGCCACATTGCTGCTTCCATAAGAGGTCGGGTTGGTGGATTGTTGATATCGTGGACCATATGGCGAGGCAGAACGATCACCGTTTCCTGGAGACTGAGGAAACAGGGTGCCGTTTGCCCCATTCTTGGAGTGGTTGGCATCGGTTCTTCATGGGTGAGTTCATCCCCTTCTGCACCCTGTTTATAGTATGTTCGAAAAGATGACGCATCTGATCACGCTCAGAATCGTGTTTTAGAAAACGACCCGCTCACTGCATCATTCGATTCGAGAAATTGGTGGCTGACTGCGCAGGCCGTTAGTAACTCTGATAGTGCCTAGAATGGATGGCCTCGAGATGCACACGCCAGCTAAGAGCCACACATGCCCCTCAGTTGACTTCCTGCTGGGCAAGGGCTTCGATGGCCTTCGCACGAATCGCTTTCCGGTTCGGAGGAAGAGCGTCGAGTAACGAGGTGGGGACCAAGAGGAGAAGGCGAATAAGACATGGTAGATGGGACGGAACAAAGGTGAAGGGTAAAGAGTTTGAAGGAGTAGGAAAAGAAAAGAGGGCAAGAAAACTTTAGAAGATATCCAGACTAACAGACAGGGTCAACAGGTTGTATAATGAAACCTTCAGGGCTAAATCTGTGGATTCGAAACTTTTGCTTCGGTCTGTCCAGGTAAATTATAGATTCATCAAACAAACCCTCCATATCCATTATTGTATTTGTTCTTTATCTCACTGTTCTCTTTGATTATCTTCTTCTTCAAGTATACAACATCTTTCTAATAATAGAAATCCATCATTAGAAAAATCATCAATCCTGATTTGTTTAAATACCTCGAGTCCCAATGGTTCCAATTATTCCATCACACTGAAGTCTCAATTCACTTTTACCAAAGACACGCCACTGACCTACTTCCTTATCTATTTACCATACCACTTGAGAAAATGGCTACCTCAATCCTGTTCAGACAACACTGTGTTGCTCTTCACTCCTACTTACAGCGGCTCGCTGACTCTCTTGAAGCCCATGATTTAGGAGTCGGCTCTATCTTAAGTGGTGTCAAGGACTCATTGATTGGTGTCGAACGCTACGGCTCAAACCTAGAGCTTTCCGGTTCGGACAGGGAGCTCAACCAGGCAGCAACGATCGCATACTTTCGCCATCCGGTACCATACGATGGAGAAGCATGCGATGGAGGAGTGATCAGGGGGACCCGGTTCAGCTTGTCATGTTTTCTTTCCCGCCGGACCATGAAGGCGCTGTGTGATCACGTCACAAATGGAGGGTCGCCCGCTGACTTCGTCCGTGTTATCTCGGGTCTGGTTCCTCTTTGGAATATCCGGGAGTGCTCATTTGGCCAGATCACTGATGTCTACCGTGACCATAGGCTTGTGCCTAGGTACGAGTACAAAGGCGATGACGAGTCCCAACGTTTGGGACCTTTTTAAGTGTCTTTGACTTCAGGAGAGGGCCATGGGTGCGCATTTCCTTTGTTTTGACTGCGCGTTAACCGGAAGGGGAAGAGAGGAAGAAGGAAAAAAGAAAGTCTATATACATATCCATAGAGCCACCGATATCACAATAAATAAAAAAATCTTGAATTGAGAGATCACAGACGATTTGTATCCTTCTTGTAGCCTGATCAGTGATCGATGTCAAGATTACTGTTACTAAGTGGTTCGTACTCTGCATATAGTTCCGCGCTCCATGGGTGTCAAGGTTTAGAACCGTCGAAAACCAACATCCAATTCCCTACTTAAGAAGTTCGTACATTCAAGTATAAGTAATTAGGTCCAGCAGACCAAGTCGCACCAGATGCCAGACTAGGTAAATCAACATGAACGAAAAGAACGAGATACTTAAGTAAACCCCGGGGGTTGAGATGGATGACTAAAAGCCAAGAAATGAGGTCGATTCGCACCTTCCCGATGCCGCCCCTTCCCCAAAATGAGGGAAACAGAAGAAATGGCTGACCCCTTGCATAACGCATATAAGGATGAAGGCGATGAGCTGAGCTTGGACCTGGAAGTAGGCGACATGCCGCTTCTGCCCCAAGGCGTGGCTCAGCCGGAACTCACACGCGACCCATCATTTTCGTGTACACCCTCCGGCTTTTGCAACTGGCTTCGCGGGCCGCAGCCTCCCCATGTCTATCATATTAACCCCTGGTTCCCCCGGCTGCAGGCGGCGCCGGCGCGTCTGATTGATCGGAAATTTCCCCGCAAGAGCTCCAAGATCGCATTGCTTGCGGGCGGATTGATTGTTTGGATTTTTGTCTTCTTTTTATCTTTGAAGGCGTCGGTCGCCGGCCAAGAGGTGCCCGGGTACGGGCAGCCTGTCAAGCTGTCGTGTCACCATCGTTTGTGGTAGGTTGTGAACTCTATTAAAAACACCGCAAGGCCATCTTGACTAATCATCGCTGCAGGAACAATGCAACGAACTGTGGACTTAATGGTGATCTCTGTCGTCCCTTTGAAGACCAGTCGTTTGCCTTCCGCTGTCCCTCCGGCTGTGCGGCGGCTATCCTCCTGGAGCCGTACGTTGTGGGCGACCAGGAGCACAATTACCGCCCTCTCGTAATTGGTGGTAAGCCATTCGAGCAAGACGACCACCTCAGTGGTACATACCGTGGAGACTCGTCCATCTGCGCGTCGGCACTGCACGCCGGTCTAGTAGATGATGCCACGGGCGGGTGTGGCATCTTGCACCGAACCGGCGAGCAGAAAGAATTCATTCCTTCAAAGCAGAATGGCATTGAGAGTATTGAATTCCCCTCGAGCTTCCCAATGTCTTTCAGACTCGCCAAGGAACCGCCATCTTCAGGGTCCGGCGAGGCGAAGCCGATCAAGTGCTCTGATTCCCGATGGGCACTTTTCGCCTTCACATTGGTTTGGACTACCATTTTGTCTCTGGTCGTGACTTCAGCGCCAGCCTTCTACAGTTCCATATATTTTATTGTTTGGTTCCAAGTCGCTATGGCGTCCGACCCCCCCTCAATGGGTAGCATCTATGACCTGGTGTCAATTGCGCTTGGTCGCTTCCTGCCCGGTGCATTCGTTGGATTCGTGCTCTACTATTTCTGTGTGCGTCACACATTGAAAAACCTGGATGCGCATTGGGACAAGACGGTTCTGTGGTTAGGGGGCTGTTGGGTCGGCGCCCTAAACACAGACACCTTTGATCGTATTCCGATCTCCCGCCTTACGCCTCACGATATCCAGCAGCAGCCCGGTGCACTCACTGCACTCATTATCGTGGTCGGGACACTCCTCGCAATCGCATTTGGTCAGGCGCATTGCTACCGCCGAGAGGGCCGATTCTTCCCCACGATCAGTATCTACGGTGTCCTTGTCGCGGTTGTCCTCATCCTCGTCGCCGTGCCACACATGAACCTACGTATTCATCATTATATTCTGTCTCTCCTTTTCCTGCCTGGGACAACTTTGCAGACTCGTCCCAGTCTCCTGTACTCTGGTATCCTTATTGGTCTTTTTATTAACGGCATCGCCCGGTGGGGTTTCGACTCGATCCTCCAGACCCCAGGGGCTCTCCTCGATGGTGCCAAACTTGGCACCATTCCCCCTAAAATATACCCTCCGTCCTTGACGGACAACAATAACCTTGTTTTCTCCTTCCCGGATGTCGCGCCTCATGCCGATGGTCTCAGTGTTTTGGTCAATGACGTTGAACGATTCCAGGCGTTCCGACCGAAGGACGATGAGCCACTGCCAGACTTCACATGGACCCGTACTAATCCCAATGAGCTGGAATACTTCCGTTTTGGATACGTTCATTCCAAAGCTCTGGGTGGTCTTTGGTACGAGGACTTCTCTCCCCCCGCGACTTGGAACGCGGATGGAAACTTCGTCTTTCCTGATCCTGAGATCTCCGACCCTGTACAACCTGAAGCGGACTCTACATAGAAAGTAGATGTGTACCACTTGTCTACGCCCTTGTGTTTTCATTACTTGAACATATCATTTCTTTATCAATTAGCGACGCATACCACCTGACAGTTCTGATCACCGAGCTTCGCCATCTCTGTTTCTAAGTTTGCCTGGATTGTTCTATACATTTCGTAATATCTTCTCCAATACATGCTGTGGCTTGTGACTGACTAGAATTTAGATACCAAGCAATGCACCCTTGACATGACCGCCGAGCTGCACTCTCCACAATTTGTATTCGTTCAATGCAAATATCTCACCTTCTTTTCCAAAACAGAAATTAGCAGCCCCTCCGTCAATTCGAATCCGCCCCAAGAGTACACCACCAGGAGACCAAACGTGAATCCCATCTCCACAGCCACTGTAAACATTGCCATCAAGATCGCACTTGATACCGTCCGGAATCCCAGCATCAGTCGCGGCAAACAGCCTGCGGTTTGTGAGAAACGGTTCTCCATGATAGATAGACAGGTCAAAGGCATAACTAGAAGAGTTCACAAGATAGTCAGTACGTGTCTATATGGGAGCTGAACGTGATGTATGCATACATCGAAGAAGCCTTGCGATCATCAATAGTTCCATCTCCATTCTGCTTATCGGTATCGGTGATATAGACCGTCTTCTCATCTGGGGAGAAACAGATTCCATTCGGATGTCCAAACCCATCAGCCACCACTCTAATGCTGCCATCTTCAGGTTTCAGACGATAGACCTGACTCGGCAAAGCAGGTTTAGGTCGATATCCTTGCTCAAACCCATAGGTTGGATCAGTGAACCAGATCGACCCATCTGAGTGAACCACAACATCATTAACGGAGTTGAAGGGTCGGCCGAAGAAATCTCCTTTCACCAGCTTAGAGGTGTACGGCGCCTGAGTTGACATCGTGTATAGTCCGCTGGGCTTGTCCATCGTTCCTTGGCTGCATATCAATGCATGCTCGGGACCCCAGTTCACCCCGCCATTCCCCATGGGGATGTCGGGTGAGATTTCCTCTGCAGTGACTTGGTTACTGCTCAGCCCAACGCGGGTAATCTGAATCATGGGAGTTCCATCTGAATTGGAGCACTTGTTGCTAGTGATGAAGAGCTCTCTTGTCGCGGCAACGTAAATCCCCGCCTCATGGGCAAAAGGGTAGTCTTTCTCTACCAGAAGTTCTATGGTAGGCCCCGTGCCCAGAATGGCATTGAAGCGCTCATCGTGAGCATGGAACGTCTTGTTGGACTGCATGATGTTGACAGATTCACAATCATTTCGGACTCGCGGGTTCTCCAGGTCTGAGTGGGGGTACGCGGGGGAAAATCGACATGCCTCGTCTCGAGGCAGTCAGTGATCGTGGGGCTCAAAAACAGACTCGACAGTTTCCAATCCAATTGCCAAATATCAATCTCTTTCCTGAGATCAGTTGAAAGAATGGCCTCCTGGCGCGAAACCAATAAGCACATACGTATCCTGCGCGATGCGGAGGCCGGCAAATACGGTGTCATCGCAGCCATCGCGTACAACATCGAACAAATCCTCGGTCTTGTGCGTGCCGCCGAGACTTCAAAATCACCACTGATTATCCAATTCTTTCCCTGGGCTATCACGGCAACAGGCGGGCTTCTGGTTCGGACGGCGGCAGACGCAGCTGCTAGAGCCACTGTCCCCATCAGCATTCACTTGGATCACGCGCAGTCGGAGGATATCATCAGAATTGCGGCTGACAGCCTCCCCTTCGATAGCATTATGGTTGACATGTCGCATTATGAAAAGGAGGCCAATTTGCAAAAGACTCGACAACTGGTAGAGTACTGTAACCAGCGACAGATCGCCACGGAAGCCGAACCGGGTCGTATCGAAGGTGGTGAAGATGGTGTTATGGATACTGCAGGACTAGAAGCCTGTATGACGACACCGGAAGAAGTTGACGAGTTCGTGAATACGGGTGTTGATGCCCTGGCACCGGCGTTTGGAAATGTCCATGGTGAATATGGCTCACGAGGCCCTCAGTTGGATTATGAGCGGTACATTGACCTTTGAAGAAATGATGGAGACCCCGAGACTGACGCTGCTCTAGGTTCGAACAGATACATACCCAGGTCAGAGGAAGAGTCAATCTTGCACTCCATGGGACGAATGGGTTCTCACCTGCGACTATGAAACGGTGTGTCGAAGCAGGTGTTTCCAAGATCAATGTCAACAAGTTGGTTTTGGAGGACTATTACGAGCACCTCCACTCTAATGCTGGCAAGATGCCTCATACCCAACTTCTTGAGGAGGGGATTCAGAAAGTGGCTGATTTGACAATGTTCTGGATGGAGGTCTGCGGATCTGCAGGGAAAGCATGAAAGTCCTACCTTTGTTGCCATGTTATTTTCTTCGAAATCGTACCTTGACACGGACAACTTTAGAAGAACTGCAAGTTACGATTCAGTAAGTATTGATACCCGTTGGGACAGAAATCAAAGTGCTTGTTTTTTACTTAAGTAGGAGTCAGTCAGATTAACCACACAATTCCTTGAGATTTTCTGGTTTTTTGTTCGCGGCAATTGAACGACAGCTAATTCTGTATTTAGTCAAGGGACAATAATCGCTATGTATTGATTAACTTCTGCGTAACAGTTCTGTGTCGCTTTAGCGCCAACCTGGGTACAGGGGGCCAGAGCCAAGAATTTCAGTATCATTGGGCCAACTGGCCTGAAAATATCTCATGGCGTCAGCTGAAGCCCAGGCAAAGTGGACCAGGCGCCAAAAGCGGCCCATCTCCCATACAAATCACCACTTCATGTGCAACATAACCACGGCAGCTTGCTCTGGGATTCATTTATTAGCCCCAAACTCGGCCCTCGGAGGTTATCACCGCAAAACATTCAGGTTGGCTCAGGGGAACCAAATCCCGTATAGCTCGATACCGTCTCTGACTTCAAGACTATTGTCTTTTTTTTTTGTTTTTTTTTTTTTTTGTGCGCCTCCCCTTTTTTTGATACAACAAACGACAAAATCAATTGTTTCTGTCTATCTGGGAAAGATGCGCCTTTTGAATACATTTAAAAAAAAGCTGGAGGAGTTCACGCCAGACAAAATTCCACCATATGCAATTTTGTCCCACAGGTGGGAGTCAGGAGAGATTCTCTTCAGCGATCTTCAAAACAATACCGCTCGCACAAAAGCCGCATGGCCCAAAGTGTTGAGTAGCTGCCAACAGGCTCAGCGCGATGAGCTAAAATATATATGGATCGACACCTGCTGCATCGACAAAAGTAGCAGTGCAGATTTGTCCGAGTCAATCAACTCCATGTTCAGTTGGTATCAACGCGCCAAAGTATGCTATGTTTATCTCAGTGACGTTCCAACAAACGACAACATTCGAAAAAGTGATTCCAGCTTCGCTTCGAGTCAATGGTTTACTCGTGGTTGGACTTTGCAAGAACTATTGGCCCCTCGCAAGATGATATTCTTCTCTAATGACTGGAGAGAGCTTGGAAATAAGGAGAACATTTCTGATATCCTCGCTGCTATCACCAGAATCCCTGAACCAGTACTACTACTTGGTATCTCTATGGAAAGATACAGTATTGCACAAAGGATGTCCTGGGCCTCCAAACGAAAGACAACACGCCCGGAAGATATGGCATACTCCCTGATGGGTGTGTTCGATATTAACATGCCCCTCTTATATGGAGAAGGTGGGGCTAAGGCCTTCCTCCGACTGCAAGAAGAGATCATGAGAGTCTCACATGACACTTCAATTTTCGCCTGGAAAGTCTCGAAAGCTCATCCAGTTGACCCCGAGACCCAATATGGCATGCTGGCGACATCGGTAGAGCACTTTGCCCAATCCGGCGAAATTACATTCGTCCCAACCGACCGACCTCCATATTCAATGACAAACAAAGGTATTCAGATTGATCTCGCCTTGCTCAAAGCTCCCAAGATTCCCGCCGAGTTCGATTTTACCGCATTCTCCAAGTCTATAGAGCCAGCACAAATCGCCCTTCTTGACTGCGTTGAACATACGGAGTGGAGGCCCACGTTTCTCGGTATATATGTTCGAAAGGTTTGGGGGCGGGCTGACAGTCGGACTTTACTTCTCAAGCGCGTGAGAGCGGATTGTCTGTCAGTTATGCCGGGATTTAGGGATCTAACCATTATGACATATAATGGCAGCCAGGAAGTGAACCGGAGACAAACGGTATATGTACCTCAGGGATTCCTTTCAGCTCCCTGGGACTTGTGCTGGAAATGAAAACTCATAAGTGCAATTTTAGAACTCTGATTGTCCAGATATTTAGTTTGAATTTTGGAGTGACAAGTTTGGTGGGACGCCTGCTCAAGTGACTCGCCTGTCTTGCATCGCGTTTGGGCCACAATTGTCCTAGAGCCATTCGAAGAGACTATTTACTTTAGCTACTCCGTACAAAACCACCTGGGCAACCTTGGAAAGTATTAGACCGGTACTTAAGGAACATAAATCTAAAACAATCTATAGATAATTCGGAGGAAGCGGCGTTAGGGACAAGTCGGCTTTAAGGTAAAGTCCGCCCATGCACATGAGAATGGTGTGTGAAGTAAGCTTCATATATTTGCAAGCCCTGGCTCCTCCAACTGACTTATCCACCTCATCTTTGGAGGAAATACAAACAGCAACATTAGAATCTTCCAAGTGTTTTTCCATCCAAAATGACTACACATCGCGCTGCCATCCTGCCACAGCTGGGAGGTCCCTTGACTGTCGTGGACCGTGCCACCCCGGAACCTGGCCCCAATGAGATCCTGATTGAAGTCAAGGCCATCGCTTTAAATCCCGTCGATTATAGTCAGCGTGACTCCGGTTTCCCTCCTGTACCTAGCTATCCTGCCGTCCTTGGATCTGATACCTCGGGCCTCGTTGCAAAAGTTGGCGCCAATGTCTCTAGTGTCTTTACGCCAGGCACCCGAGTAATCGCACTCGCCTCGTCCTTCTACCAGAATGGCTCGCCAGACCACGGTGCCTTCCAGGAGTATGCTCTGGCACAGTCTGAAGGTGTGACTTTGCTGCCAGATCATGTCTCTTTCGAAGAGGGTGCTGTACTTCCCTTGGCTGTCCTGACCAGCCTGACTGCCTGGACGACAATCGGCATTTCGCTCGATACCAAATATGCCCCGCAGGACAAGCAGGCGGTCTTGATTTGGGGAGGAGCCAGCAGTGTTGGCACGTTGGCTATTCAATCGGCCAAATCGCTCGGTTTTACCGTTTATGCTACCGCCAGTCCTCAGCATCATGATTACCTCAAGAAGCTCGGTGCGCACGCGGTATTCGATTATAAGGCCAGTGATGTTGTCTCAAGGCTTGTCGACGCTATAAAGGGCGATGGTGTCAGTCTCCGCACTGCACACTGTGTCGTCAGTGATGGTCTGCAGCCAACACTGGACGTTCTCAGGGAGACGAAAGGCGATTCAGCCGCCAAGGTTGCCCATGCGCCTCTCCTGCCACCAGACCACCCGACACTCGACAACACGGAAATTAAATTTGTTTTCCCATCACTGGACACCACCGAGAGAAATGAGCACATACGTCAGTGTTTCCAGGTTTGGTTGAAAGAGGGTCTGGAGTCTGGTGTGGTTGTTCCCAGCCCACATGTCCAGATTGAAGATGGAGGCCTGGAAGGTCTAAATCTGGCACTGGACAAATTGAGGAATGGCGTAAGTGGATCTAAGATTGTCTTGTCAATCTGATATCCTAACTATATTCTGGCCCGTGTCATCGTCGTGACTAGCTAGGAGCTGGCTCTTCTGCGGTGTGAAAGGTAGACATCAATTTGAGATGCAAATGAAAGGGTCAATGGTGTATCATACACTATTATTATAAAATAAACTCTTCATAATGTATGAAGGTGGCATCGAATGAGGGTGCATAATATTGGATGCTAGTCTTTGACGTACCCACGGCAGGAAACTTGCACAATGCTCTGTTTCCCACCATCCTCGATGACCAGAGCCGTCAACTTACCACCCTTCACACATCCAGAGTCAAGGCCCTTTGTGAACGTTCGGATAGAAAGGGAAGAGTGAGCATCATGACCATAGACAACCGTCATTGTTTTCGCGCGCGGGTTCTCGCTCGTAGATTCGAGAGTTGAGTACAGTACTGATTGATGTTTATCAAACATCTGAAAATGGTCAGTATCTGGACTCAGAGGGTCTGGGGCTGGCATGATAGAGCAACGAAAGAAGAATATAGGTTCGTACCTTTGCCCAGTTCGTGCCCTTCTTTTTCGAATTAGGCACATGCGTATCCAAGTCGATTGTTCTCATGGTCATTACGCTGACTGGGTCTTGCTTCTCCAGTGCAATGTCCGGCACCAGTCCTGCATGAACGACCACAACCTGACCCATGTTTGGTACTTGACCAACATCCAAGATCACCGGGCACTTCTCTAACCATTGAACTTGCTCGTCACTCAAAGAACGCGCGAGTGCGCGCTCACTGAGTTCTCTAGACGAATGATCTGAGGTTGTCGCGTCGTCCAACTCACCAAGACTCTTAGTCCTGATCATCTCACGTCGACGAAGAAGTATCCGATCTTCATGATTGCCGCGCACACTGGAGGCCGAATACTGTCGAGCGAGGTCCACGACTCCTATACTGTCTGGTCCCTTGTTGATCATGTCGCCGACAAAGATCAAGTGATCACCACCCCTTTGATTGAATTTCACCTTCTCAAGAAGCTTTTCCACTTTTGTTTGAGAAAATGTTAGCATTGGGCCTTGGGGGTTTCAGGCATAGAAATTTTCCCAAACTTACACTCCTCCTTGCAGCCATGTACATCACCCACAATGATCAATCGTTTTCTTTTCTTCGAATCCGCATCAACACCCGCCAGATCAACGGGCACTAAATCCGGGTTCAACTTTTGAATGTGAACCAGGTCGTTGAACTGAGGCATCGAATTGGCTCCAAATCGTCCTACCGTGCCGGGTCTTGAGTCCGGATCCAGGGAGCTCAATATTGAATTTCTCTCTTGCAACCGGGGCGAGAGGAAAGTTCGCCATCCTAGCCATGCGACAATGAAGAATGATAGGTATATCAGCGCATAACGCCGGAATCGCGGTGCGGATACTATCGATTGTATCATCTGCGTCCATTTTGGGAGCTCCGCTTCGCCAGAAGGTGAGCTAGAATGGCGATGGCTAATGCGAGATTGTGACTGCCATCCGTTGCGAGCAGATTCAATCAGCGGACGAGAGGGCTGGTACTGCCTTGAGTAAGAGGAATGAAGGGTTGAAGCTGGGGGGAAGTCCTCATCGGCGTCGGACTGGAAGCCAGACTGAAAGTCAGCGGCAGCCATGATCCGTGATGTTTTGGGATCAAGAGACTTGATCTTCACGGGTTCATTGTATATATGGAGGTGATGGAGCAGGCAGAAATTAAAGTGACGTTTTACCCCGACGCCCGATAAGGTTGATAAGGTTGATAAGGTGGAATCCGGGATCGACAACTGGTGTTTAGCCTTTTGATATGCCAAGACTATAGGAGTTTTAATGCCATGATCTTCATATATTCATGTCTATGTAGTCTTTTTTTTTTGTGGGGGCCGATCGCGTTGGACATCGAACGACTAGTCTGGTCCTTTTGTGAAGTTCAAGTGTCAATCTCGCGCTCTACATTCTCGTAATCCATAGCGAGAGACCTCACATGCGTTCCCGTTCCAGCTATATAAGCCCTGACGGAATACGGACACTGGTGAATATCGTCAGTGGTTGACAATGATATGGGAAACCAAAATGGCTGAACATGACGGAAGGTTGGATGGTGGAATCACTCACAGAAACGCAGACTGGCGCTCCCTCTGGGGACTGAAGAGTGACCCACGATCACAGGTATACGACGATGAAAGTCTAGACAATCAATGTCGGGATTGAAAGATGACGGGATGGAAGTGATGGGATGGAGATAAACAAGTCAAGAGGAATAAGTGGCAGGAGAGGGAAAACAACCGTGCATTATCCCCGGTATTGGTCATATTCCAGAGCCTCTTTTCTCCGCAGATTAACACGCTGGAGAACGGTCTCATCGTAGACATCTTCCACCCTCTTGCCTTCCTTGAGTACCTCATTCTCATGGCGGACAGCCTCCTCCTTTGTCATGCAGACCATGTCATTAAGGTACATGGGCGTACTCTTTTGGCCCTCCTTTGCGAAGGTCAGATCCAGTTCCCATCCCTTGGCAGGAACCTGCCAGGGCACAAGGGCCAGCCTGTTGGCCAGCCCGCTGACTACACTCTTTCCGCGGAAGACTTCTTCTACAATGAAGGCGACATCATCCTTGCTGAGAGGAGGACGAAGGCCGACTGTGTCTTGGCCAGTTGTTTGCTTGATCATCCGCTCCTGCAAGGTCAACAGACTACCCAGAATACTATCGTATAGCTTCTCGCGGCCTTTGGCACCCATGTTATAGTCAAGAGGGTACCCAGTGATAGTGCAAATAACGTGGTTGGCGACAGTGTAGCCAAACACAGCAGGCATGGTTCCCAGGACAGGGAGAATGCGAGAGCGGAAGTCCGGAAGAACACTCAGCTCACCAATCTGACCCTTGTTGAACTCATCCTCTGGTAGAGGGAGTAGGCTTGCTTTGCCTGGGCCAGGCTTTTCAGTCGAGAACACCGCTGCGACACCAGAGCTGATTCCCTTCAACTTGAGCTTCCGGCGGGTGCTTCGGGACAGAGGATCATCTGTGGTTAGTGAGATGTCACCCACCACAACGCGGGTGGGGTCCGACTTGCATCCAGCGCCCATGGAAGCAATCACAGGTAAAGAGTTCGAATGGCAGTATTCTAACAACTCCACCTTCGAGCCGATGTTATCAATGCAATCCAGGACGAAGTCAGGTCGACGGCCCTCGCCATCGTGTGTCAGGGACCATGGGCCGAGAAGATCCTCAGAAGCGCTCTTTCCGTAAAGCTCATTGCGGCAATCGAATGTGACCCAGGGTGCAATTTGTTCCAATCGCCTCCTGATGCAATGAACCTTCGAGGTTCCCACATCGGCCAGAGTTGCAAGTGCATGGCGGTTCAACGATGAGAGGGTAACTTGGTCGAAATCAATGAGTCGGATCTTCGAGACACCTGAGCGGGCTAAGGAAGCTGCAGCATGCGAGCCGACTCCACCACAACCGACGACGACGATGAAGGATGATCGGAGTTTAGCGAGACCTTCGTCGCCGAGGAAAACACGGTTCCGAGCAAGTTGTTCAAGAATCAGGTCTGGAGCAAGAAACAGGCAGAGTTAGAGAACAGCTCGCAAGTGTTTACCGCCGGTAGAAGGGTCACATACCATCGTCATAGTCACCGCGCTGCGCTCTGCGAGCCAAAGCTGCACTGCGCTCATCCTCTTTGCTGAGCTGGACCGCACTTTCAGCGGCACCATACTCGGTGAGCTATACCTAGAATTAGCCTTCTTCCTCCTACGCTCGGCGGTGTAACAGAAAACACGTCTCCAATGAGGAAGCTCACTTTGCCAGCTGGGTGGGAGTCGTCGATGCTTGGGATCGAAGCTTTCAGATTATATACTGCTTCTTTCCGCTTGTATGACTGGTATCCAAATATAGCACCTGCGACAGCTGCGCCGGATAAAACGGCAGTGGTCGCAAGCTGACCGTGAGACGATCCAGCCTGGCGCTGAAGCCAATAAGTCATGGTGCCAATCAAGCCCTTCTTTTCTGTATCTTCTGCCTTCTTTATATCGGTCGTATCGTCAGGTTGGGTGTTGCGATCAAAATCGGGACTGGTATAAAGCTCGTCAGAATCATATCCATAGTCGAGGTCGGCGTCATCTGGTGCTTGCCACCACTTCGAGGCCATCATTCATTCAGCGTGTACTTACCATCACAAATAACCGATCTGTGCAGGCATTGACCTCTTAAGGTTGGAATGACATCTGCAGATGCGTTCATCGGTGGAACCACGATTCCCGTCACGTGCCCCGGTCCTCTGTTGCTCTTCCCGAGATCCTTCCTCTTGGGCCTTTGGTGACCCATTGGGCACAGCAAAAGCGCAACCCTGAGCTTGCCAACAATCCGGAAATACGTGTCTGGGCATCACCTTGGGTGGTAATCAGGTGAAATTACGCGTGCAAAGACACGTGTCTGGCAAAAGCGCGTCATCAAATTGGAGACGCGATGCCATGCAATCACAACCTCCATCTGGCATCATGAGAGCAGATACACACTAACCCCAAACAGGGACTCTGTTGTATCTCAGAGCTACATAGCTCACAATGCTGATGATGAAGCAGGTATGTTATTGCAATTCCAATCCAACACCCCGGATGGACAGTGTACTCGGTACTGTGGATGCAAAAGCAAGTCATTCAATGGCTTGTCTCAATGACGATAAACCTCACCCGAGCTTCTCATGACATGTCGGTCCAATCAACGTGGACTTCATCCCCTTGGCACCTTGGTGGAAGAAGACACGGGACCCGGTGTGAGTGATTGAGAAATGAACAGAAATCTGAGGGACTACGTATCACTTTCGGATCTTTCCTTTCTCATCAACTCACAATGTCATTTTCATATGGAGCCCACTGACATTTCTTAGCATCGTTGTACATATATCAAATCTGCAGACAAAATAAGACACCCTCCGAAGTCTTTATCTCACCAGTGCCCCTCCACCTCTTTTCATCCATTCACCAAATCTGCGAGTGATCATGCACAAGCCCAATGACGAAAAGTTCCAAAGCACTCCGAGGCCTGTATATTTGCTTCGTCTGTATGCCTTCCAAAGGAAACGACAAGCAACCAATGACGAGTGAACAATTTAGGTAGTTTTCAATCCGAGGGCAAGCATTGCTTCTGCATGATTATCTTGAACCCCCGGGGCTATACACCGTAACAGCGAGTGGGTGTGGTCACTGCATCAAGAATGCTTCACCTGCCCAAAATACCCCTACCCCACGAACCATCACATGAACCCAGTGTCGCTAGTCTTATTGGCCGGCGCGAGCTTCCTGACCCGGTCCAGTGCCATGTTATCAGATTGAAGCTCTTCATCTGTTGAAAAATCCTGGGCATGGCGATCATTTCAAAGGACAAAATTTGAATATCAACTAAAATTCTGTAGTTGGTTCAAGCTGGTGTCAACTATCTAGACAGCTCCTTTTTTCCAAGCTTCATTTTTGCTGTTCGGGATCCATACTTGTCTCGATCCGACGAATGACTCTGGCGGGATTGCCGGCAGCAAAGTGAAACGGAGGAACATCCTGCAACAGTCAGTCTGTCATGTAGTAACAACATTTGAGTGATCTTCATACCTTGGTGACTACTGAGCCAGCTCCAACTGTGCTCCCCTTTCCAATCCTGACACCTGCGAGTACAAGGACACTGCCACCTATTCAGACATCATCTTCAATGTGCACTTCCTTGCCACCTTCTGGTCCCTTTAAACCTCGTCGAACAGCCGGGTCCATCGGGTGCGTAGCCCCATAAATGCACACATTCGGGCCAAACAACACGTTCTCCCCGATGGTAATCAAACAAGTATCGAGAACAAGTAGGTTGAAGTTCAGGAAAGTACCCTTGCCAACTCTGAAATTCAACCCATGATCCACGGAGATAGGACCGTCGACAAATGGATCCGTTTCCTTGAAGAGTGCTCCATCCGCCTTTGGGTCCGAATTCACGGGTGGCAGTGCACGAGTGTCGCAAATAATGCTAGATGGATGGTATTCAGCGCTTGACCTGGTATCCATGGATCCAATGGAGCTTTGACTGACTTTCTCCATAGCTTCACTTTCTCGCGCCTTGTTGCATTTCCAGCGGCATTGAACTCATCGCAAGCCTGTTTACAGCGCGTGCGGTTTGCCTGCAGGTCTTCATCCCAGGCCCAGTATAGCTCGCCACGGATCATCTTTTGCCATTCTTTTGACTGGGCCATGATGTTCGGGTGTGTAGCTCTGTTTCAGTAAGAGAAAATGAATGAACCATCGAAATCTGCAGCGTCGAGCATCTTTATACCAACGTGGTCATACAAGTACCAGGAGTATGACATCGAGTGGGGAATATGAGTGGAGAAGCTAAGTGGCATTCATTCCCTAATCGGGCAGTTCGGCCAGCAGGACAACATTGGAGATCAATACCCCCGTGTTCAATGCAGGTTAGGCGTTTGGGGTCATTGATACCTAGGGTGACTTTGCCATGACCCAATTTTCCCTCCAGAAAAGGATATCAAGAGCCTTGGACGTTTTAATGAATTGACAGCAGCAACCAATCAGAGAATCTATGTTGCGGAAGAACAATGACCCGCCCTATCCGTCTTGAGCTCGCGTTCCTGTTTGAAGTTGACACTCTCGCAACACCCCGACACTCTGGTCCTCGCATTTAGTCAAGTCGCACTCAACCATGCAGGGCTTCTAAGTCCAATCTAACCCAGCCAGTGGATTGTTTTCCAAAACTCCAAAAACCCGACTCCCCTGGCCCACTAATATCAACATTCGACGCGTCCAGCTTATTGCTGTGTGGCCAGTTTACGGTTGAGCCGGCCTGCCCAAGTCAAAATATCCACAACCTCAAGCTAGATGTTGCTTCGAGACTTTTTGAGAATATCTGATTTGAGGACGCGGTCACGAATCTGCCTTGCCAATGGGTCAAACTGTCTGCTGAAAACACATTGGTTTAGTTTAGTTTACTCTTTCTCGCCCAGTGATGAACTCGTCTTGAAGACGAAATAAGCCAATGCTGTAGGCATCTGCTGGACGACGGCTCCACTCCCTTCTAACGGGCGTGGGACGGAATATAGCTGGAAGCCGATGATTAACAACCTGAGAGCAACCTCTGAGGGCGAGTTAGTAGTCTTTGCATTTTTGCGATAGATAAAATACCACTGATTTTGACTTGGCTACATGTCTGGGTTGGGAGTCCATTGACTAGCTCATGTCCACAGAGTGTGTTTATTCGCCCTTCCAAACTATACATGAAAATAGATGAGATGTATTTCATTAAGAGCAAACGCCTGCTAAATGCATTTCGAAGGGCCACGCCCCACAACTGTACAATTCAACCGTCACCCAAGTTCCTTGGTTGTATAAAAGTGACTAGTCAAGGAACTTGCCCAGCGCACCACCGATATTCTTGAGATCCAGCAAGAAAGTGTCATGGCCAAACAGCGACAAATCGTCGCCGAGCTCAACATGCTCCACATTCTTGTTGCCCCCAGCCCGGAGAGTTTCGGCGATTTCACGCTGCTGCCACGCAGGGAAGAGAATGTCACTAGCAACACCCATGACAAGCACGGGGTGGTTCTTGAGCGGAGCAAGACCGGCGACAAGATCACGGGGAGGTCCCTCGGTACCATCAGTAGCGACTGACTCGTCCAGCGGTGTCACATTGGAGGTAGAGCCGGGCTGTTCCTCGTATGGTTGGTCAGGAAGGGTCAGACTACAGGACTCCGAGGCGCTAGAAGCAGCTTCGCCATGGGCAATGCGGTCTTCAGACTCCGCACGGCGATTCAAAGTCGCGGTCTGATGCGCATGGCCAAGATCAAATAGGTCCATGGCCTTGGACACATAGAGCAGACTGTTGGGGTCGTACTCGAGGCAGAACTTCTCGCCAGCATGATCGAGATATGTCTCGATCAGGAAGTCGGGGCAGAGAGCAGGCTGCTTGCTGGGGTCTGCACGTTGACGGCCAAAGCGCATCTCCCACTCAGGGCCACTGCGGTATGTGACGGTGGCGATCTCACGCGCAAGTTTCATGCCAGAGTGCGGTGGGATTGCGTCGTAGTAGAATCCACGTGCCCAGTTGGGGTCCATCATTAGAACCTGGCGCTGAGTGTGGCGCATGGCAATGCTGTAGGGATGGCTGCGGGCGCAGCCACTGATGCTGACAATTTTGCCCACGCGCTCTGGGAATAGCACGCCAGCCGCCAGACTTTGCATACCGCCCATACTCGATCCGACGGAGGCAGCGAGTTTCTTAATACCCAGTCCGTCGAGGAGGCGGAATTGGGCGCGCACCATGTCGTCTAATGTTAGGATTGGGAAACGGGTCGCGTACCGCTTGCCGTCGGAGGGGTCGACGGATGACGGGCCTGTACTGCCGTAACATCCTCCCAATACGTTTGTGCAGATAATGTGATATTTATTGGTGTCCAGAGGCAGGCCGGGACCAATGAATTTCTCCCACCAGCCGGGCTTGGGGTTTGATTCTGTGCTGTGGGCATGGCTGGAGGCCGACAAGCCGGTGTGTAGAAGAATAGCATTGCTCTTATCGGCATTCAATTCTCCCCATGATTCATACGCAACATCAAATTCATTGAGCACGCCGCCCCAGTCGAGCAGAAGTGGTTGTTCGCAGTGGTATGATTCATGTCGGCCGGTGGTGTATGAGGGCTCGGGGCCGGATTGCAGCGACCGGGCGGACAGCTGGGCTGATTTCGCTTCTTGGGCATCGAGGCAAGGGAATGACATTGCCGGGTTAGACGAGTCTCTCTGTGCTGACTCCGCAGCTGCCGATTTCCGTGCCCCGGTATGTAACGACGCGGTTCTCCATTGCGCAGAGAGGACCCGGTGCGGCACGGGGTTGATGAGCGAGCTTCCTCGCTGGGCTCGCAATATGCGCGAAGCGGCACGAGCAGTGTAGGATCGCATATTGGCGTGTAGGACTGAGAATTGGAAAGTGCTGGAGCTGAGGGAGCTTAGAGATTATAAGTTGACACCTGAGGCGGCCATCTGTCGTCATCTGCGATATCGGTGATTGGTGGAGAAGCACGAGGTTTAAACTTGCGCTGTACACTTTCCCTCGGTCAACACTTCGGTCAGTCGACTACGGGGGAAACTGAACGAAAGTAAATGGATTTCAGAGATTATCGCCCTGGAGAGAAAGAGAGAAAAATTCAGGGTCGCCAACGCAAACTACAAAATCCAATTGAACCCCATATTTGGGTGATTCTTCGCGCCCATCGGTATATACAAACGCCAACATCATGCCCAAAACTCCTTTTGAAACCAGAAAACCAGATGCACCCCTCAACGTGAGCTCCCCGTGGAATTTGTCGTTGTCTGAGCTGTGAGCTCAGTCATCACAATCGTTTGGTTGTTCGATCGAATATCAATAGCTCCAGCCCACATACAACGATGCGTACCACAATTTGCATGGAATACGATCTTGGAACCGTCGGTTGAAACCGTTGCACCCCCGGGCGACTCAAGACCCCAATCAGACGTCTGCAGCAGTGGCCGATCGGCCCTGGTATACGGGCCCTTGAGAGACTTGGAATGCGCGTACTTCACATTATAGCCAAAAGAAGTATAACAATGCGAGGAGAAGAACAGGTAATATGTTCCGTCTGATGTGACGATGAGATTGGGCGCCTCGACAAGTGGACCGTCTGAGCCGTCAATATCGAGGATTTTCACTGCGTCTCCGACCGTCGTGACGCCGTCACTCTTGAGCTCCTGTAGTAGAAGTGGCACAGATACCACTGGTTTCTTGCTGTTTCCGCAGTTCCCACCATGGCCAATGCTGTTTCCGTCGCCTTTGTAGACAACATAGAGTGTACCGCCCGTGTCCCTGAAAGGTGATGGGTCGATTGCACCGCCATGTTTATGAGGGCAGGCTAGTGGCTCATTCTCGGGGATGAATGGACCCAAGGGATTTGTGCCATTTGATACTGCGACACCGACACAGTGATGGGTACCAAAGTTCTTCTTGACTTGACCTGAATAATACATCACGAATTTGCCATCATCCTGGTAGTACATGTTAGCATTTCGGCAGCACAAAGAAAAGTAGACGATCCCTACCCGCTGTATAACATCCGGAGCCCAGTGATTGACCTTTCCTTCCCACGTTCCAAGTGTGGGCAGTGAATCATAATCCTCTTTGAGCGTCCAATTGACAAAGTCGGTCGAAGTAGCCACAGGCACGTGGATACTGTTGGGGTTCTTCTTCTTCGGGTTGGTTCCATAGGCATACCAGATGCCATCGTGTTGCATGAGGCCCGGGTCTGGGAAATTGTGAAGAGCAAATTGAGGCGCATTTCTTTTGACATGATAACTAGCATCTTCATTGGGCTGAGGCAGCTTCCAGTAGTCATCCGTGTCTTTCGCATATCCGTAGATTTTCGTGAAGTAAATCGGGAGAGCAATGACCAGTGCGCTCAATGTGAACGCGACAAACACAAGGGCACAAATCGCTCCGATCTGACGCCGTCCCCATGGTTTGGCAAAAAACCTTTTCTTCTCTTGCTTTTCGGCCTTTTCGACGTTGGTATTGGTCGCCGGTGTCGCATTCAGTGAGGGTGCGTTACTGTGTCTGTCCGAGACTTCATTTACCGCAACAGCGGGGTCGACCTTTTTGTCTGCCTCGAATGGTATCTCAATCGCCATTTCTGGTCGCGGGGAATTGGCCATGGAGTACGGTGATGTGGGAAGTGAGATCCATACACCGCTGGATTGAATCAAAACCCCTGCTGGTTTATGCAGTCTGTTATTCCATCACCAACAGAAAGGTATTCAAGGCCGTCTAGAATGAACCCTGAAGGCGAAATTTGGCCACAGACCTTCTTATATGAAGACCGCAAGATGGAGGATAAAGGGCCGAGACGTCGCCGATTGGGTAGAAGTGCAAAGTGAGACCCTGAAAAGGACGGACCCTTTAGGCGCTAACATTTCCAAAAACCCCCGGGCCCTCGAAATCCTAGCACACCATTTCTGAAACTAGGGTTTTTCATTTCTCGCGGCACAGAAGAGGGGAAACATACTCTCCCGAAAGTCAAGCTTTTGCGGGTGTTGACAGGAAAAGATCGGGCCAATGGGGACCCCCCGTGTGCACACTATTTGGGCTATCACCTTCTGTTTGGAGGCTAGCCTTTACATGCTCCGTTTGTTCCTTTGGTTCTGCCCTTGTAACCCAAATTTACACATTCTACACGGTGTCTAGTCGGCTGGGCATCGGGGCGAAGGTCAACACATTATCAAATTTTGGCGTATCGATTTAGGTGTTCTGAAACCGGGTCTCGCGGCAGTGAGTAGACTGCATCGGCCCGCAAGTACAGAGTATGAACCAATATCATCCAGGCTAGGCACCACAATTACTATAGGATCGTTAGCCTGAATTTACAAGCGCGATAAGATGTTCTTCCCAAACGACATTCTTTTAGCCTGTATATCGGATTTTACAAGTTATCGGCTCATCAGCGATATCGGCACCTGTAGAGTTAACCGCGATCCGGGCTTTCCTGGGGTCTATTAGTGGCTAGGCGTTGGCTTTTTTTTCTGGCGATTTGCCACACACGGCCTCGGGGGATGCCTTTTCAAGGGCGAAAGTAGAATGGCAAAGGAGGACGTGCTCGTTCGAGATAAGCGTCCATGCATGCCAAGCCTTGTCGGTGGCGCAGCGGGTGAAATTTTGTACCCCCAGCTTTGAGCAGTTGGTTTACTGCCCTATACACAAAGAAAGATGGTACAGTGGCTTTTGTTAGGTCTAAATTTTATTTGTGTGCTCGCGTGTTTTGGGAATTGAATGGACACAACACAGAATCAAGTACGGAGTACGGAGCACTCGTTCTGCTAATTAGTAGGATTCTGTGTGGCCCATGGAGAGTCAAAGGCTTGCTCGATTCTCAGGTTGTACTCCGTACTGTTGGTACACTAGTTAGAGCTTTGCTTTCAGACATTAACATTCGAAATGCCCAGCTGGCTTTTTGCCAATCTCGAGTAGGCTTCGAGATAACCCACAGATGGGCCTAGTCCCCTGACACATAGCCCAACTCGAGCCCTGGAAGGCATGTTCAACACTTGGCACTCTTGGCTACAAAGAAAATCAATCCGTGGATGAATATCAGCTTTCGTTGCTGTGGCCAACATCATACTTTGCCTGTCTCATGGATTTGAGATCGGAATTTCAGACGTAGTTTCAAGTGTGTCCTAAGGTTGAATGTAAGTCTCGAAACCCTGGTGTATCAGGGGATGGGGTTTGTTAATGACCTCCGAAACTTGACGATATGCCTATGTATTTCTCATGTAGAGCGGCGATGAAGTAAAAGCAGTATGGACATTCGATGTTAGGTGGGGGAACCAAGCTTTTGGGCCTGCATGCAAAAGGTATGCAGACAGAATTGCGGGGAAAGGTTGAGGCCCGGGCACCCCGAGCTGAAAATGGATGTGTAGACATCCTGTGCTGACCATGTACGGATTTTAGTCACAAGGGGGATAGTGGTGGTGCTGATAACCATGAGACGGACCAATGGATGATCATCGCTCACGATTCCATGTCAAGTGCTTGCTTCGGCACGCCGAACCCAAAGTCATGAATATTATCCAGCGCATAATGACACTGGCCAAATCAGTGGCGGAGATCACGATCCTAAAGCTTGCTGCATGTGCCAAAAGTTTCCAAGTAGGAATTTGGGGAAAGCTGCACGGCGCCACAAGAGTAGAGAGCTGGCGGCGTTGCCGAGATTCTATTGAACGATCCTTGATGGAAGGAGGGATATACGACGAAAGCTGACTGCTATCTTCTGACCTAGCTCTAATTACCGCCACTGATTGATTCTAAAGTTTCAAGGCCTATGATGAGTATCTCGTATTTGGTTCTTTTCTCATTACTCTTTCCTCTGTCCTTTCCTTCTCATTCCTTCCTCCGCTGCCTAGGATTCTCTCTCTACCGGCTGGCCTCAAACTCCCCGGAGATGGGCACAGCGACCAATAGAAATTTGGCATAATCAGATCACACGGACGGCGATGGACTTCGGGATATTCGAGACGAGGGCTTTCGGAGCCGACGCCACTTCAGCTCCCCTCGTATGCATCTGCAGGAACGAGGAATGACAATGGAGCCGACATATGGGGCGGCCCGTGCCGAACAACTCACGTCTCTATGAGATGATGAATGGGAGGATGGGACAAGTTAGAGTCAAAATAACCTGGGCTTGAGGTATGTTGTTTGAGTAATTGCTGCCGTTGGGGATAGTAACGCTGGAGAGGGACACTATATGTAGTAGGTCGTCTCCCATGGTTTTGTTCCCCCCAGAAAGCGACTCATATCACAAGAAACTTCCACTCTTGAACAAATTTCGACAAGCAAGACAGATACAATGGCTCCTTCTACAATGTCAGCATATATTCCCATAGCTAGAAGGCGAAAGGGCCGTGTTGACTCCCCCAGCAGCTCGAATGACACTGTCAGTGCTCCCGTGGCACCAAGCAAGACCACCCACGCCAATGGGTCGAATGGCACCAACGGAAACGGTGTCTCTACTTCGAAGGAAAGCGGTATCTTGAAGGAAATCACCGACCAAACTGTCCTGAACGCCAATTTCGACGTTTTCATGAAGACGGATCTTGCAGTCGAGGCCCGAAAGTTCGACTGCGTCAAGCACGTCCGACCGGCTCAGTTCCCCGAAGCTCTTGGAGCACTTCCTTTCCCCCAGGAGCTGAGAGGGCTAGTTGCCTGGACCGACGCGTTCGTTGAGCGACTGGGTTGGGCTGCTTTGTAGGCAGAGCAGGTCAGAACGACCTGATTATAATTCGGAGTTGCAGGCTAACATTGATGTATCACAGAAAACAGCTAGCAAAGAGATCTCCCTTGGCCGTGCTGATCGGGAAATTGAAAGACTCAACTTGCGCATCCAAGATTTGCAGACAAAGCTGCACGATTCTGTCGGGGTGAACCACAAGTTGAAGGGCGAGGTCTCTCATCTGACTAGCCGCAACAAAGCTCTTGAGGAACAACATAAGTGGGACGTTGAGCAGATTGAGGCTTTCAACAAGACTATCTCTGATAAGCAAACGACAATCTGGAGTCTGACCAAGGAGAATGAGAAACAGAGAGCCAGTGTGAACCGTCTTGTGGAGCGGGTCAAGAAACTCATTTCCCTACACAAGGGAGACAAGCACTTGATTGAGGCCTTCGAGGACTGGAAAGCGGCAGATAAGATCCATGATGAGGAGGTCGACAAGCTCGTTGGTTCCCTGAAGAAGGAGGTCGAAGCCCACGCCGCTGCCACAAAAGCTGCCCAGGCGAAGGCAGATGCCACAGAGGCCAAATTCAAGGAGTTAGAGGCCGAGAATGCCCGACTCGTGACACTTGATGCACAACTTGCTGAGCGCGTCAAGACCATCGCTGATCAGCTCAAGCAGCTTGAGGCAGAGTTTGGAGCCTCGGAAGGACAGAAGGCAACACTGAAGGTATTGCTTTCCGAGCTCAAGAAGAAAGAAACGAATGCTCAAGTCGAGATTCAAAACCTCCACCAGAAGTTGCACGATGCCAAGGAGAATGTCGAGGCTGCCAAGGAGCAAGTTCTCGCTGCCAATGAACATGCCAAGTCTCACTGGGAGACTCTGCAGACCATTCGTGTAGATGGTGGTTGGCTGCGGGCTGATGGGACAGACGCTTGCGAGGTTAAACTGGCACCTTTCTGCAAACTTCCTGCTTCCCAGGCCCAGCCTATCACCGACATTGACAACCCATTCAACTAATTGCCAATTGCCCGAGAAGATAACTCTTCTAAAGTTGGGTGGAGGACCTCGGGAGTACTGGCGCATGTTGCGCTGGCTCCGGCGAAAGTGAGGTTGTGTTTAGTATTTTTTGCTTGTATACTCCTGTCCCTCTGTTGATGTTAATACTCTCCCTGTATTTTCCTGTTAGCCGACCATTGAAATGCATATCGTAGCTTTCAATTTTATGTCTTGCCGCCACCCCAGGGTTGCTTCCAAGTTGGGATTTTCATTGTGAGCGTAATTGCCTTGGGAAACGAAGCTCAAGGTGTGCCTGGGTCGGTGAAAATAAGATGTCACTACTCAACGCTTATTTAGGGTGAGACATGAGATGGCACTTCAAATCAGGCCCCACGTCCAGGCATCAGAGCGATCATATGAATACCGAGACCTGGAGGTTTCACTTGGCGATCATCGCCCATTCTGGACACCCGTCAGGAACACTGTGGGGGAGGATTCGAATCTTGCTGATCTCTTGCAGCATTGATTGTCAAGTACGTTAAACTCGAGGCCAATGTATCCCGTATTTACCCAAACAATATACTCATGCGTTGAGTATAGGCACATCATGGATTGTAAGGCACATTGAAGCCGTGAGGTGACGAATGAGGTGTCCCGTCACAATCAAGCCTCAGGCCACGTGAGCGCCACCCCCAAAGAGGCTACAAGCTGCTTTCGGCGTACGCAATCCTCTGGAGACACTCGCAAGTTAGCCAGATTTTGTTCGGGTCTGCTTCGTACCTCGTTTCATGGTGCAGGTTTAGGGATTTAGCTTGGTTTTTTTTCCCCTTCCCTCGCGTCCCCTATCTTGATTGCGGGTCACTATCTCCAGTATCGAGGTCACCTCTGCGCAACCAATGCGGCCCATGTAACGAATCTCTGTGTACCGACATGTCACCCTCTCGATTTGCCTGATCTCGGATTCGGCAGCTTCCCATTCTGTCCCATCCCGCGAGTCGAAGACCTCACGCACCTCCCACTTACCCGAACTCGCGGATCAACGAACTCAAAAATACAACAGCCTCATTTCGTGGCCCTGGTCGACATAGGCCTGCCGCGAGCCCCAAACCACATCACTCGGCAGTACCGGCTAGATCGCACACGATGATAACCCCGCGCAAAGTGCTGCTTGCCCTCATCGTCGTGGTCACCTTCCTCGTCGTCCTCCGCTCGTTCCGAACGCCTGAACTTCCCGGCGCGCCTGGGTATAAACCCGTGAAAAAAATATCTGAAGAGGAGGCAGACACATTAGCAAAATCTCAGCGCAAAACACCACCTCAAGGACGAGCCCAACTACCCCTCGGTGCATCGCCGGCTGCACCGCTTCGTGAGCGTCTCCGCTATCAGTTCCCCTATGAGCTGGAGGAACCATTCCCCGCATATATTTGGCAGACATGGAAGTACAATCCGTCGTCAATGTGGTTTGATGAAGACCTTCGGGGCCCGGAAGCTAGCTGGTCAGAGATGCACCCCGGTTTCGCACATGAAGTGATCCCTGATAATACACAAGCCCACTTGATCAAGTATCTATACGGATCGATTCCGGAGGTATATGAAGCATATGACTCGCTACCCCTGGGAGTCATGAAAGCAGACTTCTTCCGGTACTTGGTGTTACTGGCTCGGGGCGGGGTGTATAGCGACATTGACACAACGGCACTTAAGCCCGCGCACACGTGGCTGCCGGAGGAATTGGACCGATCAACAATTGGGTTTATCATTGGCATCGAGGCTGATCCTGACCGCCCAGACTGGCATGATTGGTACACGCGTCGCCTGCAGTTCTGCCAGTGGACTATTGTCTCGAAACCGGGACATCCGATTCTTCGTGATATGGTGGCTTATGTCACCGAGCATGCATTACGGATGAAGAAGGCCGGTATTCTAAGGGTCGGCAAGATGGACAGAACCATCATGGAATTCACCGGGCCAGGAGCCTGGACAGATGCCGTTTTCCGCTACTTTAATAATCCGGCCTATTTCAATATCCAACCCGGCGATAAAAACATCACATATGAGGACTTCAGCCATCAGACCATACATCGCAAGGTTGGCGATGTAGTCGTTTTGCCTATCACCAGCTTTAGTCCTGGTGTCGGTCAGATGGGTGCCGGGGATACGGAAGACCCCATGGCCTTTGTGAAACACAATTTCGGGGGTATGTACATTTTGTCGCCGTGGATTCATTTCTTACCCGAGCGAAAAGATCCTAATTTATTTTCTCCGCAGGAACATGGAAAACAGATCCAACGCTGTGAAAGTGATACCCTCGTGCAACTCGCATCGGTATCCAGTATCGTGAAACCGAACTACGCCCCCATCCTCTTTTCCAATATATCACTTCCGCCTTCTCGTTCAATCACCCTCTATCTTCTGGCTGAGTCTGTGCCCGTCACTGTACTCAGCACGATGAAGTTCATCCGCTGGTATTGAGCCGCAATAGTGCCTCGCGAGATTCGACTCAAATCAGGCACAGACACCGGAACCGTCCCATGTTTTATGATACCTGTTCATGTGATTCCCCTTTTGTGTTTATTGCTGTATACCTTTGCTCCATCTTTAGATTTTGGCCTGGCAACAATTTGCTGCTGGCTGGTTGATAGATTTAAATTCATTGTTACCATATATCGTCGCGCTAGTAACCATAGCAAATGATAATCATCTCAAAACGGAGCCAACAATGTCCATCAATGGATTCAAGAGATACGGAGTACACATCACTGCTCTACTCCGTAATTCGCAAGCTCGGCAGAAGTAAACGGCATATCTGATTCTTCTCTGGTTAAACTCATGCTATTTATTTGATTGGTATTCAGCCAGCGAACCACGCAGAGGCAAACATCCGGGACCGCAATGATGTACAGGCTTGATCATATGCCACTCAGCACAGCCGGACCTGCTCAAGTGGGCACAAGCCCACGCAAGTTGCTAAATCAGGACAATGGAGATCTGTCCCTATGGCCAGGGGAATGAATAGCTTGATCGATCATATGGGGTACGGGTACGAGTACTGCCAAGCATCTTGGACAGAGAAAGATCATCGGTCATAGGGGGATACATTAGGTACATGTACTCTGTATGTACGAGTATGGTTAAATGATGGTCTGGAATATAACCTAAGACTTCAGGAGTACGGAGTACTCGGGTGTCTCTGATGTGATAGCCTTGGAAAACACAGCCCTGGATCTATAACCGCGGGCGAAGCTGACACCAAAAAAGAAGAACCTGTACATATTATGCAGATGTGTCTCACTGCAAATGTACGGAGTACGGAGCACGGGCTAACTCAATCTACTTCCGAAAGATTTTCAAACCAATGGGGTAGGCGAGATTCAGCGAGGGGCACTCCTTTAGGAACTTTTAGGAAATAGATCTGACACAGCATCCATTGGCGTACCTGAATATCGACAATGAGGGTGGATCTACTCGTAGGATTGTATACAAATCCGCGGCCCGCTTTTGATTCTCGTCAATAAATGCCGAAACATACTCGTAAACGAATGCGATCACATAACACAGGCTTTGTTGGTTGGGCATGCAAGCTAGGGGTAGGAATTATTTCTTTTTCCATTGTATTACAGCACTTTTATGGCCGAATAAGCTCCAATGTGCGGCTAGGGGCTCTCAGTACAATCCACTTGATACATCACGCTTGTTGTTCCGATATGCAATAAAATGCAAGCCCTGCATATCCTTACATTTGCCTCGACCAATATCGACTCTGAGCTGAGGGTATCCTGTTTCATCTCGATCAATTCTTTTTAGTAGAAAGAACAAATTAAGGGGTGTTTTTATGGTCTTTCATTATAAAGCTAGAAAAGTCACCACGCCAACGACCAGGCAAATTCCACTCTAGGTCGTACCTAGGCACTGTTCGGCATCATAATGAATACACTCAGTAGCCAAAAGCCTGTCCAAGTCGGCCTCCCGCCACTGGAGTCTTTTTGGCCTTCCATTGGTCAACCCTACAAGGTAGCGAGCCCTTTTTTCTCCGAATCCCCGGATACATCAACACTCCTGCGGCCAATTTCCGTTAGCCCTGCCACCTACAGAGCCTCCCTCGATTTCCAGGTTCCTTTCACATTTGCTATTGGATATGTCACGACGGTCCTTTTTTTGAATAGACTCAATGTTAGCCGCCAGGGTAAGCCCTGGGTTTTCACTAAAAACCCTGTGTTCAGGGCGTTTGTGGTTTTACACAATGCCTCACTTGCAGTGTTCTCTGCTTGGGTACTTTACGGAATGGGCTACTCCATGTACGCCTCCTGGCCAACGGGTGCTACCAAGGAAGGGCCCGATTATCACGCGCATGTAGCGCAAATGTTTTGTGCGACGGACGCAAATGCAATTCAAGGTAAGATGAATCTATTCGTATACTTGATACCATCATTGGAATGTCAATATCTAACCTCGTCTCATATGACAGCTTCGGCAAATGTAAAAAGTCTTTGGGACGAAGGATCTGCCTATTTTGGCTGGTTCTTCTACATGTCTAAGTTCTACGAAGTGCTTGACACAATGATCATTCTTTCAAGCGGAAAGAAAAGCTCTACTTTGCAGACTTATCACCACGCTGGTGTGATTCTCTGCGCCTGGGCGTCATTGAGATACACATCTCCGTCATATGTGGTTCCTGTTGTGTTCAATTCAGCAGTCCACACGCTAATGGTATGTTGGAATTCCGACTCTCGTCACATTTAACTTGGATCAGCACGCTAATTTCTTTTCATCTCGTTAGTACTCTTATTTTGCCATGCAATCGCTTGGAGTATCCATTCCTATGGCAATTAAGCGTTCTCTCACCGTCATTCAAATCGCCCAGTTCTTGATAGGTCTGGTCTGGCTCTACGTTCCCGTTTTCTTGAAGTACAACATAAGCTCCGTGATGACACCCCAGGCGTTCTCCAATGTGTCTTTGTCCGAGCTAGCCCCACGACTTGTGCATGCTGCGCCAAGTCGCGACTTTTGCGATGAGACTGAGAAACTTGCTTTGGACACAGCTGTCTCCTGTCTGACTGACCGTGGGCAGGGTTTGGCTGTTGCATATTCAACCATATATATTCTACCTCTGCTGGTCCTGTTTGTCCAATTTTTCATCAGGTCCTATATGAAGGCTCGAAAGTGATCGGGGGAAAAGTTAGTTGTTTTCTAAAGTTCAAAGGTTGTAACATGTAATAGACTGAATATACTTATGTACTACTAGAGTTTTCCACCAGCTCTAGAGATATATCGCCATCTAATACTGCTTTTTTGAACCTGTAGACTCCTACTTGGCATGGAGCATACTTAAGTACTTAAATACAGAGTAGGACTAGAAGATCTGGGGCTCCAGGGAAAAGCTCGTCCTGAACTTTAGAAGTCTCCCTCAATTTTCAACTGAACCATTCCATGACCACTCCATTGACCCTTCTCTACGGAACTAAGCAAAATTAACTAGCTAACGAGATTCACCGTTCCATCCGGCACTGCGCTCTCCGAGACTCGGAGTACCTCGCAATGGGATAGCTAATATACAACTACTGTAAATAGCAAGTATCTCCAAGTCCTGCAACATTTGCGCAGCTAACCAATTTCCAGCAACCGACTTTAGTTCAGCTCCAGCATAGCCATCCCATCGCCAACTTTAGAAAGACCTCCTTTCCTGGTCACAACTACGCACAAATTTGGTCGATAATTGGCACAAATATGATTACACGGAGCTTATAGGTAATTTCTAGAGCTGCTGCATGAAGGTTCGGTGGCCTTGGGGACAAAGGATTATTGAGCGTGGTGGGCAGGATAGATTGCAAGTCCATCAGGAGTTTCTCGATGTTTTTACTAAGGAAAGTGGATGGGGATTGACCTCGGAATTTATTGAAAGATTTCCGGAGCTCTTGCAGGGCATGAGCGTTGATAGATGCCGTGCGGTTTCAAATTACAGTGGGACAGCCATACTAGATATTAATCATAGAAGCATGATATCAACTTTAGAATAATTGTCTGGTGAGGGTGTTCTAAAGTTGCTTATGGAAAGAGGATTGCTACTCCAGATCTAGATGTGAACGATTTACGGATGGCACCATAGCCGCTCCCAGTATTTACGGACATCAATGAAGGGTAAAATTGACGTGCCCAGGTGGCTCAAGTATCGCGAGCAGTCTATTATGAAGGAGGAACTCTCATTGTGATAGTCTGTCATCATCTACTCGTGTTTTACTTGATTGTGTTTGCTTAATTTGTACTCGGGAACAGCGCTAGTATATGGTAGATGTGTGCCCAGGTGCTATGCACGGATAGCTCAGACGAGAGCCCTGGAGATGTTACGGACTTGAGACATAGATAGAAAACATTTTAAACGATTGTAATTGCCATTCTAGAATATGCCCACACCTCCAATATACAAGCAACGCTAAAAAGACTACAAAAGCAAGCCCAAGAAGAAGAAAAAAACACCAAAACGCCCTGTATTCACCCTGATTGCGCCGAAAGATGGTTGTGTGGATACTAGACGACAAGCCGTTCTGATCGAGGTAGGCGGGTTCCGATAAAGCAAGGTATGGATGTAGACAAAAACCAAACGATGTTTGGTGTTGTGTTCATACTGTCGTGGAGGAAGTTCCCAAGAAAAGAGGATGGGAAAAGATAGAAGAGAAGAAGAAAAGAAAAAAAAAGACTCGCGCTGGGCTTGGGCAGTATGGCGAAAAGGAATACCCGCCGATGCCCAGATTTGCCACAGTCGTGCCAAGGCCCGTCATGGGATCCCACCTTGAAGCAAGAAGCAAATATGGGGAGCAAGTGACCGCGAGCGCAGGCTCAGAAAGAAGCATTCAACCGGGCACGTGCCCGTGGGGGTTCGTGTGGAATGGGAATGGACTCCCATCATCTGATGGCTTCTCAAGAACGAAGGTGATGTTCGAGGTTTGATAAATTGGATGACCCACAAGCAACTCAGAAGTCACTAAATAATGCCTCATACTTCTTCTTCAGGTCGTCGGTGTAGATGTTGGCGTGTCTGACGTCGGGGGGATCCGGGTACTCCTCGAAGTTACCAGTATCCGCGGGGTGCGATAAGCGGGGAAGTATAGGCCCCTTCACCCGGCGGTAGAATAAATCGTCCCAAATGACATTTTGGAAGAACGGATGTGACTTGACTCGGGTCGAGCCACCAGAAATGTGGCCGAGTCGTTCCGTTGGGTTTGTTTTGCAGAGAAGAGAGACAATATTCTGCGCTGCGGGCGGCATATTCGGGGGGAAGCGCAGGCGACCCTCGACGATCTGCTCATAGATTCGCATAGGGTTTTGATCCCAGAATGGGGGCTGGCCAATCAGAAACTCGTAGATCAGGATTCCAAGCGCCCACCAGTCCACAGCAAGTCCATGACCGCTATTTTGAATAACCTCCGGGGCGAGATATTCCGGCGTGCCGCAAAGGGTGTATGTCTCGCGGTTGTCGACTTGCTTCGCGAATCCAAAGTCAACGAGTTTGAGATGACCATCGGCGTCCAGTAGGATATTTTCCGGCTTGAGGTCCCTGTAAGCAATTCCATGGACATCATGGAGGAACTCAATTGTCATTGTAATTTCGGCGGCGTAGAAAATCGAAGTCTCCTCGCTAAAGCGTCTTTGCTTGCGAAGATATGTGAATATCTCGCCTCCAGGGCAGTAGTCCAGCTAACGGTTCGTCAGCGCCCTATAATTACCCGACCCGTACCAATCGCATAGGATGTCCATACCAGCATGTAGAGGCTCTTTTCATCCGAGAAAGACGCAATGAGGGTGGTGATGAAAGGGTGATCAATGACCGCAGCCAGGGCTTTTCGTTCGTTGCGCACATGTTCCACTTGCTTGAGTTTGATCACTTTCCAGCGCAACCGGTACCAGTTAGCCTTCGCCTCGCGCAACGTGAGACAACGTGGCGCTTACCATCTGCCTTTCGAAGAATTTTTAGAGCATAGACTTTGCTTTTGTCCTTTTGGTCCTTCAACCTTGTGAGCCATACCCGAGCAAAAGTGCCTAGAAAAACATGTCAACGGTTGGAGATTGCTCGCGCAACTGGTACACAAAGAGTAGAAGGTACTCACCAGTTCCCAGGGTCTTGATGAGGACAAAATCAGTCACGCGCAACGTCCTTGATTGGATACACAGTTGTTTCTCGCCCTGGCGCTCGGTGATAAGAAATGGGTTGGAGGATCGCGGAGACGAGCGGAGGGATTCGACAATGGACTTTTCGATCTGGTGGAGGGATCCGTTTGGTCTAGGAAACACCATGGTGCCTGGCGCCTCATTCGGCGAGTGTTGCACTGTTCCAGTTGCCATTAGAATAGCGACCCGAGGAAGGAAAAAAAAAAAGTATGAGATCCGGCCCGTTAGCGCGCCACCAATCGGCAACACAGCTTGAATCGAGGGCAAGGTCTCAAGGGTCTCAGATTATCAGAGACATTTAGGTCCAAAGCTGTCAAAAAAAAAAAGGGGAGGGGAAACACAGTCTGGGGAAGTCAAAGAAGAGATACGAAAAGAGAGGCCTCTGACGTATTTACTATGCGGGGCTAGACGGAACTCTACGAACTGAGTACATAAGCTAAGAGCCTCTTCCGGGCGTTTGATTCGACCATGCATATTCCCTTATTGTACACCGAAAATTTGATAATTCCTTAAATGTATACAGCCTGGTTTATCCAGGTCCTTGGCATCTTCGGGAATTTGGTAGTACACCGTATTGTACTCGTAGTTGCGGTAGTACTGGTAGTGATAGCCGTGGCTGAGAAGTAAGTGTAGGACAGTGCGCATTCAAGACTTCGAGTTCAAGATCAAACCGACAATCAAGCTGACAGGTTAGCGAGAACAAGAAGAGAGGTCTGAGTCAGAAACACTTACCCATAAAGACCAAGAACTTCACCGAAAATCAAGATCAAAATCATTCCAACATAGACTCGCGATTGTTGCATGTATGCCCGAACACCCTGGTGTTGCCGTTAGTACCGGTTCTCTCCGCCGTTGCAAATATGTCCGTACCGCATCTCCCACCACTCCGATTGTATACCCAGCAGCCACGCCTGTAAGACCGACAGATAGTCCTGCACCCAGGTGCATAAAGCCTCTGGAAACCGTGTCAGCGTGTTCGTAGGTTCCACATTCAGCCCTCCGACGTACGTGTACAAGCTCATGTTGGTTGTTGGGCCCACTGCTTGCGCAATGAGAACTGCGACAACGAGACCATAAACTGCGATGATACCGGACATAACGACGGGAATGAGGGACTAAGTGTATGACTTTAATTAGTGACCGAGAAACTGGCAGCAAGCCTGATGGTTCCCTCACCTTCATAATCAGATCGGATCTAAATGTTCCCACACCCGCAATACCGATGCCTGACTTTGCTGTGCCATAAGCTGCTCCTGCCGCTGTGAGAAAGTAAGCTGTCTGTCTGGATCTCCAGAGTCTAGAACCTCGAGATCTAGCTCCGTCCTCGCCAAGAATTCCACGTACACCCAAAGATCATCTTCAGGAGGTGGTTAGTGAATTGGATCATAATGCGACGCGGTGGTGATAGGACTCACTGCAGCAGCAATGCCAGCCTAGCGTAGGATAGCTTGTTAGTCTCATGATCTTCAAGGTTGGCGGCTGAACTCACAAAGGAAAAGAACGGGGCGAACTTGGGGGCAAGCTCGCTCTCTGCCATGATGAAGATAAGGCAAGACTCAGCTTGCACACAATCACCTAGAAAGAAAGAAGGGAGAGCTGGAGGGGGAAAACCCGATCGAGGATGACGAGAATGGGTAGGTGTCGCTCCTTGTTCCACATGGTCATTTCGCCCGCCGTAGTCCACGCAGTTGTTCCCGCCCAGGCGGTGACCATACGATACTTGCAGTATCCGGTGATCCCCCGCGTTAAACGTCGGCACTTTGAGGTCTGCCGTATTTAAATTACATACCGGCCTCGCCGTCACCGTGGACCTTCTTCTCCTGGGCCCCCTCCCCCAAGTGTATCATTGCATTTTCAACAACTACCACACCCCCACCTCCACCTCACTGCCCTGTTCTCTCTTGGAAATTTCGGGAGATGCTGAGGGTATGAAATCGAAAGGAGCCTTGGTTTTGTTGCGCTCACGGCTCCTGGCGCTTTTCTATTAACATTTGATATCGCCTTTAAATCATCCCAATTCCAAACTGAGGGGAGTTATGGCATATTGAGTGATATCGCCTAGAGACGCTTTACTATTATACTCGCCATTGCGGACGGCGTATTTTCTCTTGTTCCCCTCCATCGTTTTCCCCGTTGTCCACGATCTTGAACAGACCTCTTGCGACGCCCTGAACGCTCTACACGATCATCACGGATACCCCCTTTCACCTTTCTCCGTACGACGGAACAGAGATTCTTTGTACATTTGACCGACAGGCGACAGCCCGCTTGTGATCGCTGACATCTCGTAAAAATGGCGGATCTGGGTGGTCAACGTAACCGGGCCTACCGGCCTCACGGACCGGCCTCGTCAACACAACGGGATGCTGCGTTTTCCGATATTTTCGGAGGCGCACCCCCCGCAGGACGCTCCCAAACCATGAATTCGCAAACTCCTCAATTCTCTCAAGGCCGTGCTCACACTATGTCATCGCATGTGGTACACCCTCAATTCTCGAGACCGCCGCCGACGCCCACGCGGCAAGTGCCCAATGGATACGGACCACCATCAGCACCACCTAATGGATATCCCCCACCGCCACCATCTGGACAATATCAAGCATACAACCCAGGAGCTGCAACAATGTCCTCACATCAGCCACCTCGACCGCACCCTGGGGCCCAACAACGATTCGCCGCTTACCCTCGCCCGCAACGCCTCGAGACGCGGCCAAGCCCATCTCCGCAGTATCCAGAGTCCCGAGATTTCAATCGCCCGATGCCCCCACCTGCGTTGAACTCCGATGCATCTCGATCAAGATCGATGGCAAAGTTGAGCGGGCCGCCCCATCAAAATCCACCTAGCAATTTCAACCACACCTCCGCTATTGCCTCCCGCCGCGAGCAATATCACACTGGGGCTCCGATAACTCAATTGGGCCGTCCTGTGCCGGAGAAAAATACCAACGAGCGAGCTATGTCCTTGACCTCCTGGTCGTCAGATCGAGATGCGCATATTATGAACAGCGGAAGATCGATTCCGTATCGCAGACCACCATCAGGCCATGATCAGCAAAATGTGACGCGCGATGCAGTGCCGATTACCCCAAGAAGCGATTCGATGACAAAGCCTAGTCCTGAGGGGTATGTGACTTCCCGCCAACCTAGCGACGCATCAGCTAGGTCTCGAACCATGTCCATGGCATCAACCATTGCACCAGATAGAACATTGAGTGTTCAGAGCCAAGCTACTCAAAGCTCGTCTGGTCAAACAACACTGGTAGCCAGAGATTCGCAGCGCAAAGTTCCAGTGGTTTATCCTGCACTACTTTCGCTTGTGGCTGAGATCTTCAGAGAGAAGATCTCACTCGGCGAGCGTCAGAAGAACGGTCTTTCTTATCAAAACGCATTTTCGGGTACCGATTCTGTCGATTTGATTGGCTCCATCATCCGGACCAACGATCGTAACTTGGCTCTTCTTCTTGGCCGTGCGCTGGATGCTCAAAAGTTCTTCCACGACGTGACCTACGACCATCGCCTCCGAGATGCGCCTGGTGAAGTTTATCAATTTAAGGAAACCATGGGAGAAGACAAGTCCACGGCTGATGTCAATGGAGTTTTCACACTCCTGACTGAATGCTATTCTCCAACCTGCAATCGAGATCAACTTTGTTACTCTATCGCTTGTCCCCGACGACTGGAACAACAGGCTAGGCTGAACATCAAGCCCCAGCCCGTGCTCGGAGCGGGAGATGCCACCACCGCGCCCCCAGACGATGACGATGATACCGACAATCAAAAGCTGTGGATCAGCACGGTCTCTAAGGACATCTCCGATTCTGTGGACGATCGTGAAAAGAAGCGCCAGGAAATCATCTTTGAGTTGATGTATACCGAACGAGATTTCGTCAAGGATTTGGAATACTTGCGCGACTTCTGGATGCGACCCTTGCGCGCTGCGGGGACTACAACACACTCGCCAATTCCAGAGCATCGGCGGGAGAAGTTCATCAGGACCGTGTTTGGCAACTGCTTAGAAGTCCTCAAGGTTAACAGCGCTCTGTGCGAAGCTCTGAACGCCCGGCAAAAAGAAAATGCGGTTGTTCAAACCATTGGTGACATTGTCTGCCAACATGTTCCCAACTTCGATCCATTCATCAAGTATGGTGCCAACCAACTTTACGGCAAGTACGAGTTTGAAAAGGAAAAGGCGTCCAATCCGGCCTTTGCCAAATTCGTGGAAGATACAGAACGTCTCAAAGAGTCTCGAAAGCTGGAGCTGAACGGTTACCTGACAAAGCCTACCACTCGTCTTGCAAGATACCCGCTCCTGCTCGAGGGTGTTTTGAAAACCACTGCGGACAGCAATACTGATAAGGAAGATATCCCTAAGGCCATCAAGATGATCAAGGATTTCCTTTCGCGTGTCAATGCTGAGAGTGGTAAAGCAGAGAACCATTTCAATCTTGTTCAGTTGAATGCTGCACTCAAGTTCAATACCGCAGATTATGTCGATTTGAAACTTACGGAAGAAAATCGACAAATGCTCATGAAGATGGCTTTCAAAAAGACGACGGCTGACAGTTCCGATGTCACGGCATATCTCTTCGATCATGCTGTTCTCCTTGTTCGTGTCAAGGTGGTGAACAAGCGTGAAGAAGTCCGAGTCTACAGAAAACCTATTCCTTTGGAGCTGTTGGTGATCGCTCAAATGGAAGAGGTCATTCCACGACTAGGTATCGCTAAGCGACCATCCTCCAGTCTGCTGTCCAACAAACCTGTTATCAACAATCCCCCTCCTGCCAAAGATGGTGGCCTGCCAATCACCTTCAGACATCTTGGCAAAGGTGGATATGAACAAACCCTGTACGCGACAAACTCTGCCACGCGGCGGAAGTTCATCGAAGCAGTTGAGCAACAACAAGAAAAATTATGGGAGAGAAACAGCAACTTCTATAACAAGACGATACTGAGTGAGGGCTTCTTTGCGGCGGTTAACCGTATCAATTGTCTTGTCCCAATAGGTAAGCAAACACCGCATATATGAGCATGACTTCCGCTAACCAATTTTATCAGATGGGGGTCGCAAATTGGTCTACGGTACTGACAATGGTATCTTTGTGTCTGAACGTTGGCCCAAGGACAAATCAACCAAGCCAAAGAAGGTCCTCGAGGCTACCCAAGTCACTCAAATTGATACTTTGGAAGAATACCAACTGTTGTTGGTGCTTGCTAACAAGACACTCTCCTCTTATCCTATGGATGCTCTCGATCTCTCCGAGGGCCAGAATACCATGGCAAAGCGTCCAAAGAAGATTCAGGGCCATGCCAACTTTTTCAAGGCCGGAATTGGACTCGGACGTCATCTGGTCTGCTCGGTCAAAACATCTGCTCTGTCAAGTACTATCAAGGTCTACGAGCCAATGGATAACCTTGCTAAGGGAAAGAAAAAATCGGCCGTCAGCAAAATGTTCCAGAGTGGTCAGGACACACTCAAGCCATTCAAGGTTCGTGCCATCTCTATGATTGTCTTTGGTTACATCTAACAATCTCCCACAGGAATACTACATACCTGCAGAGTCTTCTTCGATTCATTTCCTTCGCTCTACTCTCTGTGTCGGTTGTGCGCGTGGCTTTGAGGTTGTCAGTCTCGAAACAACCGAGACACAGTCTCTCTTGGACCAAGCAGACACATCCCTTGACTTTGTAGCACGCAAGGAAAACGTCAAGCCAATTCATATCGAGCGCATGAATGGCGAATTCCTCCTCAACTACAGTGACTTCTCGTTCTTTGTCAACCGCAATGGATGGCGAGCTCGTCCAGATTGGAAGATCGCCTGGGAGGGCAACCCGAACGCATTCGCACTCTCCTATCCCTACATCCTCGCGTTCGAACCGAACTTTGTCGAAATCCGACACGTTGAAACCAGTGAATTGACGCACCTGATGACCGGGAAAAACATTCGCATGTTACACAGCTCCACTCGCGAGGTATGTTACCCGCTCTTCCGCTCTATTTTGCTCCAAATGCTGACCTTTTCCCAGATTATTTATGCCTATGAAGATGACCATGGCTATGACACCGTCGCCAGCTTGGATTTCTGGACTAATAAACCCCAACAACATGTGTAATCCTTGACAGGTCTCACACACTTCCCTGCTCTGGTGTTGTCCACATCTTTTGGCCATCCATATCTCTCAGACTCAGGACTCGCATACTTTCCCTCCTCATCATTGAAATATTCCGACGGGAATGATTCGCCTTCTCTTTTCTACGCAATGTACAATGGAGCGCAAATACCACTTCTTGCGTGACTGATTTCTTGCTTTTCTCCGTTCTACCTCCCTTTTTTCCCTTCAATTTCTTGCCAACTGCATTTTGCCCACCTCTTTTCTGTTCTCAAAACTTTACTTTCTAGTCCTATCTTCCATGGCTTCTTTTTTTTCACCTTCTACCTGTATTGTTCTGAGTTCGAGGTATCTTGTCTGTTATACTTAGCAATTTCATTGATGTGGATGGATTCATTGCATTGCGGATGGGAGAACTGAAGTAGGCCTGGCTTTACTTCTTTAATGTCATTGAATTCAATCTTGAAATCTTCCAAGATTTCGCTTCATAACGTAGGTGTTCTAGACTACATCGATGGGCTACGCGATTATGATGGCATGACTGCATTTCAGTTCATATATTGAATGTATCGTATCCTGAAGTCTTTGGCATCATGGACAAGTGATGATCCACGGATGGACCCTTTTTCCCATGCGCCTCAACCACATTTCATACCACTACGAAGGTTCAACCTGGACAAGTACAACTAGACACAATGGGAATCTCAAGGATTACAATACCAGCAAGGCATATAGCCAGATACTTTTTCGTCCTCTATTACTATCAGTAGGAAGACAGGAGGGGAAAAAGGAGAGATAATGAAGAAGACATGAGCCACGAACGCAAAAAGAACAAGAGAAGAGGGAATATTGCTGCGCTGCGGACTTTGAAGAACTAGAGAGAAAGCGGGGGAGATAGGGGAATAGGCGTGATGCAGCAACAGGTCCCGGTGGCAGCTGGTGATGTGGGAGAAAAAGAGACCAAAAGACTCGAACACGAGGGAGAACTTGATGTCGCGAAGAAAGGTCACCAGGCGGGCAGTGAGCAAAATATGTACCACGGCATAACTTCCAGGTTGAAGCACTGGGAGTTTGATAGAAGCATTGCATCCATCATTTTGCGCGGAACACCAGCCTATCGTGAGTTAGGCACTCCCCACAGAAGAATAAAAAAAAAAGCTATTAACGTGAATAAACAGTCAATATTATCCCATAAACAAAAGCCAACTTGGTGTCTGAAAGTCCATGTTGGCGCAAACGGTATCACATTTAGAACCGGCGCCCCACGGAACGAGCCGCATCGCCGGAAGGGTATATCTAGGCCTCTCCGTTGGTAGCTTCGCCGTTGGCTTGCTGCTCTCGCTGCATGCGAGCCTCGATCTCGCGAAGCTGGCTCTCGCGGGCCAACAGCTCCTGTCGCTTCTCGGCAATCTCGCGCTGGACCTTGATTTCGATCTCGCGCAACTTCTCCTCCTCGCGGCGAAGCTGCTCCTCCTTGAGGCGCACGGACTGGGAAGCAAGATCCTCGGGGTTCATGGAAGAATCTTGGCCGGATCTAATCATTTGTTAGCAAAGGTCCAATAGCCTGAGGGGGTGGAAACGTACGGAGAAGCACCATCGACGCTCTTGCTGAGCTTCTCGGTACGGTAGTTCTCGTAAAGGAAGTCGTGTGTAATCTCCTTCAGGTCACCCAGGTGGCTGTGCAACAGGGCACTGCGAATAGCGAGGAAGTCAGAGTGACGAGGGTTCTCAACCTCGACAACACCCCATGGGTACTGGCGCGCGCGCACTTTGCGGTCATCGATTTCCACAAAGTCCTCGGATCCAACAATGGCGAAGGGCATCAGACCACGCAGCTCAGCGTTCTCCTCAACGGTGTCTTCGTCATCCTCCTCGATGTCGTAAGGGAAGTTGTAAACAGGGATACGGTAGTGCTCGATATCCTCCATGATCAACTTTTTAGACTCGGCCAATTCGGCGGGGGTGAGGGAGTCAGCCTTTCCAATGACGGGGATGACGTTAACACGGGGAGACAGGCGCTTCATCAGTTCGATATCGAGTTCACGCAGACCGTGGCCGGTGGGTGTGATGAAGTAAAGCAGGACGTGGACTCTGTTGTCTCTGAAGCGGGGGTTACGCTTGATTCGTGACTCCTCCGCAAGAATATCATCGTATTGGCGCTCGAGGTAGCCAACAATTTCGCCGAAGCTATTCGAGGGGTCAGTAACTGCATGGTTGCTTATGGGTCCGGTGGACATGCCTGGCCTCGTTGTCAATCTGGTCGCCGAATCCGGGCGTATCAACGATAGTCAGGGAGATACGGGTTCCCTCATCGTCGAGTTCGAGCTCTGTCGTTCGGAGTCAGTATCGGCCTGGATATTTGCGCGGGGGAGAGATTGGACTCACCAACAGTGACGGGCTTGATGCGAACACCCTCCTCAAGGTGAGCGTTGGCAGCATCATCGGCATCCTTGCCCTCCAAGACCTGCTTGCCGCAGAGAGTGTTGACGAAAGTTGTGCGTCCTATCAGGGGATCGAGTTGTCAGTCGGCATTCAGGGTGAGGGATTGAACACGCATACCGGTTCCGCTAGCACCGCAGACCATCAAACAAAACTGAATTCCCTTCTTGACATTCTTCTTGCGACGAATCTTGATCTACCCGGAACGAGCGCGGGCGTGCAATTAGCTTTCGATTTTCTTCGAGAAGAACCAGGGGGAAGTGCCTACCGCGTTGAGTGCTGAAGACATTGTGAGTAGAGGATAAATTAAACTAGTATGAAAAAGAAGAAAAAGGTCAAAGTAATAAGGAAGAAACTTGGCTCTCCTGAGAGTCTGGAGAGAGAGAGAGTAGGGGGGGGGAAAGACAGTTCGTGTTTCCCCCTTTCCCAAACAGGTGACCAATCACCGTATCACTGGCTACTCCAGTCTGGGCTACTAGTATATTTGCGCTTTATATGTACTGTCCTGGACATATCACAATTGACCAGTTATTTTGACCAGAAAAAAAGAAATTCCGATTATTTCCCCCCTATCTCGTGCATTGGAAATCTCCCATTCCTTTTGTATACATCCAGCTGGATATTGAAGTCACTCAGGGGTTGAGGGTGGAGATGTGCTTATGTAAGTGTCTGCCTGAGCCCTGAGGTGTCCATGTGGATAGCTCTTATCGATACGGCCAACGGGGTCGAGATCACCCCGTTGCCTAGTGTCGAAGCTACATCTGGTTTCCCCATATCTCTCTCTCTCCGGCGCTATACTGCCTCCCTAAAGATGAGTCAGTGACTCTGCAATGAATACCCGCCAGTCTATCGACGAGTCCATCGGACCATACTCACTATCAGTAACCTTTAATCATGACAACAGCTGCTTCTCGGTGGGGTTGGACACAGGCTTCTGTGGTAAGCACTGCTCGAGATACTTCTCTCTATGGAGATATCAATCTCTGGGAGAGGGAGGAAGCTTTGTACATGGCTTTGCGCATGGCTTTGCGCATGGAACCGAGGCTAACGGATATGTATTAGTATATAACGCCAACCCGTGCGAACTAAAGGTTCTAAGAGGTGGGGATTTACCCTCGATCCCAACTACTCTCCTCTATTGGACGCCAAGGAACTGACTTATCAGATTTCAATGCCGGCATTGGGGTCGCTGAAATGCTGGGTCAGTCGAACTACTTAGCCATTGTTGGCGGTGGTAAGAACCCTAAGTTCCCACAGAACAAGGTGACTACTTCCATGGACAGTGAGAAAGATCATCAAAGTTGACAAACCACATTAGCTGGTTATCTGGGACGATGCCAAACAGAAGGCCGCTATCACCCTTGAATTCCGGACCTCGGTCTTGGGTGTCCGTCTCTCGAAATCAAAGATTGTTGCCGTGTTGTTGAATAGTGTTCATGTATTTGCATTTTCCAATCCACCAAAGAAACTCTCAGTGTTCGAGACCTCAGACAATCCGTTAGGATTAGCCTGTCTGGATCAGAAGGTTCTTGCCTTCCCCGGTCGATCCCCCGGGCAGGTTCAGATGATAGAATTGGAGACAGGCAACATCAGCATCATTCCGGCACACAGCACCCCTCTCCGGGCGATGGCACTCAGTCCTGACGGAAAGTTACTAGCAACAGCTAGTGAGTCGGTGAGCTGCCATGGCTCTGTACTTATCTATGAGCGCGGCCGTTAACATGTATACAGGGAACATTGGTTCGGATATTTGCTACTGGCAACTGTACAAAGTTGGCAGAGTTGCGCCGTGGAGTTGACCATGCGGTCATATTTTCTATTGCATTTTCCCCATCCAATACTATGCTGGCAGTTACATCTGACAAATCAACTCTCCATGTCTTTGATCTTCCCCAGCAACCCATCAGTCGCCGCAGCCAATCACCAACGCCAACGTCAGAAGAAACGGCCCCTAGCCAGAAATGGGGTATCCTTGGCAAGATTCCTTTACTTCCTCGAGTCTTCTCAGATGTTTACTCCGTTGCGAGTGCACACTTTGAGATTGGCGAAGGCGCAACGCCTGGCTCGGCGTATGTGCCACCAAGTGGGTCATCATTTGGTCGGCCTCAAAAAGGACTCTTAGGGTGGTGCGATGACATGACTCTCCTTGTGTTAGGTTCCGGGAGAGAAGGACGCTGGGAGAAATTTGCGCTTCGAGAAGGCGAGGAAGGCAGAAAACATTGCATTCGGGATGGCTGGAAAAGATATCTCGGATAGCTGACAGGATAGCATGATTTATTAACCCAATCAAGAGACCACCCCGCAGAGGGAGTGATACGAGCAGATGTTTAAATGTTTTATCTGCTGTTGCTTGATCAAACGCTTGCACCAAGCTCGATGATTGGGCTGTTTCGCTCGATGGCCCAATACTGCGGGTGTTTTCTTGCTCGATATATTTAGCAACAGAAACATGACTGTGGTCATATTTCCAGCATGTGCTTGGTCGAAAGAATGAATCAACGATGTAGTGATATAGCCATATATCTTTCGTATGCTAAGTGTTGAAGTCCGGGGCGGTGTGGCTGTGGAGGGCAGATGGTATGAAGCTCGTCTCGTATTTGGCTATTGCGGGCAATGTGACGAACTTCGATCCCTGTCCGTAAGAAAGCTTTCAGGGCACGCGAAGAATGAGTGTTGCATAGCATATGGTATGGTCCATTCGCCAGTTAAGATTGAGCATGTCGACGATGTGATTGTCGCTTTAGACACTCAACGGCGACGATCATGTCTTTCCCTATCAGATCGGTGACGTCGAGACTCGGGCGAGCGTGATTCCCTTGATGGGCGGTCTCTCCTTGATCGCTCTCTGTCTGATGATCTGTGGCGAGTACGCCTCTCCCTGTCTGGAGAGCGGGATCGGTGACGGCGATGGTGCCGGCTCGATCGTTCTCTGCTATGATCGCGTCGCCTGCTCGATTTTTTGGAGCTGTTCCAGGCCTCGATGGCACGGGCAACCTCTTCTTTCTTCTCCTCAATCAAGAATTCCTTCATTGGGTCCTCCTCGTCATGTGTTCGGATCAGATCTTGCAATTCTTTCTCCTCTTGTAGCATTGGCCGCGTTTCTTCAATCGCCTGTCTCCGGCTGTGTCGATCTCCTCTGCTATCTTTGCTTTGGGGGACCGGGTCTCCCATCAACTTGGCGACATTATCTTCCTCCTCCTCGTCATCCTTGCGCTTGTAGCGTGTGTGGTCGACTCGAAGCATGCGTCCCAAGACGGTTGCACCCCCCAGATTATCCACGGCAAGATCTGTGCTGCGCTGGTCCTCGTATTTCAAAAAGGCGAAGCCCTTGCTCTTGCCGGTTTCCTTGTCGCGAACCAGATTGACATGCACCGGCTCTCCGTACTGGGAGAAGATCGCGACAATATCACCTTCAGAAATATCGAATGGAAGGCCACCAATATAGACATAGGCTGTATCACGATAGTCTGCATGCCATGATGCCTCTGGGGGTCTAACGCAAGACTGTTAGTCACCAGCGGAGGGGAGCTGCGCATAAGCCAACAAATGGGGGCACCAAACTCACACAGCGTTTTCTAGCTCGCGCTTATTGAGCGCTTGAACCTGGCGAATGGAATTCATGGGCAGATAGATTGGGGGTGGTTGTAGAGGAGAAGCAAAGCTGGAGCAGAAGTTGGAGAGAGAAATGTGGAGCCGCGGAACCGTAATATTCAGATGTTTACGCACCTGGATACAAACTAACCCCCTGCTCAGTCAAAGACGGTCGCCGACACAAGACCACTTTGTTTCAGTGACTCGCAATTGCCTACAGGTCCTCGCGAGTGGGCTAGCTTTTTAGGCCGAAAACTTATATCCTCCCTCGGGATTCCCCTGACCGCGCCTCCACCTCCTCAACCTTACTACGCGCAAACGACTACAGCGGTGTTACAGGAGAGATCGACCTCTACCAGTGTGAATGTCCTCTGAGGCATGGTAGAATTTGACTAGACGATGTCTTCGTCCAGTCCGAACCCAGGGTCGAAGACCGGTACCAACAGTCGACCAACCAGCAAAGATGGCTCCAAGAAGAACATTTGGTCCTCGCTCTTAGATACCGTTGCTAATGGCAAGCGCTTGCCTGAGAAGAACTTGCTGGTGTTAGGTTAGTCCTGGTGCCTTCGCGGCATTCCAGCCCCGCTGGATCTGGCTCCTAGCCCTGATCGCTTGCCCGACTTTCCCTATTGACTCGTCACTAATCCCACGACAGGTGGTACACCGGATAGCCAAAGGGAATTCCTCGATACCTTCTCCGCCGATACGTCTGCGGACCCCGCGTTAGCAAATGACAAACGAAAGGGCAAGGGAAAGATACCCCCCATCGCCAATCAATTTGCGCTTGGTTACACATATCGAGATGTTCTTGATGCCGATAAAGAAGGTATACAGGCAGCCCAGTGCGCTTCTGAATTTGAGATTGCTAACAAGCTGTTTAGATACTCTGGCTCGCGTCTCGGCCTACCTTCTATCCGAACCCTCTCCGTCATTTGCACCCCTCCTCAAGCCACTCTTAACCCCGAAGTCTGTACCGGAAACGCTGGTTGTGATCCTTATGGACTGGTCAGATCCTTGGACATGGGTTCGAAGACTCAGAGAATGGGTCCGTCTACTACGCTCTGTGCTCGTTTCGCTCGACGATGAGACAAAGATTGTTATGGAAGAAACTATGATGGAGTGGCGCGACCGCAAGCGAGGTGTCGATGCCAATAATGCGACTGCTGGTGGTCTTTCAAACTCAAGTGGCCCGATCACAATACCTTTGGGCCCTGGCGAATGGGATGAAGGCCTCGGTATCCCCATGTGTGTTGTCTGCCAAGGAGTATGTGAACGATCATAAACAAAACCCAAACTACAGCTTTGCTAACATGGTTTCTCTATCTTTAGGCGGACAAGATTGAGAAACTAGAGAAGGATCACGGATGGCATGAAGAGCAATTCGATTTCATCCTCCAGTTCCTCCGAACGATTCTTCTGAAGCGTAAGATCCACTCGCAATTCGACAACTCATCTTGTTTAGTTGTTTTCTGACACCGAAACAGATGGTGCATCCCTCATTTACACCACCCCATTCCTGGCAGGCTCACTCCAGGGCTTAGTCCATTCTTCACTTGGCATACACTCTTTATTGAAGAAGGAATCATTAAAACATAATGTTATTGACCGCGACAAGATCCTCGTGCCAGCAAACTGGGACTCCTGGGGTAAGATTCGAATCATCCGTGAGGGATTCGACATGGAGGGAGTGTCAACAGCATGGTCAATTGAAATTCAAGACCCCCCAGAGTCAATCTATCAAACCACGGACAACGCCCAAGAGCGCGAGAATGCTCACGCAGAAGATGGTACAAGTGCTGTGACCACATTTGAACAAACGATCCACGATCCCAAGCAAGGCACTGCTGGCGCCAATCCCAACAGCAACAGCACCAAGATTGAGATCGAAACGGCCGATCTTCAGGACTTCTTCGCAACCCAGGCGAATATTCTAGAAGATCTCAAGGCTAAAGACGACAAGGAGCACACAACACCCCATACCCCACAGTTGGAAATGTCTCCTATGGCTGATGAAGGCAAAGTCAACGAGCACATTGGTCCTGTGCAATTCAACATGGGCGGAATCCAGGTGGACGCCGACGATATGTTGAAGAAGCTAAGGGTAAGTACCGAACAAGCAAGCCATCGAATTCACAGAATCTAACCGAACCTCCAGGACCGAGAAGCCGTTCGAACCCAAAGGAAGGAGAGCCCGTTGCCAGCTGCCAGCGACGATAAAGCGCACAATCAAGCTTTGGCAAACTTCTTTGCTGGTCTTGTCAAGAAACCAGGCTCAAGCCCTCGTGGAAGTCCCTCGGCTTGATCCTTTATTTCTTTCGCTGTATTTTAGTTCGCCCATACATAGTACAGAACCTGAAAATCTCGCTTTTGGCGTTGGGCCGATTTGTTTGGGACATAGATGGATGGACACGGCTGTTCGAGATCTAATGGCTAAAGGGGACATATGCCCAGGTGGTCATTCTGTGTGGTTACCCCAGGGGTGGAGAGGTCCTATGGCTTTTCGGCAGGTGTTAGATAGTGATACCAATATGAAGTCTGTTTTGTTGTTGCATATATTTCTCTGGATACAACTAGGTAATTCAGATGGTTTTTAGAGTGCAAAATACATTCTGAACCTGACAATATCTAGCTATAATTTGTTGCCAATCAAATATCCGCTTACATTGTGCATCAAAGGCCCTTTTTTTGAGAGAGAGATCACCAGTTTTCCCAGACAGCATCGGGCAGAACGTTTCTCATGATAGACCAGTGGGCCAGAGCACTGCGGTCTTGGTACTTGTGTAGTCTGCCAGCTTCCTTGGCCCAAAGCAGCGGCCTGCCACCCTTAGGGAAGGACTTGAACATAGCAGGGTCCAGTTCATGCTCAGGAACAAGGTAGCTTTGACGAGACCTGCTGCGCAGGTAGTCTGCCGGGACCGGATCGCGGAACTGGAGTGGTGTCTTGGTCTTCTTGCAGAACAGAACCATGTTGGTGAACTTGGAATCTTCTTCATTGCCGGCAGGAGCCTCGCGGAAGATACGGCAGGACGGGAAGACGGCTTGGACTGTGCGGACAACGAGGCCAGTTGGGTATAGAGTCAGATCGCCGGCATAGTTCTATAAGTTTGTCAGTGCATGTTCTGGAAATTTGGCTATGGTAGAACTTACGATAGCAATAACACCGTCATCTTTGAGGAGAGAGTGCAGGCCCGTGAGGAACTCATAGGTAAACAGTTCAGCGGGCTCAGCGCCACCGGTGAACACGTCATGGACAATGTAGTCGTATTGCGGCGATTTGGAGGAAGACTCGGCATTTTTGACGAACTTGACTGCATCTTGAATCACGGGAATGTGGTTCGATGGAAGGTTGAAATACTGAGTGGCGAATTTGTGCACAACAGGGTCTATCTCGACAATGGTGGTCTCAATGCCGTGCTTGATCAGTGCAGCAGGGGTAGTACCGATTCCAAGGCCACTGCTTCTGTTAGTCGAGTTGTTATCAGGTTGAGAGGGTTCTTACATGACGAGAGCGTTGCTGTCTGCGTCGACACGGGGGACGCCATGATCAGGTTCAACCAAGCGAACGGCTTCCAGCATGGCGAAGATTGCATAGATGGGGTCTTCAACCTCGGGGTGGTAGCCGGGGACTTGCTTGGTCCACTGGCCGCCAAGCAGGCTGTGATCGCAGCGCATGACGCGGAACCCGTCATTGTCGTTCTCGAGAACGGAGATGTATCCGGTGTAAGCTTCCTGTCGGGCCAGGAGGGTGTATCCTTCGTGTTGGATAGCAGAGTTGACACCATTGATTCCAGCAAAGTGAACATTGGAGGTCACCGAGAAAATGATAGAAGGAATTGCCAAGGCCAGCCATTTAGACGGAATCAAAGCAGAGTAGCAGATGGCAAGAAGAATCTGCATGCCAACTCTGGTAAACATGAATGTAGTTCCCACTATCCACGAGAGAAGCATCGTAGCGAAATGGTCACCAATGGAGTAGAGAACGTATGTGCCAATCAAGGGCACATGCTCGGCTACCAGGTCACCTTGTGCCTCAAGCCTCAGGGAGGTCTGAATCTGCTTTCCGGCATAGGCTACTGTCAAAAAGACCAGGGGGTAATATCCGCACAGCTCCGTGATCACTGGACCAGTTGGGTTGCCGATCTTAGAGCTCTGCTGCTTGATCAGGTACTGGATAGTAGGAACCCAGAATGCCAGCACGGGGAGCAAGTAGCCACCAAGGCGACCCAGGCGTCTCAGGATCTTGTCCTTAAGCAACCACCCGAGTCCACCAGAAATGGCCACTCCAAAGCTATGGAAGATCTTCGAGGGGAGATATCCATAGGTTGGAGACAACACCAGCTTTGAAAGGGGCGAATAGAAGGCAAGCAGGACCAGCAAGGCCATGCCGGTGCCGAAGCGCCGACGATCAACCTGCTGCAAGAAATCCTGAATAGGCATGGTGTCCAGCTGGATGCAGTTCTAGATATCTGATGTCTAGTACATGTGGGATTGACCAACAGCGTATCTGCGACTTAGTTAGCAATTTTGAAACGGTGTCCTTTCGCTTTCAACAGGAAGATCCAATGTCCGAAGAACCCCGAACAAGTTCAACGTTTCAATTAGAGCATATTGACTTACTTATTCAAACCAGACACATAAACAGAAGCTCCGTCGAGAAAGAAAAGTTATCGCGGAGAGCAGCCACTTTTGCCGCCGCATTCCGCGTTCCCCAAACTTCTCCATTTTCCCATCTTCCTATCTTCGGACACAACAATGCCACACTTCCCCAAGGACTCTGGCTTCGAGCCCAAAGATACACAAAGCCATGCTATCACAGTCAAGAACCGTCGCAAGCGGTATCTGGACTTACACCCAGAATACTACTCGGCAGATCTTGAGCTAGCCGGTCCGCCTGCTCTTTTCCACAGCTTCGCCTGATCACGGACGACTGCTGGCACCTTACCTAGAAGGAATTAACCACCTAATGCTAATCTTGCTCGACTCTCTCCAGACCCTCTACTGTACGATCGCCTCATTCGCCGATTTCAAACACCACAAGAAAGAGAAGCTGCAGGGAAAGCCATGGGATTCTCGGGCATTCTGCAAACAGATATCATGAGATCAGAAGCCCGAATAAACGCGATCGCTCACCCAGAACCTCACGCCATAATGAGCTACAGTCGTGGCCCTGACGGGGAAATCCTCGCCGAGGACCGCGATGACATTCCTCCAAATAAAGAAGAAGGCGAGCGACTCTGGCAGTGGGAAATGGGGTTGCGGTTCATACAGGGCAATGATCCGGATTTTGATTACACGACTGTTGATGAGAACGATGAGTACGACGATCACTCAGACAAGGTAGATCAGTACTTTGAGGACGAGGAACCCGAATGGGTGGTTAGCGATACCCCAGGGGGAGACACCCGCCCAAATCTACAGGGCGAGACCGGTATTCAAGACTTTTGATTTTGTCATGTTGATCAATTGGCCCGCAAAGTGCTGTCTTGATTCCTGGTCCATGGATCCGAGAATCTCAATCAGCTGTCTGGTCAAATGTTTTATCTACGGCCAGCTTATTTTACACATTTGCCTGTTACTCAAATCACCGCTCAAAAATTATCAGCATGCCTCCTTCTTTCTCGCCTCTTTCTATTATCCTCCATGATTTTGCTTCGGTCATTCGTTCTTTGATGCCCTCAAGAAAAGTTCTTCCTATCGTCTTTCTCGGTATATTTGTTTCTATAAAACACAAAGTTACTCTAATCGATATTACATGAGGAATCAAAGGTTAATGGTCGATTCATATTCACTATAGCCAGTGGGTTTCTTTCAATGCTCTATGTACACCATGTAGTCAACCGCCTTGGAAGGGCCACTTGGGAGTGTTAGGCTCTACAATATCTTCGACTTTCTTTTCGCGAATTCACGGGAAGCTGAACATTTCTAGACCGCATTTATACAGCAAGCCTCGTCAAAAGCTCAATGGCTTTCTCCCTCAGTTTGAACTTCTGGATCTTCCCACTTGCCGTCTTGGGAAATGACTCCGGGGGCTCGAGAAAGAAGACGTGCTTCGGAACTATACGCGGGCATGGTCAGCGTGGATGCCAACTGCAATCTGGGTTCACTTACCAAGATGGTTGCTAAGTTTCTCGCGCACCCATTGCTGGATTTCCTCGGCAGTGATCCTCTTTGAGCTATGCTCTCGGGGTACCACAAAAGCAGCCACAGCCTCACCATATCTCACATCAGGGACTCCAACGATAGACACGTCAGAAATGGCACTGTTTGCTAGCAAGCAGTTCTCGATCTCAAGAGGGTGGATATTCTCCCCTCCGCGGATGATTAAGTCTTTGATTCGTCCTGTAATGGTGATATATCCATCGGGTGACATGGAAGCCTCATCTCCGGTCTAAAGGCTCGAGGTCAGAGTGGAGGTAGGGTACACCGAGAAGAAGAAACTTACATGCATCCATATCTTACCGGTGGCATCTGGAATCATCACTTCCGCTGTCTTTTCTGGGTCTCCCCAATACTCTTTCATCAGAAGGTATCCTCCAACAGCCAACTCGCCCCGGGCACCCAAGGGCATTATCCCTCTCTCATCCCCCGGATTCACGATCTTTGCCTGGACATGTGGCATTAGTTTTCCAACGGAGCTAATCCTTTTGTCCATTGGATCGTCCGTGGCTGTCATAGCCGACACGGGACTTGTTTCGGTCATTCCATAGCAGATTGTCAATTCCGTCAAGTTCAATACCCTGTGTAGCTTTTTCATAATTTCAGACGGAATGCTACTCCCGGCGGCAATGCCTGTCCGGAGGTGTTGGAAACCATCACGGGAGATCTCTCCGGTCTCGATCAAGCTAAGTTCCTCAAGGAACATAGTTGGCACACCGTACAGCGCGGTGCATCTTTCTTCTTGCACTGCTCTCAATGCCGCACGTGCATTGAAGGATTCACTCGGGAACACAATGGCTGAGCCATGTGTTGCCGTCGCCATATAACCCAGAATACTACCGAAGCAATGGAAGAGCGGAGGTGGACAACAGACAATATCGTCTGGCGTGAGAAGCATGCGATCACCGATCTGAGAGCCATTGTTCAAGATTGAGTGATGGCTCAAACATGCTGCCTTGGGCATCGCTGTTGTTCCGGATGTAAATTGAATGTTCACGGTTTCATGCGGTGAAAGATCTTGCGGGGGCAGTGGACGGCCGTCTGCGGTAAGTTGGGACATTATAGATGTAAACGGCGTCAAGCTTTTGTAAGATGATATATCCACGCGACCCTCCGAGTTGTCGACCATTATGATCTGTCTTAGCGAAGGAACTAGGGAAGACTCCAGCTTTGCACCATGAATGTCTCCAATGAGTTCATCAACTAAAGGAATATTGCTTCGAGGTTGTTTCCGGGGCAGGTTAGACTCGGTACTTATAAGAAGGTGACTGGACTCGAGATGACCCAATGCTGCAATCACTTGCCCTGCATTGAAAGACGGGTTGAGCGGGACCTAAAAAGCGTGAGGTCGAGTATTGCATACCACGAGCGGCATGACTTACCAGAATGGCACCGAGTTTGAATAGAGCATATGTCGCCTGTTGTATGGTTAGTCTCTCACCTGAGCAGTTCCTCATCACCACCCGTGGACCTGAGCAAGTTTCAACGTACCACAGCGTATTCCATTGAATTTCCAAGCATCACTCCTACTCGAGTCCCCTTCCGAACACCAACAGACTCTAATCCTCTGGCAAGTGCATTGCTTCGGCTATCCAAGGAAGCATACGTCGCTCTATCGTTCTGATGTCTTGAAATAACACTAGTGGTCAAAGTCGTGTTTGTGAGTTTCTGTTCCCGCGAATGTATATGTAGGTGCTCACGCTGTTTGATCTCCTTGTTCGGCCACGACCTTGGAGAAATGCGCGTCAACTGTGGACTCAATCAAGGGGGTCTGTAAAAAAACAAAAAAACAGGATAGTTAGCAAGCTGATCAGGTCCTCAAGTGTTTGATCGGGGTTGAACATCCATCGTCTGTTCATGAATGAAAAAGTAACTTACGCCTGATGGACCTCTAGCATAGCTCTCGGTAAGTATCCCTCTGCGTGCTAGCAGTGTGCTATTGATTCCCTTTGTTCCAAAGCGGGCTCGACAAGCCAAACGGCCTCTTCCAAAGCCCAGAGCCCCATTGTATATCATTTTTCGTTTTCTCAAAGGCTATTTTCAAGGTCTCATCGCTCTCAGGTGTACGGGTAATGCATGCAGGCTCGATTGAGTAACAAAGAAGGAAATAAACGGGAAATAAAGACCTATCAAGTCCTGCACAGGTTGAGGTAAGGAGCAAAGCTTCCCCGCACGCGCAGATTGCGGGGAGGCGGCTGTGGCCGAGGGACTACTACATCATCACCTGGCAACTCTGCTCTGTTACATTGCTCTTAGATATCAGGTCGCTTTATATCCTTAGTCCCATTCTTCCTTTTCAAGGGTGTCGTCTAGGTTATTTGTTTATATAGTCTACACTTAATTGTGCTGAACGCCTGCTCTATGGTCCTACACTAGTTCTACTTAAGTAGTTCTGTTCTAAAGTTTGAACACTCTGGGCAATTCATGTAAATTTCTGCAATTGTCATTTTAATATCAATCTCACGTTGCTATACTCGTACTGCCAGTGCTCTATCTCTATTTCTTGCCCTTAGTACCCTTCGCACCCTTGGTGCCCTTGACCTTCTTGCTCTTGCTAGTGGTCTTCTTGCCCTTGGAGCTCTTGTTCTTAGTGATCTTACCGCTGAGGACCTTGGTTTGCGGCAGGGGGCTCCCACTCGGGCTGCTCGGGTTGCTAATACAGTTCCAATGGCCACAAGCGCACTCGCGAGTCTGCCAGTAGTCTGCGCCATAATCGATGGTAAGTTCCTCAAAGGGGCCGATATACCGGATTGCTTCAATGGTAGTTACAACGCGGTCTCCAATTGTGCGAACCACGAATTGCGTTGAAGGCTGGCAAGAGTGGTTAATGAATCGGGTCCAGTTACCTGATTTGTGGGCGCAAACGTAGGCCAGGTGGTTTGCTTCACTTCCATCACAGCTCTGGCTTAGGGGGTACACAGTATCCATATCAACTTCCGGTCGAAGCTCACCAACGTAAACATCAAGGATGTCCCTGCGATCAAAGGTTGTCAGGGTTCGAACTCCGGTGCCAACACCCGGGAACTCGGCCAGCTCGACCAGCTCTCCTGCCCGAGATTGCAGGATGCATCCGCAGACTTCCTCGCTCCCACAGAGGATACAGCCACCTGAAGAGGTATCATCTGATTTGGCGGTGGGGTCTTCGTGGAAGCATTCCCTGTAGCTGCTCTCCTTGATGTTCGTCTGGAGCTGGCCGTTAAACTCGGCGCGCTTCAGGCCGCCATCTAGGGTGAGAACTGTGTGATGAGGGTGGTCAATGTCCCATTTCAGGGCGCTCGCTACAGCTTCCTGGACCGATGGTAGACCTGGGGTGGGTCCGGTTACGTTCTTGATCAGGCTGATCCAGTCCAGGGCTCGACAGTGGGCATAGTGCTCGATGCTCAGGGATTTAGTTTGGATGCCCTGGAGAAGACATCCCCAGAGCCTGTGGTCTGCCTCCCTAAATGCACGACGGAAGGCCTCGGTGTGGGCGCAGATGGCAGTCATCTTCCATCCAATCTCAGTGATAGTAGCATAGAATCTGTTTTCGGGTGACAGATACTGGGACTCACCTTGTTCCTTCTGAACCTTCTTCACACCGCCCGAGTAGTTAGCAAATTCCTTTTCCATGAATGACACCGTGTTATTGACCAGGTTGTCCATCACCTGCATAGAATAGAAATCATCTGGGTTTGCCTCCCGCTGGAAGTGACTGTAGGCGTTGAGGTCGAAGTAGATCGAGGCGAGGGTCTCCTTGGCGTAGTTCTGGGCAGTCTGCATCAGCGCAGCCTCAGAGCCATAGGGAGGGAACAGGTCCTCGAGGTTGAACGGCTTGAAGTCGTCCACGGAAGTCTTGGAGGCCTTGGAGGCGGTAGTGTTGCGTTGAGGGGCCATTTTGATAGTCTGGTAGGATATGTAAGTGTTAGATTTGAAGATTGAGATGAAGATTTGCTGTGTTGTTGGGTGGTTTAGTTGTTTGCTTGCTTGTATGATTGTATGATTGTGTGATTGTGTGATGGAGACAGGATGGGTGGGCAGAAGAGGGCCTTTTATGTATGATTGCTTCGACCAGCGAGCCTTGAGCCTCATTGTTCATCATTGGGCTTTGTTGTGTCTAAATGTAGCATGCATAAAGAGGAATATTGCCTTTGTGGTCCTGAAGGAGGCATAGTTCTCGACACAAATATAGCTTGATCATTGTGAGTGGAGTAGTGCCAGCAAAGAAATTATTGTAACATTAGATTAGAAAAGAAGATAGCACAAAGGCCTTGACATCAACAAAGAACAGAGAGAATATGTAAGAGAGAGAGAGAGAGAGAGAGAGAGGGGGGGGGGAGGAACCGTACTTGGAGTGCAAAGGCAAACATGGGCTTGGCGTCATGTGGTGGGGAAGCTCCGCGCCCATCACGTCTCCCTTCAAGTGTTCAGCCTTTTGAGACTTGACAACTGTGAAGATGGAGCCAACCGAGGATGCCATTGATAACTTTGTCAGCTTCACAAGTACTACACGCGACCAAGCAATCTCGTTCTTGAAGGTAAATCCCCTGCGTTGCCGATTCTTGCCGAGCTAACAGTCACCTAGGCGAACCACCTCGACTCTCAAAAAGCTATCAACGCCTATTTTGAAGATCCTACAGGGCCCACACCAAAAGTAATTTATCGCAAGGCATATCGTTATCTTTTCTGACACTCTGAACAGGCGACCGGATATCACAACGACAAAGCATCATGTGAGTTGAAATACCGCATGTGTAGTGTGTTCCTGAATTGACATGTTTCGCTGTAGCATGGGTCTTTTCTCAACAAGATAATGCGCCCCCATTACCCGCAACTGCGCCGCCCTCACGCCCACCTTCCCGGATTGACAAACACAACACAGAGCAAAACACTGGCACACAGGACGCAGATGCAAGCGCCTCAAAGGGTAACACCACCTACACATTGCAAGTGCAAACCATGTACTGATTATGGCTTTTGCACATATAGAAGGCTCTGGACAGGGTCTCAGTCTGGCAGAGCGCGAGGAAAAGGAGCTACAGCGAGCAGTTGCCATGTCGTTAGGCTCCGACATGGGACAGCAGGAAACGGGCGTCACGTCGAGTGGCCAGTCACAACTGAACAAAGCGACCCGGGATCACTACGAAGAAAACGCATGGGCAATGACTGTTTTCAACTCTGAAGAAGTGATGGCTAGCCCGGATCCCGAAGATCGCAAGAGGGTGGAGGGCGAGCCAGCCTTTATTCGTCCCAACACCGAGGACATCTATCTTGGGGGATTCTTGACAATCCTTCACAACATTCCTCTCGCACGGGAAGCTCTCCTCTTACGGCACAAGGCTCTTGTTGAATACGGCCATGAGCCCCAGTGGTGGAACGGACAGGCGATCAATCTGCCAAAGATTGTTACAGTGATTGACGGTGGAGATATCGACAGTAACTGGGATGATATCATTCACGAAACCCAGCGGTTGATGTCTTTCATGGATTCTACAAAACGCGGGTTTGGCAGCGGGGACAGCCTGGCAAAGCTCGAAAGCATGTCCCCCATGACAACCGACTCCGAGGATGCTGTCACCAGGTTTATGGAAGCATGGCATGGTGCGGCGATCCAGGCAGACCCTGATAATCCTCTGACTACAATCTTCACGTCCCACGCATACAAGAAGGAGCTCTTTGGCGATTATGATCCCGAAAATAAGGAACTTTTCACATTCGAGCCCAACGTTGAAAAAGAGCATGGACAAACGCTCTATGAAGTTTTGGATAACGCTCTCTGGACTGACACCCCCGGACAAGAGCTCGACGACACGTGGCTTGAGCATGTGGCCGATGTACTGGTCTTCAAGCTCGACGCACACCAAAAGCCAAACCCAGTGGACGTGGAAATTCCACCGGTGTTCTACCCAGATCGATATCTAAGCAGCTGTCGAGATATCGCTCGCGAATTCCGTTCAAAGCGACTGCAGATCCAAACGGAGATTGTGAAACTCGAAGAGCTCATCAAGAGCTATAATTTCCCCAAGGGATACGACAGCGTCATTCCTGCGAAGGATATCCTGGAGAAAGCAGCTGATTCTTTGAGTGCTCCTCCGTCTGATAAATCGAGCGATTCCCTCGGCTCCAACACTGCGAGCGCTGAGACAGATCGAGTTAGCAAGGAATTGAGGGCAATCGCCCTCAAGATTGATCTTAAACTTAAAGGTAAATTCAATTATGATTCATTTTCATTTGCCAGGCTAAGAATTTTTCCACAGAATTGGAGCGGAGAAAGCAAAGCACATTGGAATCTCTCAAGGAGATTTCCAAGACCCTCACTGAGCCCTCTGGGTCACCCTCCGAGCCTCCAATCTACAAATACACCTTGCGCGGTGTGTGCACCAAGCCACATGTGACTTATGTTCTGTCAGATCCTCATTCGACTGCAGGAGACTTGATGGACATGGACAGTGAACCGCACGATAACTACCAATGGTGGCGCATCAGTTACTCGGCGGAGGATGGAAAGACCCGACAGGCTGAGAAACAGCAATCCCAAAGCACAGGGGCCAGCCAGAGTGGCGACGCTGTTGGCTACATAATCCGGAAGGTCTCGGAGGTTGAAGTACTCCAAGCAGCCCGTGAAGAGTGGGGTTCTGTCTTGCTCGTTTATGCAAGCGACAATGCAACGAATACACGAGTGGATCCTGCACCCCCACAGCTCCAGGTAAGATACATGTTCCGTGTATTTGGACTGTATTGGCAATGACTGACTGACCGAATACAGGGCTTCGTGAACAGAGACAATGACGCCTTCAGCGCCGAGTTTGAACAAACCCCTACCATTGTTATTAGCGATCAAGAAGAACAATGGCCTTCAACCTGGTCCGAGACACAGCAGGAAGAGAAGTCTCAGGAGCCTGAAAAGCGTGCACCGGTCAATGTGTTCGACTATGAGGTCTCAGACTTCGAGGTCGAGACGAAGCCCAACCAAGAGATGCAACAGAGAGGAAGTTCAGGTCTCTTATCTAACGGTACTTCTCATGCACCGGACAACTTGCAAGATGAAAGTCAGTGGATGGAAGTGGACACGCCGGGCACCAATGCACATATCGAGCATGCATAGCATTGATGACGGGAAGCCCATATGACTGATGAATGAATGAAACATTAGAATAGCATGCAGCTCAGGCAATGCAGGAGTCAAGCTCACGCAGAATCTACCCAGGGAAAATTCAACCCACGAATGTAAAAGAAAAGAAATTATGGAGTAGGGAGTCCAGAGTAGTCGATGCATCCTGTGTAAAGCGGAGCATCAACAAACCGATAAGCTCTCCACATTTTGCCATGTTTGCACCTGAAGCTCCCTCATCAACTCCTAAATTGCCAGCGCAATTGCCCTTCACATCCACCACAGACCATGACCACCGAAAGTGATGCCGTGGCCGGTGCCACCATCGAGCTCCTTGAAGCCCGCCTTCGTCGCCTCACCTACCTCCTCACGGGCGCCACCGACTGGGCCGGCGTCCCAACCACCCCCGAGAAACCCACGACCCTCGACGAGACCGTCACCCGCCGACTCGCCCGTCTAGAATCCGAACTTGAAAAACTCAGTCGAGCCGTCCCCGCAGCACGGGATATTCTCCAACTTCGTACGTGTTTACACAACCTAATTCCAAACCACAATTAACCTTACCTCCCCAGACGACCGCAATCCCGACCTCTTCCAAACTACTCCCCCGCAAGAAATTCCTCCTGGCCTCACACCCCAAACCCTCGCCTCTATAGTCCTCTCTTACGCCACCGCATTCCCCGAAACTGCCTCCCGCCTCACTTCTCTCAATGACCTGCCCGTTCCGGACGCGCAGAGCTCCGCCGCGCTGATCGATCTCCAGCCACAGCTTGATCGTCTTGCACAGATGCAGAAGATGCAAGCTGCCGAGATCTCTGAGCTGCGTGTGCGTACAGCGAGTGTTCTTCAGCGGTGGTATGAGGTTGGATTAGTGGGGAGTGGGGAGGTTTGGGCAGAATGGGAGGGGAGACTTGAGGATGTAGAGAGGGAAACACGAAGGAAAGAGGTTATTTTACATCAGAGGGAGGATGTTTGATCGGTGATTTTTTTTTTTTTTTTTTTTGTTTATCTTTCTTCAGTGACTGTCACAGCGGTATGATATCCTAGGGCGTAAATGGAGTATATGGAGTACTCGTAGGGGTCCTAAAACAAGGAAATAAGAACATAACAATGATTGGTTCAAAATAGATGAAGTACCAGGTACCAGGTACAGAGTACCGAACTCGGGTGGCTTTCCTGTGCCTGATATTTAAGAAATGAAATCTGATCTCCGGCTGCATCTGATACGTTTCAACCTGTTTGTCAGTGTCGTCATGAGATCGATTCATCGGAATGTGGGATACCCCAGATCTATACAGGGCTGATAGGAGGTTACAGAGTCTAGAGAGGGACTAGACTCGGCAGGTAGTGAAAATTGAAAATATGCCGAAACGATCTAGACTGCGAGCGTTGACGTCCACAGATCGATACAGGTGTACGACGATCGGTGGTGGGTCCGTGGAGTTGGGAAATTGCAGTCCAGAACGTTTGAAATTAGGGATACTCGAGTTGACAGTACTATACCTGTGTAGAGGTGATAGAGATTGAAGAGAGTAGAGAGTAGAGAATAGAGAATAGAAGACATATATTAAGTAAAGGCAGAGTCAAGAATACTACTAAACACCGACTATATATAGCAAAACAAACGTGTACGAGTACTGCTCCATAGGGCGAGACTCATTTCCAGGGGTGCGTGTACCTGTACCGGTGGGGGCCCATTTCCCTCCTTTTTCATCGTTTTAGCCTCTCTCTCCCTCTCTCTTTCTAAACACTGTGGGATCATTCTTTTCTGTCTTTTTGGTGTCCAATTTACATTCTTTCTTTTCTTTTTCACCGTTTCTATATCTCTCCTTCTTTTTTTTGTTCCAGCCTGGTGCTGTTTTTGACACTGTAAGGGGTCTCCCAACGTCCACCCCGCGGATTGTTTCTGAAACCCACTTGGTTCTCTGTCTCAAGGTACGATTATTGATTATTGTGTCTCTCGCTGGTCTCGCTGGTTTCTGCCTGAGGGTCGAAGAGAAAAGAGACGCACCTTCAATTTCCTGCGCTAACCAACCCCCAGTCGCTCCTTCCTTATACACAGCCACACCAGGCACTTCTTTGACAATTCATGACCTCGACTCAAACCTCTCTCCACAAAAGCCCTGCCAAAATGGGCAAATTTCGTCCAAGTAACATCCTAGGCGATCCCTTCGCGCTCGCGACCGTCTCCATTTCCATTGTATGTACTTATGTACTCGCTCTCCCATCCGCATCTCTAACATCATTCCAGCTGGCATGGCTGATCGCGTTCGTGTCATCGATCATTGCCGACGTGCAAAAGGCCAAGTACCCTAACTACTCGTGGTGGGCCAACTGCTATATGTTCTGTGTGATCATGGGGCTTGTTGTGACCTTTGGCACTGACACGGGCCATCTCTATGGCGTCGCAGTATGTTTCTCCCCCAACTCATATTGCCATTGGCATGTTTGCTAACTCTCCTCCCAGATCGTTGGATACCTCGGTTGCGGCCTGGTCCTGACCTCCTTGAGCGCCAACAACCTGATCTACGAGAGTCAAGGCTCAATGCAAGCCGCCGGCGCGGGATTCATCCTCCTATCCATGATCATCATCATCTGGATCTTCTACTTCGGCTCAACCCCACAAGCCACTCACCGCGGCTTCATCGACTCCTTCGCCCTGAACAAAGAACAACCCGCCGAACCCTCCTACCGCGGCAGCCGCCCCATGTCCAGCGCATTCGGCGCCCGCCCAGAGACCATGGCCACCAACAACACCCCCCAGATGTACACCTCCGCCCAACTCGGCGGTTTCGAGACCTCCTCTCCCGTCTCCGGATACCCCGGGGGAGCGCCCGGTGCCGAGCGATCGTCCTCCGCGCCCCGCTTTGGCACCCCAAGCAATGCCGGCAACGATCAGGAACCCAGCGAGGTGCCCCAGCCCACCGATTACCCATACCACGCCAAAGCAATCTACTCATATGACGCGAATCCAGAGGACGCGAACGAGATCAGCTTCGCCAAGCACGAGGTCCTCGAGGTGTCCGATGTGAGCGGCCGATGGTGGCAGGCTCGGAAACAGAATGGAGAAACCGGCATTGCGCCTTCGAACTATCTGATCCTTCTGTGATCGCAGTCCGTATGCATGATGCCCGTTTACTGTCTTTCTTTTTTCTTTTCCGAGTTTCTCTCCCCTTTTGTCGCAAAACCTGTTTCCCTTGATACCCTTCGGACTCTACCTCGATGTATGTGTATTTTCTGGTTCTAACGTGATGTCTTGATGGCCTCCTTCTGTTTTTTAACTGCGTTTTCTTCTTGGCACGTATCTTTCTTCTCTTCTGTGATTTGGTTTCTTTTTTGATTTACTCAGCGGGTGGTTGGCCCGCGTCCTTCCTTGTCTAGTTTCTCTCTCATTATGGAAATACGATTGAGATTCAGGGTCTTTGGCCTTGTATATCCGAAAAAAGCAACATGTGAGCATATGGTTATGTCGAGAATCTTGCCAATGCATTTTGATCTGTGTCTTTGGCCCTAAATGACGATCAACTTAGATATTCACATTCCAATTTCTCATTCCCAAGCTCTGCATCGGTAAATCGAGATCTGTCAGTGCGGGTACCCACGTGCGGTATGTGCGTCGGAGAATTGATGAGATTCTTGACACTTGTACGAACTAGGAGAACCCTCCTCAATAGGGGAACAGAGTGCTGGCCTATGCCCATGTGTGCCAATGCATGGACAGCTCTACCTAGGCAAGTGAAAACCTACTCTAGGGCTGAGCCACAACGCTGACCAGACACCATCCTATAAATACCTCGACACATATTCATCAGTGCCCATCTTAGAGGAGCCTTGGGTGGGACCGTTGTTTCTGTTCTGGGGTCAAATTAGATCTTCGACATGTGCTCCTGAAGTCAATACTCAAGGCGGGTACTTATATAGTGAGCTCCTATACCCTGGGCAGGGCTGAGACTAAGGAGCTTGGGTTGAAGTTCTCTTGAGTATGACTATCGATTCTTGTTCTAAAATCATATCAAAAAACCGCCAGGACATACAGAGCACAGCAAAATAAGCTCTTATTATATATTGATGCAAACATGTCCAAATATGTCCAATGTACTCCGTATAAAACCTCCAACTCCTACTTTAGGGGAGCATTGGAAGTCTACAGGTCCAAACGAATGACCATAAGTATCCACCTGAACAGTATCTACTGTAGATGATTAGCCCTGGCAGAAAAGTCGATTTGGCCATAACTATAAAACTTGTATCTTCTCTGCACATTAATATATTTCTACTCACAGATAGCCAGGATCTAAGACAGCATCACATCCAAGAATGCCATATATAAGTATAAAGCGAAGCTGTAAACAAACCTAGACAATCACTTTACTCAAGTAGATTAAACCTGTAGACCTCTGCATGGCCGAGATCATATGTAAAGGCAATTTGCGGTCAAACGTAAACAAATCAGGGCGGGTTTTCTCAGCACTAGGGAGCTTGGGCTCAAAACACCCCCTCTCAGTTTTGATCCTTTGGACTTCGAGCAGCGGTAGCTGCCACGATGCCAGACCGGATATCGCGACTGAAGGCCAAACTGTTTGGACGATTATCTCCAAAAGCGGATACGGATCCGAGTGTCCACCCTGCCAACTCCAAATCCCCGGATAGCAGTGGCTCTGCGACTGTCAACCTAGACACTCAGGTTCTCTCAGCTTCGTCTGCCTCTGCCTCTGCCTCTGCGTCGGCGTCGGCGTTGGCCTTGGTTCCAGTGTCAGAGTCGGTGTCTGCTTCGGAACAACTTCATCGCGAAGGCACTCGTGACTGCACACCATCATTGACGGAGCCGTATAATTCTTCCTTACCTACACCTTTATCAGTCGACCCCCCATCTCCCCTTGCAACCCCTCTACCGACTCAGCATTCCGACAACACCTCCTTTCACTCTACGAACCAGAAGGCCGCAGTCCCGCCCGAGCCCCAATTGACCCCAACCCTCAACACCGTGATCGAGTGGCCTACGAATGACCAACCCTCTGTTCCCTACTTTACACCCTCGCCGAGCAAACGCCCGAGCCTTGCGATCCGCCGTCAGTCTCTTCTCCCGGCGACACATCAGCACTTGATCAGTGGGCTTTTGGAAGCCAGCCTCTTCTCCAAAGGCGATCAAGGCAGTGGTCCAATCCCCACCGTTCCTCGCGAGATGGTACAACGTCGGATCTGGGTCAAGCGACCCGGTGGTTCGGCCACACTGGTGCCATGCATGGAGGATGCTGTGGTCGACGAGCTGCGCGACCAGGTCATCATGAAGTATGTGAACTCATTGGGCAGAAGCTTCGACTCGCCCGACATCGTGATTCGAATTGCGCCCCGCGAGGGTTCAAATGGACAGGCCCACCCTGAACGTCTCTTGAGTCCCGAGGAAGGCCTGGCCTCCATTCTCGACTCGTACTATCCTGGTGGGCAGCGAATCGAGGAGGCATTGATGATCGATGCGCCGACCCGCCGGACTCCGAAGCCATCGCCGCGTCATGCAGCCTACTCGCATCACCATGAACCTGGCGAGCACGGCGATTACTTCCCTTTAATGCCACCGAATCCCAACGTGGGAACACCCTCCTCACACCCGACAGCTGCGCCGGCAACAGTCGGTGCACCTTCGATCTCCATTCTCAGCACGGGCTCTGCTCCTCAGTTGCCATCACCAGGAAATCGCAGAACTCGACATCGACCACCGCTGACCAGACACAAAACCAACTCACCCACAGTCCATTCACAAAGTGCAGGCTTGATAGGTGCGCTCCGGTATTTATCAACTATAAATTGGAGTATTCACTGACATATCACAGAAACCACGTCCCATTCCCAGCCTCACTCTACTGTCTCCGTTCCCGCAGTGCCAACACCCCCAGCACCGCCGGCGGTTGAGTCCCCCCAGGCCAAAGCAAAGTCACACACCCCTCCCGCCGTTTCCTCGCCGCGATCTACTCGAAAATCAAAAGCAGCCACATCCCCATCTGCCGTGTTTGGGGGTTTGATTGATGGCACAGTCCCACCAATCAATGTCCTCATCGTGGAAGATAATATCATCAACCAAAAGCTTCTGGAGGCGTTCATGAAGAGACTGAAAGTTCGCTGGAAGTGCGCAGCGAACGGTGAAGAAGCAGTGCGTAAATGGAGGCAGGGTGGATTCCATCTGGTCCTGATGGATATCCAACTGCCTGTCATGAACGGATTGGATGCAACCAAGGAGATTCGGCGTCTCGAGCGGCTGAATGGAATTGGAGTCTTCCCCAAGACAGCCTCGGGACGTGCCAGTGCGTCTAATGCATCTGCGGCAGATAGAAGACCTGGTCTTCATCGTACCCTCAGCGTAGAGGATACTCTGCCTGACCTCTCATTATTCCGCAGTCCAGTCATTATTGTCGCACTCACAGCAAGTAGTTTGCAAAGTGATCGACACGAGGCATTGGCAGCTGGCTGTAATGACTTCCTGACCAAGGTACGTGCATATCCATCCATACACTTCTCTCTCAACCCCAACCACTAACACATCGCTATACAGCCCGTTGGATTCCCCTGGTTAGAACAGAAAGTCACAGAATGGGGCTGCATGCAAGCGTTGATTGACTTTGAAGGCTGGCGCAAATGGCGTGGGTTCCAGGACTCCCCTGTCCCCACCTCCCCAGCCATCGATTCAGCAGCCAGTCCAATGCAGGGTGGTCACTTGAAAGAGATTCCTCAAGAAGACCCCCCTTCACCCTCCAGCTCTCGTTCAGCTCAAAAGTCAGCTGAAGCCCCATCCAGACCCCGCTTTGTGGACAATGCTGTCCTGCAGGAAGATTCATGGGGAAGCGGCAGTCCAGACAGCCTTGATTCACCCTCGAGTCCACAGCTGGACACACCGACCGATGCTACACCGGCGAGTGATACCAGAGATGGACCTGAATGACTGCGATCGGTCTTGGGATGGGTACCATGCCTCGGACTCGGGGCTGGTCGGTCCCTACGCTCTTCCAACGATGTTTCTCAACCTTGATTTGACTATCTCTTCCATTGGATACCCCCCGCATAGCAATGTGTCTGTTTTTGTGTGTTTCTTTTTTGTGTTGCCTTCTTTCCATGCCTTGGTAGCAAGGTCTATTTTCTTTCTCATTCTGATTCCTTGAACCAATCTGGTTAATTGTCATGGGGTATTTTGTGTTGCATGGTTATATGCTTATTCACTTGGCTGCTAAACTTTGGCCATCTCCTTTCTCTGTTATATTGGTCTCTTTTGTCACCTGTCCCACGAGGGCCTGCTTTTCTCTTTCTTGCATACACTTCACGCAGCAGACACCTCATGTATACGATCGAGATGTCATAATGCCTTTTTCAATGTATATCCTTGTACGCTTTTACTTCTCGCACTTGGCCAAAATGTCTATTGCATGCTATTTTGTACCTAGGTTTATAATACTTGCACGCTGCATGCAAATTACCTTGAAACATCCACTCCTGCACAGCATGTCCCTGCATATCTGCTGTCCCTTCTGTCAGGTTCATCTATACAGGCTATATCGAGTATATCAATGACCCCGCAACATGGGTCCTGAACAAAGAACCATACTCCATGCCTCGGCCCCAGTCGCTACCATCAAAAGTTGACCTCTCGTATCTGTGCACTCGTACAATCTCAAGACATCATGCAGCGTGACATGAACTCAGACATGGCATTCGACCTAATCAAAAACCTCCCCAATCCAATCGGACTCTCAACAGTCCGTGTCGATCTATAGATTCCACTAGGTAAAGTTTTACCTGGATAATCGACACCCTGTACTTGCACCAGCAATGCCCTCTTTGTCTGGCACATGTGACATGACCTATTGTTCTAATGTCTTGGTCGGGCTATATAACCACAGGGTCTTGAGCTCATATGCTCTAGCAAATCTCTCCACTTACATGTAACAGCACGATAGTGCATACTACATACTACCTCTATACACATACTTAAGTACAGAGTACAAAGTACTTAAGTACCCTGTACCCAATTGCATTACCACAGACAACGCATTGACAACCGAACTCGCAATCTGCGTCTACTACTTCAAATATGCAACCTGCACCGTCTGCCCCGGCACCTACTTGGCTGCAAAGCGCGCTTGCTTCACTTGGGAGTTTCGTTCAGAGTTGGAGACAAGCTGACGAGGAATCGGATGCTATCTCTGGGTGGATTGGGGGTCGGAGGGGACGGTGTCGGTCTGTTGGTGAGGTTCGTTGAGAACGGATGAATCTTGTGTTGTGATATAGAAGGTGTTCCAAGGCTGTGATCGTTGGCGTGGTTGAGTGAATTCCCAAGGTTGATGCGAGTACAATACAAGCCGAGTTGATATGGATACATTTGGAATGGAAAGTCTGCTACGAACAGAATCTTTGGGTAGTGAGAATTGAAGATACTGCTTCGTACTTTGGTAATAGGTACATAGGACTAGCCACCCTTCGTCATAGTGTATGCATACAAGTAAAATTACAAAGGCCGTAGCCAGAAAAGATGCTCAAAAACAAAAGAATGATACAGACCGAGTGAGAAAAAATCAAGCCTCCACGCGAGTGGGGATCTTGACTTCACCACGGGTGCGGTCACGGTGGGGGACACCGTACCGGCGACCAGCAGCCCAAGGCGCACGACCATCAGATCCGGTAGTCTGCTCGGTGTATGTGGTCTCCCGGATGCGGTACTCGAAGCGAGACTTCTCAGGGGTGAAGGTCTGCAGCTTCTTCTCGCGACGGGCCTGGGCGCGGTCACGGCGCTGCTGCTCAGCGGCGTCTTGGCGCTCGAGACGCTGGGTCTGGCGCTCGGCGACGGCGCGACGCTCATTGGGGTGAGCCATGCGGTCGCGCTCCAGGGCGACCATGTGCGGGTGGGGAATACGGACATCAGCGGGCTGAAGGATCTCACGAGCGTTTTTGCCCTTGCCGACCCAGCCGATGATCTTGGGGTTCTCAATGACCTTTTCGGCTAGGTCAGATGGGTGTGAGATCTCGGCGGCTTCGTGTTGCTCCAGAGCTGGTGCAGATGAGAAGACACGACCGGCTTCAACACGGTTGAAGGGACGGGATTCGGAAACGGGGTAGAAGATTTGAGCTCCTGTTAAGGGGTGGGCGGGAAGGTCGTTGATAGGTTCGTGGTATGTTTGGCGCTCGCCTGCTTCGGCAAGAGGGGTAGTTGGGACCATCTCATGGATAGCCCGGGCATATGGTAGTGCAAGGTGTTTACCCTTGGATATTTGTTAGCTCATGTCACAAGACCAAATAAACAGTGAGAATGCAGGATGGAAGGGCAACGCAGTTCAGTTCAAAAAGTAAGGTGTAACCATGTAGGTGTCTTCAAGACTAATCGATTTTTTGTGACTCATCATATGCGTGGGGGGAGGAGGTTGAAATAAATAGGCAGATTGGGAAAAAAAACTGAGCGAGGGTTGGTCTTACCTGTTCTCGTTGCCTCTTTTCAAGCTCAACCAATCTGACCACAGCAGCAATTCGCTTCATATCGATTCCAAGGTCCATACTGACAGCACGGACACTCTTCTTCTCCTCGACGACACGATTATAGACCTCATTGCGCAGTTCCTCGCTGAGGATTGATTCGCTGACAAAGTTCGGGTTATTGGGGAATGGTCGTGTTGCTGACATTGGGCCATCTTTTATGCGAGTCACATAGTTGGTTTCTCCAGGGATGTGGTGTTTCAGTTCAGCACCTTCGGTGCTGAGCCATTCAAACATTTGCCGACGGAGCTTGGTCTGTGGTGCTGCCGTGACGGAGAATTGGCGAGAAAAGCATTGTGATGAGGAGGATGAAGGGAGAGACGAGATAGAAGAGGTAGATGTGAGGTAGGGGAGGAGGGAGTTGGACACACGGGTCTGAACCCGGGGTGCCATCTTGAAAGAAATGAGGGAGCAGGGGAATATTAATCAATTGGATGAATCAAGGTCACTGGATGTCAAGAATCAAGGAGATCCAGCTGCCATTGACTTCTTGCAGCAGTAATTGGAGGGAGATGGTCGGGTTGTAACGGAGAAAAGGTGAGGTTGGCAGGGGAAGAAACTTTTCGGTAGTCTGTGCCCTCACGTGACCAACACCCGGAGCTCCCCTTGAAATCAGAACCGAGTCCTACACCAATCTAGAAGATCGTATATATTCCGCGTCAATGTGGGATGAAGTGAAAAATGGAAGCTAACAAATTTGGTGCGGATCGACGCAGCTTGGGGATGATGACAGGCGAGAGAAGCCATCTATTTAGTTCGATTATGGTACTCCGTACTATAATACAGAGTCCAGAGTAGTTAACTAGCTTAAGCTGACTTGACCAATGTCACCCTCACGTCGCACATTGTCCAAAGATAAATGGGACTTTGATTATCAAGTACGTCTCCAATCTAAATATGTCGGTATCCTGAGCAAGATTGGTAAAAGATAGTAATAAATAAACAAAGCGCTTCCTGTCCACATTCGTCCAGGGACATGGAATCGAGAAAGAACAAAAGGCCAGACCCAGTACGAAGCGAGTGCAATGCAAGCCAATGTGCACTTCCAATCGAATGCACAGACAGTAAGCCGGACCCTTTCTTCAGAAAATCGTAAAAACCAACGTAAAACGCCTCGGACAATATGTGGTCGGCATAAGCCACTGTGTCCTTCCGTAGATCATGCATTTGGGTAGAGAGATATTAGAAGAGCTAAAAAAAAAGAGAGGAAGGGGGAAAAGCCATATAAGACCCTTCTTGTCACTTGCATAATAAAAAATAGACACGCATTGCAGATAGGGCAGGTAAATCAGCAAAATCCTTTTCGATCCACGCACGGCGATGCATCGAGAAAGATCAAGAGGACAGATGTCGGGGAAAAGAAAAAAAAGCAAAGGGGAATCATATCAAAAGAGGTTAAAAGAATAGGGAAAAATTGCTCGTACAGGCCCTGGATTAGGCACACAACAGATAATGGTGATTGTTGCATGTAACACTGGATCCATAAGTAGAGGAAAGGTAAGCGAAGTAAAAAAAAATAGACACGAGGGTATGAAGGTGCAGACGAAACGTAAAGGTCAATGAAACAAATGCGCTGCTCGAGCGCCTTGACCCGATCAAATAAGAATACACGTTTGGCAATGACCGGAAATGCAATCCTCCCAATGGAAAAAAAAGACGGTGGTAAAAAAAAGGTAAAAAGCACAACACATAGAAGGAATGTAGAGCGCCCAGATTCCCATGCAATAAGTTGACGAAAAGCCAATAGCCAGAACAAAGACAAACCAGAAAGCAAATCCGAAAAAAACAAAAAAAGACTCCCGGGAGTAATGCAGCCGCCGAATGCTGATCTAGCTCGCGAAACGAAAACGAATCCCCAATGCGCCAGATACCCCAGTTCGTTCAAACATGCCGGACATGATCTCAATATAATGCTTGAATGACCTTTAACGGCCCATCATGTAGTCGGGGTAGAAAGAATTATAGCCATTGAGGTTCGGTGTCACGTTGTTATTTCCGCCGGCACTACCGGGGGGTGGAGGCGACATCATCATAGAATTGGCTCCATTTCGGATGCCAAGACCCGAGTTCGGGTTGTAAGAGCCGTTGTTCACTAGCCCAGCGTGAGGGTTGACCGGGGTGTGCATGTTATTTCCGTGGCGCATTGGAGGGGCGGGTAGGGGCATGCCAAGGCCAGGGGGTGCTGCCAGCCCTGGAGGGGGGCCATTGACAGCTGAGAACATGTTGTTGTGGATCCCACTCAGATTGCTACCTCCGGGGACGGCACCTTGTCCGGAAACCGAGTTGGACGAGTTCATACCCCCCGGTTGACCGGAGCGAACGCCAAGCGGGTTCTTCGAGAAGCTGAGGCGGATTCCAGTCTTGACGCTGTTGGACAACTTGTAGCCATAAAGCTCATTCAACGCCTTGCTTGCCATGGCGACCTCGTCGAATTCGACAAAGCACATGGGGCCATTCTGCTTGTTTCGGAAGCACAGGCGCTTGTATCCGCGTTGTTTCGAGAAGAGTGCCTTGAGTTCCTCTTCCGAGGTGTCTGGTGGCAAGTTACCCACGTACAATGTGTTGCAAGGTGGGTTCAAATCATTGGGGTTTGCAGCAGGGAGGCTGTGGCGTGGCGTATGCTGAGCATTATATGGGAAACCATGAGTTTGGTTGGGGTATGCAGATGAGGGTGTTCCAGTACCCATGCGCTGCCCACCACCACCAGGGTAGTTGGGCAAAGGAGGAGAAGACATGTTGGTTGACAAGGTCAAGTTGGCAAACCGGTTGGTTGGGATTGATGGGTTGGTCGCCCGGCGCCCGGCGGATATGCCGGTAGAATGGCCATTCTCTGCATATCCTACTGGGTCTTTGAGGAGCTCACCAGTCTCTTCGTCCGGGTCTTCATCTATCATAGACTTGCCAGTTCTGCGAGGCAAATTGTCGATACCGTTTCCGATCGGAGATTGTGGAGAGAAAAGGCTGTGCATCCGCGAGCCTGTTTCGTTTGGATGGAGACCTTCGCCGATGGCCTGATTGGGGTTGGCATTTGAAAGTCTCTCCATGCTCTGGAATGTGCCGTTGAAACGCGACGACTGACGCGCCAGGGGGCCGTTCGAGGGGACACCCATCAGCGCACGGCTCGCGGTATGGTCGATGGTATTGCGACGCGCGTTCGACAAATTCGATCCCGCGGGACCCGGGTACATTTCGACAATCATATTGGCGTCATTCTTAGAATTAGGCTTGCCGTCGAGGAGGGATTTGGCCTCTTCGGCAGCGGGGAGAGAGATGAACCGCGCGACCGCGGTCAAGAATCCGTCGTCCTCTGGCAGATCCAGAGTCACAAAGTCTGCATCCACGAAGTCTTTGGCGAAGAGCAGCATGCTGCGAAGCGCTTCGCGACTCGTGTTTCGGGGCAACTTTCGCATCAGGATCGCGCCTCCGTTGCCAGCGCGACCAAGGCCATTCAGGCCCTGGATGTTGCGATCGGTCTCGCCCAAGCGCATATTGTTATCGAATGAGGCAGAGGTACCGATAGGGGAAAAGGGGTAGTTGAATGTGTTGTTCAGAGATGGCGTTTGCGACGCAGTCGGACTGTACACGTCGGTCGACATCGCATGCTGAGACGTCAAAGGCGCCTGGGAAGAAGGGAGTGACTGCTGTGGGGGCGATGAACCAGATGACACGGATTCGGTGAGTTGCGTGGTTCCAAAAGACCCTGGACTCGTACGAGTAGACTGGCTCGAGCTACCGCTCATCCCTCCACTAGTGGTTTAAATTTGAGATTTTTTTTTCCTCTCGAATATTTGTAAGGGGACCACGGGTAGGATGGGCCAGGAGGGTCGGTAGATAGGAGTCGCGGGATTCGGGAGTATGAAGCGAGGCGCAACGATCGCGAATGCGACAGAAATCCAACACCGAGAAACGAGATGCAGCGAGACGAAAAGGAAGGCGATTAGGGAGGCGATCGATCGTCGAGTTCTCTCATCGGAGTAAACGATCGCGGTGATAAAGATGGTCCGACAATAGATGCAACAAAAAAAAGAAGGGAGAAGGGTGAGGAGTGGAAGAACGAGCAGGGGGGGAGGGGAAGAGAAAAGAGTCCGGGTCCGGAACGTCGACCACTTCAGGCCCAGGTGCCAGACCCATGGATCTGCCTTCACGACGCGACTCATTGTGAAAACATTACATTACCGAGGGGGTACCTGCCTGATTATGTCGATCCCCATACTCTGGAATGTATCGCCCCGTAGTATGACAATACAAGACTGCTATTTTACACCGTGGCCCTGGAACTTGGCCGCATGCAGAAAAAGAAAGTGCGTGCCCTGCGTGCCCCGAATGGCCCCCCCGGTTTTCGAGTCCTGGTTTTTTTTGTCCTTTTTGTCCTTTTGTTCCCTCTTTTGTTATTTTGATATGTGTTCGTATTCGATCGCGATCGCCGGGTGGATCATGCTTTGCTAGAGCACCGGCCATGCAAGTGCGGCTTACCGTTGACCTTGGAAGGCCTTAGTGAGAATACGATATATCGCTATTGACAGGGAACAGGGCCTCATAATTTAGATCGCACATTCTTCTGCATCATACTCACCTCATCTTCCAAAACACATGTTACTGGCTACACAGACTTAAACGGACTTGCATTATCAGACTTGCATTACCAGTCGACATTGCAATATCATAGACTATGAATCTACTCGTATAGTATATATTCTATACAAGTAATCAGCTCATATAACAGGATCCCGTGGGATGGTGAAAGTCAAATGTACGACGATCCTTCCCAGGGCCGACCAATTGCCACGGGCTTGACCCCGGCGACACATGGGATTGGCCATGCGGAAACGACTCGGTCTTATCGAGGGAGGCGATGGGTTTGTTTGGTTGGGCCGTGGAGAGAAGCCGCCACACTAGGGGCTTTATTAGCACTTGTTCAAACTACGTGCCTGAGATGGTCATAGGCGCATCAGCATTTTGCCTTTACTAGAAGCTTACTGACAAATATCAGAACTCTGTGGCGTTTGGGGGTGTAGGCCTCACAATTGATGAACATAGTCAACGCGTAACACGCGACGGTCCATGAGTCCACGCACGTAGCTGCCTACTAAGTACGGGCAGAAGGATGCCTCCGAGGTTCCAACCTGAAAAAGTACCGGTAAAGGCATCACTCTATACTCCGTAGCTGTACGAAGTAGACCGATTGCAGACCAACTTCCAGACCTGGTGTCATATCAAAGGTATTGATTTTGCGATTCATACACCGCTTACAAACAAAACAGCAAGCCTCCCCGGGCAGAAGGCTGCATAATATACAGAGAAGAAGCTCCCAGGCAACTCAACAACGCCAAAAAATGCCACAAAATAAAGAAGTACAGCAAGGTTGCCCATCATCGATGGGCCCACGTCCAGACTCGCCCCAATGGTTCCATCCGTGACCCAGCCAGGGTCTCAAGGAATGTCAAGTCGAAGGTCGAATACAATTCCATAGATGGAATGGGGAAATGCGCCAAAGTCAATCAGACACAATGCGAGATACTGGTGCGGGTTCACGCCTTGTCGTGGGTGGTAGGTTTGGGCGCAACAAGGCCAGCCTGGAGAAAGTCGAATCGTCAGCAAGGCCTTTCCATGAGACAGAATGGAAGTTTCCGTTGAAAGGAAGCCCCGGCAGTAGCCAACAATAGCCGCTCATACCACGCGGTTCCCAACCCATTGCAAACTCTCGTGGATAAAAACAGGGATCGACTCACCATGCCCATCAGCTTCCAGACAGGGTCACTGGGCTGTGCACCGACACCCAACCAGTACTTGGCGCGAGAGCTGTCGAGAGCAATTTCTTTGTAAGGACGGGCATCGGCATTCTCATTGTAGAGGTTCGTGGGACGCTTCGGGATGGGGTTGTAAGTGCCGATAACTTCGAGGGGCTTCGCGCCGCGAGCAGAACTGTATACCATCAGTCTTAAGTTCTTAAGAAATAGAAACCCTGAAAGCGCTGTCGGATTTGATATGCTGGGTCCTGGCCCTGGCTGAATTCCGGTGCTGACCGTAGGCTTTGGGGGAGAGAACCACGTACCGAGCCTGCGCGACAATGATGTTGAAGAAGGGGTTGTGCTTGTTGCCAAAGCGTGCTAAACGAATTCGGAGAACCATTTTGCGGGTTGTGATACTGTTCAATGGACAATGCTGTTCGTTTGGTGGTCTCCAATGACCTCCGCAAAAGTTCTGGAGTTTACGGATGAATTGTTTACCCGAGATGACCAAATTGGGCCAAGTGGGGTGATGTAATGCGAGTACCTTTAGATCTACAACATCACATTTACTGGAGCTTTTTCTATGAATCCGGTTTCTGTTGGTATTCAAATAGCCAGAACGATATATTCAACTCTGCACCACTCAATTTCATGCTCCGTTCCATATTCAGCCATCGTCTCCAAGCCCATCTCGCTATTCGCCGCTATACTAAACCAGCAACAATGTCATTAAGGGTAACGTTATAAGATGCTCGTTCCTGATACTTAGAGGCTAACCCTCCGAAGGCAATTTCGGCCAAGGATGCCGCTTCGCTTGACAGAGATCTTATGGAGACGGGTGGTTGGTCTTTAGATCAACTAATGGAGCTTGCGGGGCTCTCTGTCGCGCAAGCTGGTAAGCTCGAACATCTATGAATGCAGCTTTGGCCCCGATATACTCATTAAAATCAATATCCAGTGTGGAAGCTTCAACCCCCAAATGCAGGGGCAAATATTCTAGTTATTTGTGGACCAGGCAACAATGGTAAGTACAAGCCATGGCTACATTAAGACACAACTTAACAAGTACATTCAGGAGGGGATGGCCTAGTAGCGGCTAGACACTTATCTCACTTTGGCTACAATCCATCAGTCTACTACCCCAAAGAAGGCAAAAACGAGCTTTATCAAGTACGGAAACTCCCACCGAACGAACCCAACCAGGTCTAACTCAAACAGCGCTTGAAAACCCAACTCCAAAACCTCTCAATTCCCTTCATTTCTACCGAAGACTTTTCAACAAGCTTGAAACAAAGTGACCTGCTCGTCGATGCAATCTTCGGCTTCTCCTTCGGCGGGCCACTACGCGAGCCTTTCCCCAGCATTGTCTCGCAGATTGAATCTGCCACCATCCCTGTGTTGAGTGTGGATGCTCCCAGCTCGTGGGATATCCAAGGTGGACCACCAAAGGAGGGTCCGGGTGTGAAGTTTATGCCCAGTGCACTCATCAGTCTGTCGGCGCCAAAGCCGTGCGTGGCGTTCTACAAAGGCAGACATTTTATTGGGGGCAGGTTCTTGACCAAGGCACTAACCGATAAATACGGGCTTGACTTGCCTCAGTACCAGGGCGTTGATCAGGTTTTGGAGATTGGGGTCGATGCCGAGGGCAAGTTGTGATTGTGTAGTGCTTGTAAGTTTAATGCAGCAATCAATCAAATTTCGTGGCTCTTTTTATAGAAGTCCTCATGGTACGGAAGATACCGAGCCCATTGCAACATGTACAAATTTGAGCTTAAAAAGGCTACAAAAGGCTTATACAGAACTTTATGCATTATAGACATCGAATACTAGGCAGAAAATATTGTGTACCCGAGCGGAAAAGGCCGGTTGTTGTTGAAAGCGTTGTCGTCGTTAAAAATAAAGTGTCTTGTGTATAAACACGGATTGTATCTTCTTTAAAGAACGTTCATGATCTCCCCGATAACACCCTTGATACGAGGCTCCTTTCCAGGACCGGATGCCGAAACCCTGGCAAGCACGCTCTGGATCTCATAAACCTCTTTAGCTGCACTCTTGACTTCCTCGCCGAGGCCAGTGACCAGTGTGCCCAATGCAACGAGAGCACGGTAAACTGCCTCTGAGTCCTTCTCCGCGGCAACAACCCGAGCCAATTCCTCGAGCAGCACTAGCCCCCGCTCCGAAGATTCGGGAGTTTGACCCCTATCCTCTGAAGTCAGGTAGACAGTGAAATTAATGTAAAGCGTTGTGATGGCGATCTCGAGGTTGCGGTTAGGGGAAGCACCACTGTTGGCTAGGGCAGACTTCACTCCAGCGAGGATCTGGTCGAAGGATCGAATGGCGAGGTCGCGGCCATCGACTGTTTCAAAAAGGTTTGCGAACGTTCGCATTGCGAGCATTGCATTGTTGACGTTTAGGGGAGAGTCGAATACACCGCTGGAGATTACACCCGACACAACATTCTTGTCGTCGTACTCGGCCTTGGCTGTGAATGATGAAGCACCGGCTAATAAACGAAGAATATCCAATCCAGGAATTCGGTTGGCTGCTGGCCATGTTGTGGCGACCTTCAAAATCAAAGGTACCCCGGCCTCGACCTCTGGTGAGTCTTTTAGCTGCTGGGTCGATTCTAATTGACCGCACAAGGCGACAACCGTTTCCATTTCCGCGGGGCTCAAAGCAAGTTCCTTGGAACCGTCGGACACAAGTTTCGCGTTCAATTCCTGAAGTTTTTTGGTGATAACTTTCAGATTTGCTGAGCGGATCGAGAGGTAAATCTTTTGAGGAAGGACATTGACTCGTGGTTCAGGGGCGGGCGGTTGTTGGGGCTGTTCAGCAGTCGAACCATCTCCAGGACGGTAGCGTCGGTCTGAGCCCCAAGGATCAGCTCCAGCGGGTTCCTGTGAGGATTGCCCTATGGTAGCACCCTGGGTGTTCTGAGTAATGAAGTTCGCAACTTGATCAAGATATGTCATAGGAAGTTCGTTGTCACCGATGAATTTGGTCGCAGCTTCGTATGGGTTCTGCGAGGCGTTGTAAGGGAGCTTCAAGGGAGGTTTGCCGTCCTCGATGTCAACATCAAAGACGTAGTCGTAATCCTGACCAGCGTACTCGGTCTTGCGACCACTGCTTCCACCAGAGTCCACCACTGTGCCAACGGCGATCCACTCCTGGGTGGCCGATGACCATGTATGAGCAGTAACACTGCCATCGGCTTCGCGAATCATCTGGACCTGACCCTCCTTGGTTCCTGACTTTTGTTGTATAAATTCTGGACCAGGTAGCTCCTCTTTATTAATCTTTCCGATTTGCTGCTCTGGAATGGCTGACTCTTTGACGGCTTGGTCGAATTGCTGCACAGCCTCTGGGGCTGCTTGGCGATCTGGGCTTCTGGTGAATACACGGGTAATGCGATCACTAGCACCAGTGACGATGTCCCCAGTCTCGTTGCAGACTGCAACGCTCCAAACTGAGATGGCAGGGTGGGTAATAGTTTGTACACAGTCAGTGCCGTTCCAAACCTTCACAGTGCGATCTTCACTGGAGCTTACGAGCTCACCGGTGGGGAGCGCTGCAAGCGAGTAGATAAAGCTCTCATGGCCATGAAGAGACGCAACCAATTTGCCCTGCAGTGTGTAAAGACGAATAATTCCATCGTTGCTGGCCGAGGCAAAGTGGGCTCCGGAGGGATGTGACGCAGGAAGCTTGCACAGGGCACGAACGACGTCGTCGGAATTTTGAACGCTTCCAAGGAGTTGTCCAGAAGTATTGTACATCCGGATCATTTTATCAGCGCAGCCTAGATGGGTGTCAGCTGTACTTCGTAACAGGATTGCATTGTGACGGCATACCTGTGATAATGGTGCTCTCGTCGTAGGCCAATACGGCCCACACGCTTGCTTCATGTCCGTCCAGAACAACGTCACACTCCCACTTGCCGACCTTCCATAAACGTGCGGTTGAGTCCCAGCTACCGCTGACAACATACCCACCGTTGGGCGACACGTCCAAAGCACAAACATTATGACCGTGTCCCAAAAGCATCGCGTCCGCATTGTCTGCCGCACCTTTACCGGGCTGTCTGGCCTCGATGATTGCATCTTGTCCCGCAGAGAGAACAAGTCCCTCAGGGAACTCCGGTGTGGGCGGAACATATGCTAAACTGTTGATGAAGGCGCCGCCGTGGGCGGCAATCGTGTAGTCGTATGCGGGAGGCGGGCTCGATACGAGCTTCCATAGTCGGACTGTGGCATCACGGGAGGCGGAAAGAATGACATTGGGGTTTGGGAAAACCACGGCGCGAACCTGTATCGAAAGAGAAAAATGTGAGTCATTTGCGTGGATGGGAAGCAGCCTCAATGGGCATCTGGAGATGCCGGGACCGGGAGCCTTACATCATCGCCGTGGCCCTCCAAAGTTGCGGAGAGCCTAAAGTCAGGCATACATAAAACTTTGAGAGAAAAGGGAGGGAGAGAAAGGAAGTCCGAAGAACTGATATGCTGAGGGTATCACAGAATCAATGATCAATGAAGCTCTCCTGTTGTTGTCCTTTAGTCGTTCCGGGGATCGCCCCGCCTGAGCATCATATCACGTGGGCGGTAACGGCAGGGGGAACCTGCTAGAACGCCGAGGTCTTTGACTTTGTCCGGATCTTGGAAGACCTTGATGATTATTAATGGGTGCTGAGAGAAACCTTGGAAGCTCTTTAGTGCATGTGCAGTGTGGCAGTGTCTCCAACGACCCCCTCAATCTAGGCCAATGTGAATGTAGCTACTTCGTACATCTAAAGACTATGTATATGATCAAACCAGAGTAGACCTTTGGGAGGATGTTTGGAAGATAGGAGAGAATGGCTGAAGCAAAAGATCACATGTTTGACTCCGTACTTCTGAGTGGTGATCTACCTACCAACCTAAAATGGTAACACTGCAGTCACCCTTGAGTATCGTACAGCCGGTACATTTTATATGTACATTGTGATGGTTGTCATCAATAAACCCTAAAGAAAAGCTTGTATACGTAGCACGGAGTACTCTGTATAGTCGCACCGAGAAACCCCAGTGGGCCTAGGTGGATTGAGGCTTTTATCGGGGTCTCCAAGGTACTGCACCATACTTAATCAGGAAGTATCATTCTGTCGCGAGAGGCGGTGAAAGCAAATCATACGCAAGAGGAATCAAGGGCACAAATCAAATACATACCCCTTCACACGCAAATGTTTTGTACCAAGCAGGTCAAAAAAAAAAATGTAAGAACCCCGTTTCAAAGTCACGATGGTCGTCCAAGTATAAGCCTCACGTGTCACTTCAATTATACCTCAATAGGACTAGCGTGAGATTACATAACATGATCGGCTGGCGATGGAGTCCGTGAAATTGCAATTCGATATCACCGTCTGCAAGTCCTTGAGAATTCAACGGGGATTTCCAAGATTGTTCGAGGCCTTCACTCCTTTCTTAGGCGGGGGGGAATTGCACCCGTATCCAACTTCTCACACGAGCATCTTTTCTATCCTTTGGCAACCAAACCTGGAACCCCACGTCTTTGCTTGACGACTTGACGACCCTGACGAATCTCCTATGTACCTTCTCTAGTCAGATTGAAACTTCTCCAGGCCTACTTCCTGGAATTGCATCTTGATATCAGACTCGTTGGTTGGGCTCATAGCACTTCATTGCTCTGATTGGCCCCTCGAATATATCTAAGATCAAACCCACCGAAACCTCACAAACTTCCTTTTCGACAAAATGGCTGCCGGTATGTACTTGAGTACTAATGATCATGAGTTATTTGCTCCAGCTTGGAACATATATACTGACCTAGCCTTAGATATCCCAAAGGTGGTCCCTTTGACATGCCACGGACACTCTCGTCCAGTGACACATCTGAGCTTCTCTTCCACTGTGGAGGACGAGCAATATTATTTTATCTCATCATGCAAAGGTTCGATAAAATACAGCATCCAAGTAGCTATATTCACTAATTCGCCACAGATAACAACCCTATGCTCCGTGACGGCATTACAGGAGACTGGTAAGACAAAGAAACTCAGTCCTCCAAAGCCACATCTAACAAAACCCAGGATCGGAACATTCCTCGGCCACAAGGGTGCCGTCTGGCAAGCCAGACTCTCCGCAGACGCCGCCATCTCAGCAACAGCGGCAGCCGATTTCTCAGCGTAAGCCTTGCTTCCTCCCCCATCAAACATATCCCACTAAACAACCCTACAGTAAAGTCTGGGACACTTACACAGGCGAATGCCTACACACTCTGCAGCACGCGCACATCGTGCGATCAGTAGCATTCCCCATCCAAGCCAACCCGCAAGTTCTAGCAACAGGCGGCGCAGAGAAGAAGCTCCGGATCTTCGACCTCACGCGCGGTGGTTCAACACCCGTTCCTGCGGGCACCAACGCCGCAACCGAGAATGGAGTGACGAGCTATGAAATCGGCGCTGGCGTTCACGGCGGTACTATCAAGTCCATCGTTTGGAACCAGGACTATAATGTCGTTACTACCGCGGCTGAGGATCGAAAGGTTCGGTGGTGGGATCTGCGCTCGCGACACCCGATTGTCGAACTTGCTGTTGATGGTCCCATTGGCTCTTGTGAGCTGAATAGCCTGGCGACGAGACCTAATGACTCTGGGATCTTGACGGTGGCGGCCGGTAAGAGTGTCTATCTTTATGATGGTGTGCAGCCGGGTCGGTTGCTCAAGAAGGTTGATTTCGACTATGACGTTGCGAGTGCTGCGGTCAACAGTGAGTCTGGCCGTCTGGTTACGGGCAGTGCGAATGACACATGGGCGCGCGTTTATGACTTGAACACGAACGAGGAGCTTGGTACGTACTTCTGATCAACGTTGAGCATCACGCTGTTGTTCATTGGGCTAATTCTTTTTTCTTTTTCTTAGAGGTGCAAAAGGGCCATCATGGACCTATCTGGTCTGTCAGCTTCTCGCCTGATGGTAAGCTCTACGGAACCGGTAGCGAGGACGGCACTATTAAGCTGTGGAAGGCTTGCCGGGACCCTTACGGGCTGTGGCGATAAACGTGTCTAGGTGGGATTCTCATAATTGTTACAGTGTACAGAAGAAACCACGAGAGCACTAAGTATGTTTGTTTTTGGCGCTGGCAGTTCTTATGTTCATCCATGATTACTTAGGTCATGGCAGTCTTCTCTGCTTGATCAAATAGAACTTGTATCATCTATCTACTTGGACAGAATGAATCCTTGTTGAATCGCCAGATCTGTGGCTCTCGCCGACTAAAAATTCTTCAGGAGGATTGCTTCGAAAGTGCGTCGACTCAAATATCTTGAGGGCCCATTGCTGAAAGTCTAGCCCGAAAAATGTATGTGTATTTAGCTCATTTAGAAAGCAATAACTCCAGTCCATGACACAAGGATGATGTCCTGCGGTCCTAAGGCTGGGTATGAAAGTCTAGTAGACGCACGAGAAACCTCGGAGTTGTTCTCATGGTCATTTACTTAGGTGCAAGGAACCCCAGAATCAACGGATGCTTAATTGAACGTATGAAATCCCCGAAACTCCGAAAAATGCAAATTGAGCGAAGATGGACGTAGATCAGATGTGTTCCACTGCGCAAGCGTATAGGAGGGTAGTGGCAAAAATGAACGGAGAGGCAAGTAGCGAGGGTCGCTGTCGAGACGAAGAAATCCGAGTGTGCAATGAGAACCCAATTACAATTTCGTGGTTGGAGTAAAGTACAGAGTGGCAGCTCCCGCGCGAGGGGGGCATCAGCGACGGAAAGGTAGAGTAGAAAAATAAAGGGCGACCAATTTCAGTTGCAGCGAAGACAATGGAGAATGTCATGCTAGCCCAAAGGAAGTGCGAAAGTTGAAGTTTCCTGACGAACAGCTCGAGAAAATCATTTACTCGATCATGTCGACATCGTCATCGGCAATCGGTGCGCTGGTGACTGGCGCAGGCTGCTGGGGGGCTTCCGGAACAGCTGCGGCGTCATCGCCATTGTTTGCACCACCCCAGTAATCTTCCATTTCCTGGTCCAACTCCTCCTGAGTCTTGCGTGGGCGGGCGGTAGAGCGACGGTTCGAGCCATCGGCGGGCTGGGCGCGGGAGTCACGTCCACCGCGTCGACCTCCATTGCGGCGAGGGGAGCGCCCAGAGCGTTGACCAGGGACGTAGCGATCGATTCCATCGGGAGGGGGCTTGGTAACGTCGCTGCGATGACCGCGGCCGCCACGGCCGCGGCGGCGACCACCATCGTTATCGTCAGATCGGGGGCTTAGGCTCCGGCCGTCGCGGGGCCGCTCGATGCGATCCATCAAGCTGGATCGAGGGTGGTGGGCAGAGTCAAGGGGGTTGCGCTCTCGGCGGCCGGGGATGAGAGACAAGCGGATGGGTTGGCCCTTGGCGTTGGCTCCATCGTACTCTTGAACGGAGGTGTGTGCGTCCTTCAGACGGGCGTATGTGATGTAAGCGACTCCCTCAGAACGACCAGAGCGGTCGTAGGACATGCTGAGGTCAGAAACAGGTCCAATGCGACCGAAGAGGTCCTGTCCAGATGATTTGTTAATGTTGTTCTTCCACGTTTGATATGCGCTGATTGGAGACATACGTCGAGGTCGGCTTCGGTGATATCGTAGTGGAGGTTCTCCACACGAACCTTGGTGAGTGATCTAGGGTTAATCAGTCTCAGGCCTGACAAAATCATAACTGAGAAACGGAAAAGCAAGATGCATACCGCTCGGATTCATGTCCGTCACGGCCTCTGCGACCTCCACCTCCACTTCCACGGGATGGGCGGGCTTAACAAGGAAGTTAGTTAAAATCCCAGTCAGGCTTCCAAGATATTGCTTACAACGGTCATCGTCGAACTTGTCATGAACCCAGTCGCTAAAAACAAGTGTCCGTCAGCATCATCCGAGCCAAGCTGAACAGAGGCATAATCACAGGTTCAAATCAACGCGGTCACGGTCTTGAGAGTATGGCTGTTGTTGTCCAGAGCGTTAGCTCCAAGTAAAAAGGTATACCGTGCAAAAGTTCTGTCCATGTCGATGCCGTGGTGATTTCGCTGGGTAGTTTCCGGCGACCCAGACCAGACTGGCTACGGCGGGCACGGAGCAGGAGAATTCGCAGCAAGAGGAAGAGGAGGGCGGACCTTTTCATCAATTGATATGTTAGCACCACAGCTGCCTGGAGTAACTCCCAAGAAGTCTCGATTCCAAGGAAGTGCGAACTCACCTTTCTGACGCCGTCGCGTTCGGTGCGACGGCCGGGGTTATTGCGACGACGGCCACCGCCGCCACCACCAGAGGAGCGAGCATTGGGACGCTATGAACAGCTTTGTCAACGACAGTCCACATGATATATCAAACTTCATGACTAGCTGGATTCTTACCGTGTCCTCAGCGATGATCTCGTCGAGACTGCGGTCCATCTTGAGGGGTAAAGTATCCGA